TGCCGTTTTTGGCCACCTATCGCGCGTGAGGCGTGTAGGCCTTGGTGTCTTCGGGTAAGCGTAGATCGAACAACACTATATTTTTTTGCAATATCTGTATACGAAAAAGGCTCATCAGGTCCTAGGGCATTAATAGCTGCAAGCGCAGCCTCAATATTAGCCATGGTGGTGGGGATACGACGCGTTGAGGTTGAGGTGGTTGTAAGGCGCGCGCGCACTTTGTGGTCGCGCGCACTTTGTGGTGGGGCTAGTTAGCCCAACTTAAAGAAGCTTACCAAGCTAGAAGAGGAGGTAATAGTTAGTCATATACTTAATCTTAACTCACGTGGATTTGCGCCCACGTACGCCGCTATACGCGATATAGCTAATAAGCTGCTAGCTGCGCGCAGCGCTGGCCAGGTTAAGCAGAAGTAGCCAGCCAACTTTGTCAAGCGTACAGACAGTCTTACGACGCGTTTTAATCGAGCGTACGATAGGCAGAGAGCTCTATGTGAAGATCTAGTCCTAATTAAGAGCTAGTTTAAGCTTGTAGAGTAGACAAAGGCTAAGTACGGCATCTATGACGAGGACGTCTACAACTTCGACGAAGCTGGCTTTATGATAGGCAAGATCGCGACTTAGCTAGTCGTAACAGCGTCAGAGAGGAGAGGCCGGCCAAAGGCAGTTGAGCCAGGCAATCGTGGGTGGGTGACGCTGATCGCAGCGATTAACGCAGCTGGCTAGGCAGTTCCACCATTCCTTATCTTCGCTGGCAAATATCATCTATCCGCCTAGTACGAGGAAGCAGAGATCCCACGCGACTAGGCGATCGCAGTCAGCGACAACAGCTAGACGAACAACGAGCTAGGTGTTGCCTAGCTAAAGCACTTTAATGCTCACACAAAGACTCGCGTTGTCGGCACACGTCGTCTGCTTGTTCTTGACGGCCATAAGAGCCACCAGTCTCTTAAGTTTCAAGAGCTTTGCAAGGAGAACAATATCTACACGCTCTATATGCCGCCACATTCCTCTCACCTACTTCAACCTCTTGACGTTAGCTGCTTCTCGCCGTTAAAGCGCGCGTATAGCCGTGAGGTAGAGAGCCTGATACGTAACCACATCAACCACATCACTAAGCTTGAGTTTCTGCCAGCGTTTAAGACAGCGTTTGATCGATCCTTCACGCCAGCTAATATCCGCTTAGCCTTTTAAGGCGCAGGCCTTGTTCCTCTCCAGCCAGACGCTGTTCTATCAAAGCTGGACATAAAGCTGCGCACGCCTACTACTCCAGTAGCTGCTGTCGCAGAGGCTCTCTGGCAGGCTCGTACCCCAAGTAACGCACGCGAGTTTGAAGCTCAATTAACGCTAATACGTGATCAGGTTCGGCGGCATAAGAGCTCTTCGCTAGCATTAATTATTGCAGCAATTAACTAGCTTAAGAAGGGGGCTAAGGTTATAATGCTCTTAGCTGAGCTAATGCGCGATTGGATCACTAGCCTTAAGAGGGCTAACGAGGCAGCAACAAAGCGTAGGCAGCGTAAAAGGAAGCGGATATAGAAGCAAGGAGTGCTAACAAAGGGAGCTGGAGAGGATCTACTCGCTCAGCGCGAGGCTGATCAGCAGATTGCTCATGAAGAGCGTCAGGGAGGAGAGCGATCAGGTGTCAGCCGCCAGGCTCTAGCGCGCTGTAGTAGGTGCAGAGAGACTGGCCATAACTCACGTACATGCAAGAAAGATAGTCTAGATAGTAATTAATCTATTGCGTTAATATCTACCAAAACTAATATAATATGGTGGAGCTATACGCTTATAGAAGTGCGCAAAGTTAGTGAGGTGACCGACTCGCTTGTCTGACCGACTCGCTTATCTATCACGTTAGTGTACTTTTGAGTTTTCGTTTCGCCAAAGCATGACGAGATACTTAGGACATGGCTCTAGTCCTTGGTATAAGTCTCCAGTCTTCATCTTAGTTTTTCAGTCTCACGCCGCACAATTCCAACCACAGCATATTAACATGATTGATGATGCATTGCAAACACTGAGAGAGAAAAAAAAACGACAGGCTGTTTGAAAAAAAAGAACCCAAATCTTGGTGCTCTCCAACACCAGAAAAACTCCCAGAAAAAAAAAGAACCCCGATTTCCCCACCACCACAAGATGTCAATGTGATGGTATAACACTAAGTAATACGGGTAGCATCTAGACTACACATTCGTGGAGACGGAAAACAGAAAAGGTAGGGAGAGCGGGGTCTAAAAAGACAAAAGACGAAGAGACGTGTTTCATGGTCATGTTCATGCACCACCCGCTCGACCGGTAGTAGTGGCCGACGTGGGCTGGTCATTATTCCAAGTGAGGTACGTGTGGTCGCCCAGTTTCCTAGCCGACAATGTTAGCAAACAGTCATGTGTGTTGAGATATTCGGAAGAAAACAAACCTGGGCTTGACGAGGTGTGTGGCGAGGAACACGGCGCCTAATAGAATGCAAAGGCCACCGACGACAAGATAGGCAATACCGAGGAATGGGTTCTTACCACCCATGACGGTGGTGGTGGAGATGAGAATCGACTTGGTGCCATCGTACTTGTTAACAGGGAAGCCTATACAGGTCAGCTTGCGTCATGTGGGTAAACCAACCAACATACGGTCATAAATCTTCAGGCGGTAGGTGCCAGCTCGCAAAACATCCTTGTCGTTGCGCTGGTATAGTTTACTAAATGTCGGCAATCCCGCAGTCCTCATCCAGACCTGGAACTGTTCCCAGGTATGCAGGTTGGGCAGCTCATCGCGATATTCTCCATTGGGATATTGGTCTTGCCAGTTGGGGGGTGGAACAACATCCTCAGGCTTGTACTTGGTCTTGCCGTACAGATCGCCCTCATGGGCCCATGATGTGCCATCGGTCGTCATGTTGTACGAGTTGATCTCGTTTCCATCGGCATCCTGCACAGCATTGTCCAGGGTCAGATTGCCAAAGGTGTCGTTGAACATGGAGTTGGCAATCAGACCGCAGGGATAGTAAGGCTTTCCGTTGGGAGCGACAGCCAAAGGATCGCAGTCGCCAGAGCTGAGCTGGCTGGCACTCCTGGCGTCGCCCTTGAGCTGGTTGATATCGACAGACTTGACATATCGGCGGTGGTTTTGGTAAAAGTTGGTCAGGCGGTAGTAGAAGAGAATCGGCGGCTTGATGTCGTTGGGGATGGTGATGCTGAGGATGCAGACGTTTGTTTCGAGCGTGACGCCTTGGGGCTGAAACGTGTAGTTATCGCGAGCCCAACCCCACTGAGGCGCCGTCTGCATTTTTGAGTTGAAGGTGGCCGACACCCTGCTCGAGGGAATTGGTTCGAGGTCGTTGCCCAGACTAGCATTGTAGTCGAGCCTGGCTTGCGGCGCGGTGCTGTTGCAGTTGGTATAGTCGATTGAGATTTCCTGGACCTGGTACAAGGGTCAGCGCGGCGGGTCGAGGGGCGGCACAACATGCTCACCTGCGAGCTGGCGTATATGAGCAGGCCTCCGATGGGCGAAAAGATGACGCCAACGATAAAGAACAGAGGCAGGACCGTCTTGGGCGTCAAGATGGGTCTGTCGCATGTGTTAGCGGGCGGGCGGGCGGGTGTGGTGGTGCGGGTCGGGGTCAACCTACTGCCATGCTTTCAGACGCTGCTGCCTGAAGGCGGTATCTGTTGTCGCTTTAGCATGGCGGTCGTGTGCGCACAGTCGAATCCATGTCCCAGGCAGCTCTTACTTGGGGGCCTCTTGCTCTTTGCCTTCTTCGGCTCATCGCGGGTTGGGTCCTGGCTGGTGATGGAGTCGGCCTGGTCCACCTGCTGTGTTCGCGACATTGTGCTGAATCGGCGCGAATCCGCGCGTCGGTTGGGTGGGCTAAGGGTATTATGGTGGTGGTTGTTGGAGGAGCAGTGGTCAGAAGGCGCGGGTTCGAGAGAGCGGCCAAGCCGTTGTCCCAAATTAGTTACAGACGAGGCCGCGCCACGCCTGCGGAGTTAGCCATCCCCGCCCGTCTCCGGGGACCCTGAACCATTGCGACATGCAGATTACATACATGGTAGGCTGCGCAGACATTGCCCCCAGGCAGTGCACATCAGACATGGCGTGAGCTCGTTCCGCAAAAGAAACTTGGTCGAGAGAGAGAGAGAGAGAGAGAGAGAGACAGCCCTCTACACCTAGGCATGTCCTGCGTGCCGGCTGCTGACCGTCGTGCCGGCCACGTTTGGGGCGCTGTTGCGAAACGCATCTGCTGTCACTGACAAAGCACATGTCTAAACACCGCCTTCACCATGTTGGGGCTCTGAGACGCTTGCAGTTTGCTCATACCGTCGTTGGCTCACTCTTGTCAAGAGCAATTGCGCCACCAAGTAGCAAACAAGGGCAAACTCGTTGCAAGACCATGGCGGTTGCAAGACACGAAACGCGCAGCCAGCTAGGTTATTCTACTCGATGATTGTATTCTGGTCTAATACTTCCACTAAACAAAGCCTGCATGTGCGGCGTCAAGAGCCACCGAAGATCTGAATAGTATCCATTCGTGTGAGCTGGGGGGGTATCGCATGCCGTAGACAAAGAAGAAAAACAACAAAGCCCAAACGCCAAGGGAGGACACCGCGCCTGACCCAAACTCCTGCTCATGCCAACAACAAAGATCCGGATCAAAACCAAAAAAAGAAAAGATAAGAAAAAGAACAATTAAATGAGAAAACGCCGTTCATGAATCATGCCGAGGGCGACAGCCGTCACCTCAATCAACTCGGATCCATCTTGTCCGGAAAGAGAACAGACTCATTCAGTAGGGGGAGGGGCCGTTAGATGCTATAAGCAAATTGGTGCATCGTAGCAAAATGTAAAAAAGAAATAACTCGCTCCCCATGCGCGTCGAGGGGGGGGTTGCGGATAATTATCAAAAGTGCGGTGGCGTCATGCAAGCGTGGGAAATGCAAATGCGCTCAAAGGTATTGGCGGAAGTAGTCTGGGTTGAACCATCCGACCCGATCATACGACTGCCACAGTTTGCTAGCCTTGTTGACGTCGATCTTGCACGCCTGTTGGGCGTCCGTCTTGCGGAACTCCTTGCCAATTCTCAGAGCCTCGATGCGGGCCTGGAAGATGCGGCGCTTGCTGGTCAGATAGGTGGCGCAGTTAAGGCGAAGGGTGCCGGCAAGGTTGAGTTCAGCCTCGTGCAGCAGGTCGCGGTCGGGATCGTCGGTGAGCGACAGGGCTTGGCCCTTCCATTCGGCCTTGAGAATCTTGGTGTTGCCCTTGGGCAGCGTGTCGAGAGGAGGCGAGTAGTCGGGAAGAGCATTGTAGTCCGAGTCGTCGCGATTTGTCGCGGGCCGGGCTGGCTTAGGGGAGGCGGACTTTGGGGCAGCAGCTGCGGAGGCGGCAGCGGCGGCGGAGGAAGAGGAAGAGGAGGCGGCGGCGGTGTCGAATGACTCGCGGACCGGCGTAAGGGGGGTGCGCCTGGCCTTGGGTGGTGCACGAGGCGTGCGGACGGGCATGCGTGGGAGAGCAACCTTTGGCTGGCGAGCTCTGGCAGAGGGAGCCGGAGCGAGCTTCTTCAGGGCGGTGCGCTTTTGCACGCCCGTCGGGCGGCCGTAGTAGTCGTCGAAGCGGCGCTCCTGAGCCCACCAGCGGCGAGGGTTCTTGGTGGCCTCGGCAAAGACATTGGAACGGAACGAGACGGCGAGCTCGTAGTCGGCACGCGAGGGCTTGCTGTGCAGGCGTGCGTAGTCTTGCGACTTCATGTGTGCGGTGATGGCGTGTTGCGAGGCTGACTCGGCTGACTCCTGGGGGAAGAGCGGCATTTCGGCCATGGAGGCGGCAGCATGGGGGGAAACGAAGAGCGGAGGGTCCCGCGAGCCCTGATCGTCGACGGCGTCCATGTTCTCCTTTTGCGATTGAGCGTCGTAGGGTGAGATTGGGGGGGAGGCGTAGGCGATGCGGTGGACTGGGGCGGGTGCGTGGCACGACGTGGAGTCCTGGGCCATCATGGGCTTCAATTGCAGCGAATTGAACGAGGTAAAGGGCGATTGGGTCGAGGCAGAAGCAATTGAAGAGCCAAACGACTCTGAGCGCTTCATCTCAGGTGGGGAGAGGAGCGAGGAGACGGTGAGACGATTGCTTGGGGGCGTGTGGAATGGCGAGTTTGCCATGGCGTAGTGTGAGAAGAAGGTTTGTGCTTTGCCTGGAAGCGGATCGTCGGGTGCGGTAGCGGTATTTAATCGAGACAGGCAACAGAGGCGGCGGTAGCGGCAGCGGCAGCGACAAAGGGGAGCGTTTGGGGTTGATGGGTTGTGGGGGAGAGGAACAATGGTTGGGTTGGGGGGAGGAAGAGGGCCAACTATGGTAGCCTTGGGTTGGGTTTGGGTTGGGGGGGGGAGGGCGGTGGGCGGAGGGCGGTGGGAGGGCGAGGGATGGGCTCAGGGTTTCGCCACCGTGATATCGTCAGATGCAGCCAGCAGCAGCGAGCGTGACGGTGGAAGCCGGCAGAATGGCGCGGGCCAGCGCTTGTGCTTGTGCTTTGCGGTGCCGGGGCAGCGCAGGCAATTAGTCAAGCAGGCGGCGGTCGCGCGAGGGGGGGGGTGCGTGTGTGTGTGTGTGTGTGTGAGTGACGAGAACGGGGTAATGGGTGGGTGTGGGAAAGAGGCAGCGTGGGCGGCGGAGTTATAACAAGCACGCGCAGGCGGACAGCGGTTTCAGCAGGCTACAGCGTGCGGACAAGGCCGGTGTGACTCTGGCTCTGAGACAGAGAGGCGGCCATGTGCTAGCGGACCAGACAAAGAGGGTGTGCGGTTGGCGCGTGCCAGGCCCTCGCCAGAGCCAGAGCCAGAGCCACAGCCAGAGCCAGTGCCAGGCATCATCAATAGTCGTAATATGAGTTCGGCCTTGGGGCGCGGCCGGGAGCTGACCAATGTGGGCGGCCAAGAAGAGCATCGAAGGACAGCGAAAAGGGCGCGCGCGCGGGTGCTCTCCAATGGGGCGCCGGCCAATTGCAGCGGGCAGGCGGGCAGGCGGGCAGGCGGGCAGGCGGGCAGTGGTGAGGCGGCGCTGGGGTGTCTGGATGCGGGTGTGCGTGTGGGTGCGGGTGTGCGTGTGTGTGAGGGGGCGGTCGGGGGGTTGGAAACGAGCGACGGGCTCACGTCGCAGTCAGAGAGTGAGAGTCGCGGGCTGCCCCGTTGCCATCACCACCACCACCACCACCACCCACGCACATTGAGCACATGCCCGCACCCATCCACGGCCTGCCATGGAGCAATCCGGTCCCTGCTGTTTCCGTCACCACCGCGCCCAGAGCTGCTACCCCCGTCTTGTCGGCAGCCGCCGTCACCGCCATGGCCGCCGCTGACGGGCGGAGGGGGCGTGTGTGTGTGCATGTGTGTCGGGCGTCTGCAACCACGGCCTCAATTGGCACCCGCCACTGGCCCGGACAGGCAGCTGGCGTGCCGACTGAATTGAGTGCAATTGAGTCGGCCCTGGGGGCATGTGGAGCATGTGCAAGAGTCATCTCATGTTTGCAGCTCCCAGGGCATTGGCGGTCAGACACGGGCACAGCGCGCAAGAGGGAATCGCTGGCGAATTGAGTGCCGTGACAGGCTGGCCGAGGCCAATGGCAGGCAGGCGTGGATGGGCCGTCGGACTGTGTGCGTGTGTATAGAGGTGCTATGTACGGATGGATGTGTATTACGGTACAGGGACACATGGTGTACTAGATACATACTAGATGGACACACGTATCCATGCACCGCGCGCTAGCACGGGCGCATCGATGCGCATTGCCAAAGCAGCATCAGGGTCTGGCGGGCGTCGTGGTCTTGTGACCTCTCCCTGTGTGCGCAATCGACTCTTGCGCCGTGCTGGGGATCCCGCCCGCCGCCTGTCTTGCATGTGAAAGCCACCCCTGGGCTCAGGTGGTCAAAAGGCGAGGTCATCCACAGCCTGCCGCCCGCCCTCTCGGACCGCCTGCGCTCACGAGGGCCATGCCTCTCGACACCCTCTTGGCCTTGCAGAGGTCATGCCCCTCCCAATGGCTTCGTCGCCGCCCGAGTCTGGCGCCTCGTCGTCGTCGTCTTCGTCGTCGCTAACCCGTCGCTAGCCCCGGCGGCTGGGGTGTCTTATCGCCTCGTTATCGGCCTGTGGGGGGAAGGGTTCGCGCTGCAAGGGACCCCAACACCCATCCACCTGCACCCACTCACACTCACACACTCACCACCATGACTACCGCTACCACAATTACAGTAACAAGGCCTACTGCCATGTGCAGCGCCGCCGCTGCGAGCGCGATCGCCGCACATCGCGACCGCGACCACACCAACGCGCTGCCTGACAGCTGGTCAGCCGATAGGCCAATGCAAACCAGAGGATGGCATCGTTCGCCGCCCCATGGCCTCTCCTCCCACCCACACCCGGCGCCATGTCTTGCCCTGGGGGGTCCCTGCATCCGCCATACCTGCACTTGCTGCGCAGCTTACATGTACTGCTTGCACCTATGTGTATGGCTGCCTGTAACCTGCCAGTCCAGCATCATGACAGCAACCCGCTTGGCCCGTCGTCGCCTTGATTACCACCACGTCGTCCATGGCGTCATCTCCGCGCCTGAACACAAGGCTCGCCCTGCACCTCGCCCGCCGCTGGCCCGCCCCAAAATAGCCCGGCCCGCCCATGGTCAGCTCAATTTCCAGCTTGCAATGCACAAATTAAGTCAAGGCCCGCCCCGGCACTCTCCCCCCCTCCCTCCACGCACGCCATCGGGAAAACAAACGCTGTCGTCGCTCGCATGCAATTGCCCGATGGTGACGTAGCTCATCTTTGCCTTTTGTCGGGCTTTGTCCGCGTCTACCCAAAGCACCAGTACTGACATGCTAGCCATTGCGCTTCTTTCTCTCGCGCTCTCTCTCGCGCGCTCTCGCTCTGTGTGGTGGCTGTGGGATCAATGCCATGTCAATGGCATGCAATGCACCACCCGCGTTTGACAGCCCGTGATTCCAAATTGCCCAAATAGGCTGCGCCATGGTGGCAGCATCGAGGTGGAATCGTGGTACGCTTAGCCATGCATTTCACGTGGCTTCCATCCCATGCCATGCTGCCACTGCCACTGCCACTGCCACTACCACTACGGCTACTGCCAACCAAAAACGACCGTGCTGCAGCTTCCCCACATACGTCATTCACCCAGGGCACCCACTCACATCCACATCAGCATCAGCATCAGCATCTACTCACCCACGGCATGTGCTGCCGATACCTCCGACAATCACCGCGACGGCCATGTCGCTGCCTCGGCCTCGCAATCGTCGATTCGTCACCCGCCTGCTCACCTCACTCGACCTAGCTGCCACACCACCTGATCATGATCGTCTGGCGGCCGCTCCCGTCACCCCACTGGAGCCCAACCACAACCCCCTCGCCCGCGCCCCAGATGCGGCCAGGAGACTGCTGCTGGCCCTGCAAGTCCTGTTCCCCACTGAATTCGTCCCCGCGCTAGACCTGCTCGACCGCCGCCTTGTGACTCGCTTCCGCCTGCTCGACCAAAGCAGCATTGCGTCTGCCGCCATAGCCTCCACCGACGAGGTACGCGAGGGGCATGCAGAGGCCGAGCGACATGTCACCATGCAAGGGGGAGACGAGCATGAACAGCATGAAGAAGCAATACACATGCGCAATGCACATGACGCATCCAAGCACCACAATACACGCACCCCATCATCTTCAAACGACGACACCACAGTCCAAGAACCCAACACTACTACTACTACTACTACTACTCCTCCTCCAATACCACAGATACCCCCAATCCACAACACATACTACGTACGCTCCGCCCAGCACCGCTCCTCGCGCCACGCTCCCGCCTCGTACGACGCAACAACAAGCTACCAAGTGCGTCTGGCCGCGTGGAACTGCTCCTGTCCCGCCTTTGCCTTTGCCGCCTTTCCTGCTGGTATTGATGATGACGAGGTAGACGACACTTATCATTACCCGGAAAATGAACAGAACCATGCGTATGAGCAGGAGTATGAGTATGAGGAACAGGAACAGCAACACCCAGCATGCAGCTTCGGCGGCATGACGCTAGGCGACCACATGCCCCCCGTATGCAAGCACCTGTTGGCCTGTGTGCTGGCGGAAAGCTGCCCTACGCTATTTGGCGCCTTTGTCCAGGAAAAACACGTTACGCTTGCCGAGGCAGCTGCATGGGCCGCGGGCTGGGGTGATTGAGGCTACATGTAGTCTGTATGTATAGCGTACGTTTAGTCTTTAGTCTGCACAGCACATGTCTAGTCTGTCTAGAGAAGCATGCTGCTTGGATACCCGCCGTTTGGCAGCACGGCATACACATGTACAATCAACCCAAGCTTAGAAACAATCTTCTTCTTCACCTAAAAAGCCAATTGAAACATACACCATGATTCAATCAATCTCCTTTTACTCAATTGGTCATTTCATTCACATAATCATGCCCACTACCATCTTCTTCACACGGCATCAAGCGACATTCACAGATTCATCTCATTCCACTCAATCGGTCATGTCATTCATATAATCATGCCCATTACCACCACAAGGCGCCCAGTGCTATGGTACACTTCTTCGCTGCAAAAGCCGGCTACTTCTGGCCCGGTGCTTCCCCGTGCTTCCTCAACCCCCTCAACCCCTTCCCCCCAAAGTGTGTCTTACCCCCCCTCATCCCCTCTTCTTCTCCTCCTTGGCCTTTTCCTTGGCCTTGTCCCCCTCCTTGGCCTCGCCGCTCGCCTTGTCATCCTTCTTGTCCTTGTCGCTCTCCTTGGCCTCGTCCTTCTTGGCCTCCTTGTCCTCTGCCTGCTGCTTGTTCTGGATCTTGTTCTCAATCAGGTCGTGGAACGCGGTAATAGCCCGGATCAGACTCGACAGGTAAATCGCCATGAGCTGGTCGTTGGTCTTGACGCTCATGGCGCGCGCCAGCTCGCCATTGTCCACGCCGCCCGCCTGGCCCGCTGCTGCGCCCACGCCGTTGGTCGCCCCGCCCACCGGCGCCGCCTTGGGCGTCGACAGGTTGGGAAGCAGGTTGAACACGTCTTGCAGATTGCCCAGAATCGCGTGATTGACGGGCAAGTCCTCGTCCAGCACCTTCTGCAGGTACTGTCCAATGTCTCGTAACCGCAAATGTAGCCCTTGCAGCGACTGCAGTTGTGACGTTATGCGTGTGGAGAGGGTACCGACGGCGACGTCGCGAATGTCACGCAGGAGGTGCTCGACACCAATTTCTTCCGCCTCCTCGGCTTCGATTATCGAGGGCGTGTGCACAAACGTCTTGGAAGTCGTTGTGCCGTCCTGTGCAGATTAGCAAGATTCCATTTCCACTTCCATGTCTTGCCGCCAAGCACTCACATCCTTAATCTCCTCGACTGCAAAGTAGGCATCTGTGGGTACGCCCACCTCCTTGGGCTGCACGTCGATGATGACCAGCAGCGGGTTTGGCGTGTAGCGCTTGAACAGCTCATTCACCTCCAGGTCCGACGCCCGCAGCTTGGGCCCCGTGTGATACCAGCCGATGAGCTTCTCGCGCGCGTTGATCTTCTTGAACATGTCGTTCATCGACTCGACGTAGTTGTGGTCGAGAAACCATACCGACGGGTCCTTTTCGTCCTCCTCAAACGGTACTGCAAGCCGGTCAGCCAGTGCAAACGAGTCCCGCCCCCGCTGGAATGGCTCAGGCGGCAAACGGGGCGGGCTTGGAGGGGCTACGCACCCGCAAAGCTGTTGGACACGCGTACATTCTTGCCGTCGTTCTGGCCTAGAAGCACGCCGACGACTCTCCGCTTGGTGCCCTTTGCTTGCCGGCCATAGTGGTCTGCTGCCGAAAGAAGCACAAGAGGCGCGACCGAGACGTTGCGGGTCACAAGCGACAGCGTCTCTGCTGTGGTGGCGGGCATGCTGATGGCGTGTACCCGATATCGCCGATGGTTTGGTTGGAATTTCCGGAGCAAGGGCGACGGTGGCGGGTGTTGACGGGGCGAAGTGGGTTGTCGTTATTGTAGGTGTTGATGCGGCTCTGCCATGACCCTCTAAGCTTTCGGTACTGTGAGATGCTGAGTGGGTCAGAGCTCCGCGCTACTATAGCTTCCCGAGCGGTGCGTCAGTATTCGACACCACCCGGAATCAACCAATGTCATTTACTCCACACACAGAATAATCACACTCTCTGCTCTCATTGAATCACTCGCCACAGCCCAGAGTAGCATACGGGCGCATGTGCAGACCGGCATCTCTATTTGGACCATGGAAAGCCAGCAATATCAAATCATTGGTATCAAAGAAGGTATAATACAAACTGCGAATCCCCAAGACGAAAGCGGAGACTCGGGAAAAAACCACCCTATGGCCTCGGAGTATCTCAACATCTCAATACAAGGCCTTAGACGACGAAGAAAAGACGGGCAGTGGGCTTCATTGCCGTCCATTGCCTAAAACCAGGAGCTCCATGACAAACATTACCGCATAACATGCAAAGTACATAGCGACACAAATTTACAGAGTAGCAGTCGGGAAGTAGTACTGGTCCCAGAGGAACTCATAGTCTTCGATGACGCCGCCGACCATGTCGAGAAGAGGCTTGCCCTTGAGCTTTGCGGTTATCGAGTGGATCCAGGCCCTGATGCATTGTTAGCTTGATGCACTGGCCAGAGTTGGAGGAACTTACTTGGTGATGTTCTCGTAGAACGCGCCACGCATGGCCCACCAGCCCAGAGACCAGCCTCGCTTCCGCAGCTCTTCCCTCTCCAAACCAGTCAGACCGCGAAGGCCTCCGGCTAGTCGCTCTTTAAAGTCCTTCTTGGCTAGCTGTCTGGCACCATACTCGATGCTCACACCAATCAACCACGGTCGCCAGCTCTTGCGGTCGCCGCTAAAGTGCTGCATTGCCAAGGCATAGGCAACAGGTCGCAAAATGTACAGTACCTCAGCGAGCTCACCCTTTCCGCTCACTCGGTGCAACAATGCTTTGGGTGGTTTGATATCATCGGCCGTGAGCACCTTGGAGAGGAGGTAGCTGGAGATATCTGAAGAGTCGGGCAGGCTGGGCATTGACAGGCCAGTCCTGGGCATCGTCCAATTCTCAGCCTCGACGGAGCGCTCGCTTGGCGGCGTGTCCATTCCGTCGGCCGACGCCGACGAATCTTCCAGCGAGCTTGGGTCGACCTCTCGTTGGGGAAGCGGGGGAGACAAGAGAGGGCGGGAGTTGGTCAATCGCAACAGCAGCAATCGGCACACTGCCTTTACGACCTCGAGCAACACCACCACGCGCCATCGCACCTTTTCGCCCTTTCTCTTGGCCGCCATCTCCCACAGCAGCTCGGTATATTGGATCATCTGCAGGACCAGCGCAATGCGCTTGTACGTGGGCGAGTTTTGCGTCCAGAACTTGGTGTATCGATGATGCGGGGTGACGGGATGCCGGCGCGTCCCGGGCATCTGTGCCATGGCTTTGGCGAGGAGAGAATCATGGTAGAGAGAGAGGACCTGGACGCCGCTGTGGACTGGACATGTGTTAGTCGATGCCGACGCGCCGTCGATGGGCGCACGACTTACGAGATTCGGAGGCGATTTCGGATTCCCGGAAGCGTCCTGGGCAGCGTTAGTGTGAATTCAAGGCGAAGGCGTGCTGCCATGTGCGTACCAGGGATGATGTATGTCAGTGAGCGCAGCGCAGACTCAATCTGCGTCACGGCGCTGCTGTTCTTTGTGATGAAGTCAGAGTACATGCCGAGCCACCTTGGCGGCAGCGACAGCACCTCACCCGTCTTCTGCGTTGCTTGTTTATACATGGCTGCAACCGCCACAGCCAACGCGCCGGAAAGTGGCGCTGTTGCGACGTGTACGTGGAGGTTGTTGGTATATTAGGAGTCGAGGGCGAGGGTGAAGTCATGGATGCGTTATCGCGTGCCCGGCCAAGTACCGAGGCACCTACGGCTAGCCGACTGCCATACCCTCACCCTGGCTACCCCGGATGCCATCTCCACACCAGCATGGCAGTGTGTGGTTCAACATGTCGCACGTGAAGCGGCCGGCCGTCCCAAGCCTCTCTCGAAGGATTTGCCTTGCTGTCGGTAAAAAAGGAGGCCCCGTGATTGCAAGTGGCTGTCAGCTTTCTCTTGCTTGTACATGGTCCTCAAAACAGCGTTTTTTTTTGCCGCATACTCACATGCGATGAATTGCCTTTGAGAGCATGTCGAGGGATTTTGCAGCTCCTCTCCCTCGAGACACGACTGTGGCGTAGGGCCAGATGTGTATGGCACGTGACTACGCGAAGACTAAAACCACGGGCGCCTGATTCACGCGCCTTTCCGCCTCGAAACATACGCCTCAAGCACAAGCCAGTTTCAGACATTACCAAGCGATCCTGCTTCATCATGACAAACAACAGCCAGCCTCCTCTTCCTGTCCCGCAGGTACCCATCAGGGAAGCAGACAAGCAGCTCTTCGCATCCATCAACTCATTCGTCTACGAGTACATGTCAAAATACGACAACTCCCACGACTACCAACACATTCTACGTGTCTTGTCCAATACCAACCGAATACTGCAGGCCGAGCTGAAAGCCAACCCCTCGGTCGCCTACGATACCACGCCACTGTTTCTGGCTGCCCTTTTGCATGATGTGGGCGACCACAAGTATGCGAAGCCAGGTGAAGACGCCGAGAACCAGATTGCCAACACGCTGCTTCAGCATAGCGCATCCAGCGAGCTAGCCACAAAGGTCCAGGCCATTGTCAAGAATCTGTCGTATTCTCACGAAGTCCGCGATCCCGCCCGTGTGGCCTCGGCGATGGCGCAGCACCCCGAGCTAGCCATCGTGCAAGACGCTGATCGCCTCGATGCCATTGGCGCGGTGGGAATAGCACGTTGCTTCTCTTTTGGTGCAGCAAAGATGCCAGAACAGCCCATGGACAGGGCCATCAGCCACTTTGAGGAAAAGCTGTACAATCTTGCAGGAATGATGAAGACGGCTGCCGGCAAAGACATGGCAAGCAGAAGACACAAGGTGCTTGAGGAATTTGCCAAGGAGTGGAAAGGGGAGACTGAGTTGAGTTTGGAGCTGCAGTGACGGGAAGAGACGCAGGGATAGCAGATCTGTTACCTTGAGGGACCAAAGATGGAATTGGCTCGGAAGCCATTCCGTGCCTCACATCCAATAGCTCGACTGCGGCATCTTCAGTGATGGATGTGCCCGAATCCTAGCATGCAAATCACCTGCAGTGCGCACTTGTTGACCGATAAGATGCAGATGAGCTGAATTGCATACAACAGACTGTTATGCTCGCTTCACCGGTTATGGCGGCATTGCACGTCGTATCAGCAATCCAAATTGGAGATTCCATGTCCTGAAGAGAATGCAACGCAGCAAAGGCTTAGCAATGCTGCTGTGGTTTGACCATGTCGCTGAAGTGAATGAGATGACGACATGCTGGCTATGCAGGAGAGCGATGGGTGTGGGCCAATGGACGTCTACCTGCCGAGGCGAGTGCATGCTTCCGTTGCAAAGTCTCCTTCAGCCGCTGTCGGTGAACGAGTACAGAATGGGTCGACGAGAGCGACAGCTGGATGTTGCCGTCGGCTTGGGACTGGCGTGGTCTCAAGCCAAGAGGGCTATATGCGCACCTAACGCAGGGATTGGCACTGGGACGATCTGGGCTCTCCAAGGACACCCAAGATGGGGACATGGTCGCCGTGGAGCTAGAACAGGTCACGTCTAGCCGCTGCTGCTGGAGAGTCAATGTCATGCATGAAGCGCCGCACATGGACTGCTGGGGTTGGCACGGCTCACAAACCGAGCGCCATGTGGAATTCACTGCCACATGGAGCTTGTATATGACGTTGTAGCCCTCAGCAACTGACGTGCTGCATGTGCATCTCAGTCATGCACTCTCGACTCCAACACGACGGCAGGCAAAGGAGCGGCACGCGACTGGCAACAAGCGGCTACAATTGCCCGATTCAAAAAAAAAAGACACGACCATGGCCGGCTGCACGACGCAAAGTTGCCCGTTCCGAGATGAACGAGAAAAACGAGCGTGGCAGCAAGAGGCCGTTTCTCTTCTGGAGTCGTGATAGCAGAATCCGATTGGCGGGATGAACTGCCGCGTCCCAATCACCATGCACATTGGTTTTGACGCTACTCCACACTGCATGGCCATGGACTTTTAATAGAATTCCATCTCGGGAACCCGATGCAGTTTTTCCAATCTTGATCAAAACAGCAGCCCTCGGCCGCCGCGAATCCCCATCCTGACATGCGTCCTCTCCGCCCACTTCTGCCCTCGGCCAAACGACCCTTGAACGAGCCGCTCCCGCCCATCCCCCGCGACCGTGTCGCCTCGGCCTGCGACCAGTGTCGAGCCCGCAAGATAAAATGCAACGGCGACCGCCCACGCTGTCTCGAATGCGTCAAGCGCGGCACCTCATGCCACTATGCCACGCGCTCAGCCGAGACGCAGGGCCAAGCGCTCAAGCGCAAGCACGACGCTCTCCAGGCCGAAAACGAGGCCTACGCCGAGCTCTTCCAACTCATCAAGACAAGGCCCGACTACGAATCCCACGAGATTCTGCGCCGCATCCGCACCGGTTCCACGGTCAAGGACGTTCTGAGGCGCATCAAAGAGGCCGATTTGCTCATGCAGCTGAATCCGAACACCCCAACTCCAACACCCACTACTATTACTACTATTGCTGCAACAACAAAACAAGAACCTAGTAAACACCGATATACCCTCCCACTTATCCCGGGGATGCCTGCGCACCTGCTGAACCCAGATCCGGTGTGCTGTTCACCTGCGTTTTCAGCAGCCCATACTAGCAGCGCCTCGGCAGCGGACTGCTGAGTTCAACGAACCCAAGTGCGGATTCAGAAGAAAACCCTTAGTCAAGTCCCGAGAGTTGTATCTACACACCTCAGAACGGACAACCCCTTGATACCTGGACACGCGGATAGCTGGGTAACCATCCCCTTGCCACATGTTTCCCACCTGCAAGATTCGGGTACGTATACATTTACCTCATCAGCGTTGCAAACTGCCTATGTAATCACGCTCACAAATCACTTCTCAGGACGCCCATTGCTGGCTGGAAGTACCCCTTCTTGCTCATTTGTCAGCTTCGGAAAACCCAATACAGCTGGCTCTGTCTGGGGTACATGCATCCATCTGTTATTTTTTTTCACATGAAAAAAAAGAAGAAGAAGAAGAGAACGATGAAAGAGGAAAGAGGAAAGAAAAATCAACAACCACGTGCATGCTGCTGTGGCTGCTCATAAATCCTAGTGTGTCATGGCGAAAAAAAAGGCGTCCAGTCCTCGAACCTTGGTTTTGATTTTCTAGCTTGTGTATACATAGATACCAAGCGCCATTTTCCCCCCTGTATCAATCACAACTACTCGTAGATCCGACAAGCCCAGGGGAACAAGAGCCATGCGATCCACGTACACACACACACAGTCGGCTTGTGTAGGAAAAGGAAAAAGCTACGCTACAGCTACAATGAGCAAAAGAAGGGCGCAGCACGCGAGAGGAAAGCAGAGTGTACAAGAGCTGGATAGTATACTAGCACACCATCTACTCTCCACATACCTTTTGTATGTCGCATCTTTCTCCGGCTTCTCTGGATTTGTGGAGAAAAACACAGGCGGGCGGTGCTACATGCAGTGAGACAAAAAAAGGGTGGTTCGCGAAGCGCATGGTCGTGGTATACGAGCGCCCTCTTTCTCTCTGCTTGAAAGTAGCTGGTATACCGAACCAAGCACAGCGCATTCATGCGCCGTCAAGTTTGTCAGCAAGAAGGCAGTGCTCATTGTGGGAATTAGCCGTCAAAAAGAAGAAGATGTAGAAGAAAAACATGCATGTTGCAGAAGTCGCTTTGTTTGTGTCATGCAAAGACAGACAGACAGAGAGAGAGAGAGAGAGAGAGAGAGAGAGAGAGAGAGAGAAAGTCATATCCATTCGTGTTTATACAACCATGATTCTTTATCAACTACACATTTATCATAATGGCTTAATTCCCCACAGCCTGAGGATTCCAAAACACGCTTTGGGGATCAACCTGTTTCTTGATGCTCAACAAACGGGCATACACCTCGTCGCCATAGTACAGCTTGTGCGCGGTGGCCGGATCATACGTGGGATCGACGTAGTTGAGGTAAGCGCCAAACGTGGTTTGCGGCTGCGCCTTGATAATGGCGTCGTTGATGCCCTGGATAAAGTCCATGGGAGTGGAGCCGTAGCCCCAGTTCTGCAGGACCCACAGGCTGTTGCGGTCGTCGTACGCGGCAAACTTGATGTCCTTGGTGTTGATGGCGGAGCCGGGGCCGCCGTACAGGTTGATGATGATGTACCATTCCTTGGCGGAGCCGGAGCGCAGGTGGTCGTAGAGAGCGTCGAGGGCCGCGGCGCTGAGCCCGCTGGATTCAGGGACTGTGACGGATTTGGCGAAGAAGTCTTCGTGGTCGTTGTAGCCGCCCACGGGCACCTTGATGCTGGTCTTGCCGGACACCTTGATCTGGTAGTCGTACCAGTTCATGGCCTCGACGAGGGGGCTGACGGGGTCCGGGAGCGTGCGCAGGAGCTCGGGCTTGATGGTGGAATTGAATTCCTCGGGGGTGCCGAAGAAGGCGCCGCTCAGACTGTAGCTACCCGAGCCATCGAGGTAAATGCCAAAGGAAATGCGGTGGTCCACGACGGTGCTGTTGGTGGCAAAGTCCTGGAGGTGGAGGAATGTCTTTGTCCAGACGTCCTTGGAGTCGTGGATGCCCTTGAATGCAAACTGGAAGTATGTGATGCTGTCTGGTGCTGGGTGTGTCTGGATGTAGAACTTGATGCCGATGCCAAACGAGTCGGCAGCACCCCTAAACGCCCACCAAAGATCTGGCGATTGCGTGGCAGACGCGTTGACAAGCTTTCCGTCAGCCGTAACAATCTCGACGCCAACGATCTGGTCCAAGGCCAGTCCTCAGTTGCGACAGGCGTGGCCGTAACCTCCGTGCGTGTAGTGACCTCCGACACCGACGCCAGGATAAGTACCATGTGGAACGGCAGCTTTGCCCTGAGTCCAAATGCCATCGCCAAGGTTGCCCAGGCGGACACCACCTCCGACGGCTGCAATACCAGTGTCTTTGTTGAGCTCAACCGTCTGGAAGCCCTCGAGGTTGATCTGCATGGCGCCGTTGATGCCACCAGTGTTGAAGTTGGCATACGAGTGGCCGCCAGACTTGGCCTGAACCTTCATACCCTGCTGAGCAGCGCAGGTGACGGCATCTTGCACATGCTGTGCAGTGGTGGGCAGAACAATAACAGCAGGGCTAAAGGGTATGCGCAGGTTGTATACCTCTGAGAGCGTCGCATACTCGACGTCGCTGCTGATCTTGGCAGGCACATTCTTGTTGCTCAAGCACTTGTAAATGTCCTCGGCTGCTGGAGTCGGTGGGGATGACGACGGAACTGGTGAAGGAGATGGTGAAGGCGCAGGGGAAGCTCCACTACAAGTTCCAAAGTCCGTCTGACATCCGCTTCCGCACTAAGTAGATGCTGTTAGCCAAGATTCGTGGTACTATACGAGCGACTTACATGTGCTGAGGTGGATCCGCACCATCCGTACTGCGAGCAGCAGTCGCCGTACGAGGATCCCTTGCATGTAAAATCTTTAGATGCACCGCAGGTGCCGTCTGTAGAGACAGCCCGCCTGTCTAGCGCTGTGGCTGGTGTAGCCGAGACGGCGCCAATGGAGAGAGCGCCCAGGGCGAGAGAAGCGACAAACCTCATTGCGACACTTGGTTGACGGAATACGGATAAGGGAGGGCGCCGTTGCAGTGGGGGTAAAGAAGCAATTGAATAAAGTAAGCCCAATATTACCCCAAGGTCTAAGAGCGGCGATAGTTGGGGTAGTATAGGCACGGGCGGGTGAGAAACAAAAAGTTCCTGGACAAACGTAAGACAGCCCAGGGTGCCGGGTCTGCGAAAGATGAGCGCAAAAGCGTCTTTTAAACAGGCACAGACTGATGCCCGCCGTCACCTTCTCGTACTGTAGCATTGTAATGTACCTGCGTCAGGCCTACGCCCTGTAGCGATCCACCCAATACGACGAAAAAACCCATCTGCCCTAGCCACCCGGTACCCGAAGCTCTTCCCCCCCCCTTGCGCCTTTACGGATTGCCACGTTGATTGCCGTTTCCGGGCGGATACGAGCTGACTACAGCCATTGCCCCAAGCACGGGCAAATTGCGTGGAAAAACAACCGTTACCTGGGCGTTCTTTGTCGACGAAGCATAGCCACGACAGCGTGCAACACGGCGAGAGAGAGAGTTGGCTCTAGTCGAAGCCTCAATGTACTACGACATTAGGCTGTTTTGGCCTTGTGAAGATGGCTGGAGTGGCGGCTGCAAGGCCGGCTCTTCATGGGTGCTGGCATGACGTCGCGGGGTGCCTGTTTTCCTTGGCCATGTCAGTCGTGAGATGTCAGTCGCGCAGCAAAGAGTAAAGATTCGCCATGTCGGCATGTGTGATGTATAGAAGGGCAGATTCGGTCGATAGTGCCGTGCGCCCAAGATTGAGGTCATTAGCGGTGGAGAAGATTAAGTGGACCTGCAGGAAATGCGTCTTCTTGGCAGTACCGGACGGCGGCGGGCTCGACACCAGTGCCAGCGCTATTTTTGGCACCCCTGGATCTCGCTAAAAAGGGGAAAAGAGGCTGGCAGGCATTTGTGATTGTGACGTGCTGGCATCAAGCATTGGGTGAAGCAGTCGCTTCGTGGCTTGCCAGAGCTTATATTTGGATTTGCAAAGAGAAATACGATGATACCTTGGACGCCTGGTCATGGCCGAATCATCTACACATCTGCGTCATCTCCATCTTACTTGGAGAGCCTGTCTCTCCACAACCACGTGACCGATCAATTTTCAGAAGCTCATCCGTTTCCCTCGTATTCAAGCACCCCAATAGCCTTGTCATACCATGGATTCACAATGTAGTACAAAGTAGTCGAAGAATACGGTGCCAAGGCCACCTACCGTGCTTGTCTCTCGGATCGCTGAGATGCTTGTAAATGGGCGGGATCCAGTCAGCATGCGTCGTAAGCCAGTATTTGCTTAAATCATGGAGTAAATATCCCCCGTGGCTCCGGGCCTGTTCAGAACTTTCACGGCGGGGGTATGGATGTTCATATTTAGCTCAACATGGGTTCTGGGCGTGCCTGAGGGGAGGGGAGAAAGTAATGTAATAAACATTGAGTTCACTACAGACATTTGGTCATTGTTCATGGGTAAAGTGCTAGTATTTACTTACTATACTGGATTTCAACAAGACTGAACGAAATAATCACTATTTGGTACCATGTAGTCGCACTGCCGCCTACACGTTACTCGTGTCCGTCTCGCGCTTCCACTGGCCCAAGAAGCCTTCTACCATCCACTTGTATCGCTGCTCGGCCATCTTCCGCCCCGAGTCTGTCAACATAAGACGGGAGTAGTGGGCGAAGCGGTCTTCCAGGAGCCTGACGTTGCTCTGTATCACCGCCCAGCGCGGAGACTCACTCATGTCGTGGTTTAGGATGAGTCGACTCATGCCAATGGCGCCCAATTCATCCAGACGGCGTGCATCATGGATGACGCGGAAAGGCGGGTATTCACGTGCAAAGGCATCCATGTCGTCTTGGTTAGATGATTTGGCAGTCGCAGAGACTCTCGCAGCCAGATGAGCAGCCTGGCGACGAATGTGCAGCGGGCAGCCTAGGGGCTTGAGGAAATCGTCAATGATGTCAATCTGGTCATAGTCCCAATTGTCGGTTTCATGCTCTGAAGCTCCGACGGCGCTAGTCATGCACGCAACCCAGATGATGACGGGGTCGATTCTACGCGCCCATTCGTGATGCTTCTTTTCCTTGTCTAGGATACGGATGGCATTGGAAACGAGGCGGCGCGTGTATTGGTAAGTGTGCGAAGGGTCGAGGCCGTTCATGAAATTACGTACCGCAAGGTTGACGACTCCGAACCAGACGCGATGCTCGGGCTTGAGGTGGAGAAGGTCCAGGTTGAAGAGTGCGTCATCGTTGGTTTCTGTGCTGTGCTGGTCAGATGCTAGGGCGTTGGGGAATGGCTGTATGGGCGTGCCTGAGTGGGCCATACGGCGGGAGATGGTCGCGATGACTGAGACCATGTTTGCTTGTATGGGTTGTGTAAGTAGTGGAAATGTAGAGTGGTGTATGGTGGTTATATCGAACTGGGCTGGGCTGAATCTGCTGGGTGAGGAAATCAAGCCCCAGACAGGAAGAATAGCGCTGCAATATAAGACAAGAAGCAGTGAATTGCGTGTTGTCCCAGCCTGTCAGTGTGCAGGCGGTTTCGAGCACAGTGTGAGTGGATGTTGCAGTTGGCAGAAAGAAACCCATCGGCGGTCTGCAGCGGCGTGAGAGCATTCATGGTGAAGGACTGGGTCTGGGACACTGGTGAGTTTGCGCTGTGAACAAACACGGCCATTTTCTTTCTCTTTGCGGGGTCTGGCGAGGGTGAGAGCAGCCGTGTTTGTGCGACGGCCGCCCAGCCAGGGCAGGGCGCAACGCACTGTTCACCTCCCAGCGCGTCACGTGCGCGCTAGCGACTAGCGCCCGCCCTGGGGTTTATATTCCACGCCGCCCCCGTCCCCCCTCCTGCTTCCTCATACTTACCTTCTTGCGACTCACCAAGCTCAAGCATTTGGTGGTCTGGCTCGTTCGCCTGCATTGCACAGCGCGGTGTGGATAAGTCACGAGCTTCCTTCGGGAATCTCGGCGGGGCAATTTTTGCTGGTCGCATGTTCGCATGCTTTTGTCGTTTTCATTAAGTGTTCTGGCTGGGCCAGTTGCTTGAGGAAGATCGTTTGGGTGTGGGCTGGAGAGGGAAGGGTGCAAAGACGCGTCGTATTGGATGTGATAGCTTGATGTTGCGTGTTGAATCGCTATCCGCCATGTGTATGCCTGTACAGCGATAGGCCGTCTCTTCGCAGCTGGCCGTCTGGCTTCCCATTTTCCATGCTGCGTGCCTCTATCTCGATTCTGTCCCGTCCTTGCTTGCATAGTCCTCTTTCGTGTCTGGCACACCAGCTTCTTCGACAGGTCCATCTTCTCCAGCAGCCCGTTTCGCGTCCTCCAGTGCCCTGTACTTTCGCCTCGTCTTCTTGGCCGCACTCGCCTTCTTCTTGCTCTTCTCCCTGGCCTTGACCCTTGTCCTTGCATTTTCGCCTAGCTCCAACTCCTCAATACGGTCCTGCAAAATTCTTCTTGCCATCTTGCGGTTGACCTCTCTCGACCGCGTGTCCTGGTACTTGACCACGATGCCCGTGGGAATGTGCTTGAGTTGCACGGCAGAAGACGTCTTGTTGATTTTCTGCCCGCCAGGCCCGGACCCCTTGAGGAAGTTTTCTATGAGATCCGAGTCGACGAGGACTGGCCGCGGCGGAAGGGCTTTGGAGAGGCGCGCAGAGGAACTGTGAATAGCGGCATGCTGGCTGCGGACGGGAGCCGTTGCGCGGGCGAGAGCGAGGCGGGCGATAGGTGGGAGCGAAACCATTGCCATCTTCTCAAGCACAAGAGCGGAAGCGATGCATCAACGGCATTCTTCTTGGACGGGATTAAACGCGCGGAAGAGCTTCGCCGCCGCGCATAGAAGCGCTGCTGGTCGTCGGGTCGTCTGGCGCGTCACACATCCTTGTCCAAATCCGTCGTGGTCCCTGACTGTCAATCTCCCTCCACCACTCACCCCATTTCCACGCCTTTCTACAACTAGCACATCCGCCGCCCGCCCACCCCCTCAAACCCGTGCCGTCTCTCTCCCGGCCGGCCCTTTACTAGTCACGTCACCTACTAATACCGCTGTCCCCTCGTCTGCGTCCCATGATTGACCCGACCTCCCTCGCAACCGTCGTCCTGTTGGCCTCTGCATCCGCCCTCCTCCTCGCAGCCATGTTCTACCCGTCCAAGATGCTCCGCTGGTTCCAGCGCAAGCGATACCAATACGAGGTCACATTTTCCCTGTACATGTTGACGCCCACAGAGAAATTCATCTTCAGTACGTTCCCACACGCCTTGCCTTTCTGCGCCTCGTCTTACCCTCAACCCCCCTTTCCACTCTCACTCCGTATCAGCTGCACTGCACAGGAAACAGGAAAAGACTAACAAACTCAACAGACTCGGTGCTTTTCCTCCTTCTTTCTCTCCTCATAATAGCCGCTTGCCTCTACCTCCCCGAGCATCTTTCCATCATCGCACACCGCATTCTCTACTACATATCCGGCCACCAGCACTCGCTCGATGCCCACAAGGTGAGCCATTCGTCAATGCCCCCCTCGGATATGTCGTCGCACGCGCCATTGGGAGGCGGTATCAATGCCAACGGAAGGGCCCATATGGAGATATAGGAATACACCGGATTACATCGGATCATTGAGCGTAGCTACATTCTGTAAAGAAATAGAGGGATACGGCGTTTATACTGGAATCTAGAACGCACGGCTGGACTGTTTGTACCTGTGCGAAGCCCTGCCAGATATATGGACAAGTGCTTCTTGTATAGCGCCTGCATATTACATACATTATGAACAAAGAAGAGCAGGCCGTGTTCATATCAGAACAGTCCAACGCAACGGCGCCAGACTCTCAGCAAATCAACATCTCATTTGCAATTAACTCCACAACACGAGATACCATAGTTAATGTTAATACACACCTCGTACACGATATATCGACTGCGCTCCGACCACGCAAGCCAAGAAAAAACATTACACGAAGCGACCCTACATATGCACACATGTATGTACCCTGAAAGTGTCAAAAAATTTAGTCCCTGTCAAGATGTGACATGTGCATACTACATAAAATACATACGCGAACACGCCATCTTCTGTGCTTTGACTTGCTTGCTTATTTGCTTACCCGTGTAAACGTCAACTTGAACCTATGTGCTGTGCAATTATGCATACATACATCCAAGTATGGTCTGAGTAGGATCCACATTATACATACATACATACATATATGCATGTGCGCGTCTATATGTCCCTGCTTCTATACACAGCTCCCACATACCCCATACCTTGGTCATTACTGACTAACCATGACTAATACACCTACAGACGCTTGTTGAGAAACTATGTGTGCCGAGATCCGTAGGTCAAAACCTGCTTCGGTTTCAGATAGCACAGGCGTTTCTTTGCCGTGGCGTGAGTGTTGATGGATTCGGAAAGAGAGAAGAAGAAACAGGTAATGTACGGTACAGTACAAGTTGATTGGGAAGAAAAGGAATGTGAATATTGCCTCCGTAACTACATAACAAAAAGAACCTCCAATGCACGTGTACCTATACAGAGTGGAATGTTGTGTACTCGATACCGAGATGAATGAATGAATAGACCACCCCCCCCCCCGTTCTTTTTTCCCCCCGTTCCAAACATGCATACAAGATAGACCACCTTGATCTTTTTTTACATTCCAAACACACAAGATAGAATCCCTCCGTCTTCTACATGCCAAATAAAACGCGAACAGCATTACTCAACGCTGCAGCCGTGTAGTCGCCGACCGTCACCAGAGCCGGGACATCAGCCGCAGCGTTGACATAGGCTTTCCCCGTAGCATCGTCGCTGACAATGAGCACGACCATGGGGATGCCTGCTACCGAGTCGTTCTCCTTGATTTCTCGCGCGATGCCCCGGGCAAACTGCAGCTGCTTCTCGAAGGCCTGGGCGTGGTACCCGAGGACGTTGGGCGTGGCGCAGATGACGACGACGACGGCGCCGCTTGTTGGCAGAAAGTCTGCGTGCGTCTCGGTTTTGCCGTAGTCCAGACGGTACGGGACATGTCGCACTTTTCGGGGTAGTGCTCGGCCCAGCGGCTCGAATGGGTCCATGTCTTTGGCCAGCGTTGTGGTAGGCGGGTGGGGTACCAGTGGCGTGAAGAGGGTGATGATCTCGGCTTCGTTGAGGTGTCGTAGCCTCTCCAAGAGGCCTCTTGGGCATCGTACCAGTTTGGCGTCGCCAGCGGTGGAAGCGCCTTGGAGCATCGTGGTGAAGGCTGATGTGTGGGATGCTGGATAGATGCTTCTTGGGTGGAGAGGCTTGGGAGTGACAAAGGCCAGTGTTCTTTGCTCATACATGGCTACAGGCTGCAGTTGTACCAGCAACCCCGTGAAGGCGATTCCTCAAAAGATGAACCGACAATGCAGCAATATTGCACAGTCATCTCCCGCAAAAAAGCTTTGGAAGTCTTCCCCGTTTAGGTTCCGGAACTTTCCTAGCTCGCGTCTATTACCTGTAATGGAACAAGTTGGGCCCCCCAAAGGACTGAGAGAGAGGGAGAGAGAGAGAGAGAAAGATTACCCCGTAGGAACGGTGACCCTTGATTACTAGGCCAGGTCCGGAAACGCCAATGACCTATACCCAAGGTAGGTGCCTGCGTATGATTGTCAGAAGCACAAAAATGTAGCTATGCAGTGCTTTTTCAACTGCGCCAAGAGCATACAATCAACCCTAGGTATCAAGTGGTTTGGATGCTATTGGTGCCTGGAAACTTGGGTAGTCGAGTCATCCAAATGTAAGCTTCCAGATGTGCATGTCGAGATTATTGAAATCAATCGCCTGGGTGGCACAAGATCAAACGGAGAGAGAGTAGCACAACCTTGGACCAGACGGGCACGATTCGCAGATAAAGCATGGGTTTGAGCTGTGCTGAGCGGAAGTGATGCCGACTGGCTGGCATGTTTCAGTCAAGGTTCACGACCGATGGGTAGCAAGCAGTCTGGTGGCGCAACTGCAGGTGTGGGCAAGTACCTGGACGGGCGTATCACTGCATGGCCACGGCTGTATCGGGCAGCAACAGGATCGTGTATCGAAGACGAACGCAGCATGGCGGGCTGGCATATGCTGGAAGCCGAGCCAGTGCTAATTTGTGCGGGGAATTGAAGAGCATGAGAGCCCTGGAATGCTCTCATGAGGGTACGTGTGAAGAAGAGCAAAGTCGCCAATTCAACGCCCTGTCGACATGTCCAGCATCAGAAGCGTAAAAGGACAGCTCAACCACTCAGAACCAGGCAACCAGCAACCGGGTCGGCAGGCCTGTTAGATAGCCGCATACGGACGCCATCATCAGGGTGGCGCATAGCGCGCGGGGACATGTACGCTTGGAGTCGAGGTTGCAGAGCGATGGCCGAGTCGAGGGCTGATGTCCAGAGGCAGTCGATCAATCTCACCGTTTGATGCTTGCTGTGTAACGCAACTGGTCGGCTTTAATGTGGCGATGGACGAGGGCTGCGATGCATGTTCCAGTGACGGAGTGCCCATGCGGGTGACATCTGCACGATTAATTGAACCAAGCATAGATAGCGCGGACGAGCCGCAGGTGCCCCGATCGGTCAGTGGAGCAGCATGTCGAGTCACTGACAGTGGGACAAAGGGCCGAATATGCAGGCAAAGGAGCCATAGAGCAGTGGATGCGCGTGTAAGAGGATGGCTGGATGGCTCGCGGCGGGCGGAGAGCTGCTCGCTTGTTTGACCCCCCAATCAAATCGGGCAAGGCGCGACTACATGTCAACAACCACGACGGCGACGCGCTCACGCATGCGGAAAAAAGAACCTACAACCCAACGGCTGGTCGCGGTCGTGTTATTCCACGCATGCTACTGGCTCTGACAGCGCCATGCCCTCCGCTGCCGGTAACCCCACCATCCTGACCTTGCGGGACGCGCCAGCATACTGATGGACTCGCCAGACGAGCGGCCCACGCTGCAGGAGACGCTAGACTTATTACACCAAGGTAGCTATCACGACGCCGCTGTGCGTTCAGCCAGCACGAGTGCTTACAGTGGCGTGCAGCTTCCAGAACGCCGGTCAAGCAACGCACCATCAAGCTCTCGAGCATAGTTGATGTCATATGCCGCTACGCGTCAGACGAGGGCCTTGACCAGGATGCTCTTCGAAAGGTTGTACAGCTGATATCGGTCAAGACATGCTTAGACCAGACCTCCATCACCACCCTGATTAGAAACCTGTACCCTGCCCGCCGCATCCCGCGTGATGTCATTGTCACCGTGGTCGGGGCCCTTGGGCAAGGCAAAGGAAAACCATCGCCTGGCACCCAAGACAGCCTTGTAAAGTGGCTTGTTACCGTCCACGAGATCATCGAAGATCCGCATGTTCTTTCACGTCTGTATGGCGTCTTGTTTGGCATGCTGGACATGATCAGCATCAGGTGCGTTGCTGGGGCCCAGTGTCAATGGCATGGCTAAGTTTAGGAGGACTCCCTTGTGCCATCTGCTGTCTCTCATCACTCGCCGAAAGCACGTCAAGCCCTTCCGAATACAGCAGCTGTAAGTATATGTGTTGACTCAAGGTGACGCTTTAAAATGCTTTGGCATAGCCACTAACTCTGCTCAAGTCTCGAGTTATCCCGCGGTTTGGGCAACGAACCAGCGCTACAGGGTCTCCTCCGTGTGTATAAGGACTACTACCCCGATATCATTCTTGGGAGCACTTCCACAAGCCGTAAATCTTTTGCTCCGGTGAGAGCCCGCACATTGTGCTACCACAAATGCAACATCGACTCTCCCACGCTACTTCCCCGCAGCCCACTGTCGCACTGCCGAACATGCACTGACTTTGTAGCGACCGGATGACGAATGGAGAGCCAGGATCGCTGCGGTTCATGAGGCAAGCACCGCAGCAGATTTGTCCGCCGCCCATGTCCACAACGGCTTCAAGGTGCTACGAAGAGGACCTAAAGATAGCAAAAACTCGGCTATACCAGAAGTGCACACGTACCATGCGACCGAGGTGAGGCATCACTTGGCAAACAACATGGCAGACACTGACATTTCGTGACAGAATTCGATAACCCTCGAGGGTATCGATAGTGTTGATGACTTTGTTGAGAAACTCGACAGAATAGAGCCTCCTGGTCAGCTGGTCTCGCTCCTTGCAGATCCACTGTTGCAAAAGTATGTTGATCTCAAACCATCACGGATCACAACTGCTAGAATCGGCATATGGCTCGCCGCCTGTCTGGAGGAGCAGTTTGAGGCCTATCGCCAAGGGGCTGGAGATGATCAACACCTTAATGAGATCCTTAGTGGTCTCCTGAGATATGCTCAGTATACAAAGGTGGGTACTGCGACTCTATTATTTCAGGCGAAACTGACCAGTTGAAGACATTGCATCCTACTGTGTTGGCATTCCTCCGAGAATATCTACCGGTGTGGGATGGGCAGCAGCACCTTGAGGCGATTCTAGGTCTGCTGTCTTACATCGACATAGAACGATTCGAAGACGTCCATGCGACATATCTTTCGCCGATGGAGCGAGCTCTAGCGGCTCAGAGCATCTCGGCGTACACAAAGCTCGCCGAGTACTACACTGCTCTCCTGCAGCATCATACATCGACGGCAATTACCGACTCTACCAGTCGCGACAGTGCACGCGATCAAGCACTAAGCGATCTGACGACGCACATAGCCACATTGTTCACATCAGCTCTTCTCTCAATACCCCCTGGGTCAGGCAGCGATGTCACATCGTCGATTCTTTCCTTCTACGAACTGCTCAGTACTTCCTCGAAACCACACGTCGTACCCATACAGCTTCCTCCGATGCATCTCATCTATCTTCTGGTCCAGGATACTTCGTCAACAACATTTGCACGCGTCTGCGGTATCATCGGCGCCTACAAGCTAGCTTTTGACAAGCACCCCAAACCCGTCAAGGCCTACTACCCTCTTGAAGTCACGGATACATTCAACCGCTGTCTGCGAGACATATACAACCTCATCTGGATAGGTCGCGGTCTCATGGTACAGGAAATGAAATCCCATGGATTGTACTGTGATCCGCTGCTTCGCTCTACCCTCCACACGTATCTGAAGAGCGTGAATCGCACATACGCCATCGATACAGCATTCAATCTGTCCAACAATGCATGGCTGGCGCCGCTGTCTGCTGCAGCGTGGCGTCAGATCGAGGAACGCATGATTGAAAAAGAGGGTCTTGATAAGAACAGCGTTACATTACATCAAGGTCCTGTTAGCGAGAAGAGCTTGGGGTTGCTGAAAGACAAGGGTGGTGTGAAGGTAGATTGGGACGGTGCACATGGGTACAAGGCCATGGTACTTCAGTGGCTGCATGAGAGAGGTCTCGGTGGGATCAGGCATTTGATGTTTGCTACAGTGATGAACCTAAAGGGTGCGTCATGAGTTGAGTGCATTCTCGAATGCTATTAAGTGTTGGTGTGTTCAAGTGTGCCACTGGTTGTGGGTTGGGTAATGTGTAGTTGGATATGCCACAACATCACCCGCTTTATAAAGATTACGATTAGATATACAAAATCATACAAAATCATACAAAATCATACAAAATCATACAAAATCATACAAAATCATGGAACTCACAGTGTCTAATGTGTATTGTGAGTGACAGTATTGTGGTGGGCGTAGGAGGCGTCAGTTGTGTAGCAAGTGTGAATATCTTCAGACCACGTTCAGAACATGTTCAGAACATGTTCTAAACACGTTTCCAACACGTTCCTAACACATTACGAATATTATATACAAATTTAAACATACCATCTCCGTAATAGTCGCTATAATGCCAGTGTTGAATCCAACACCCAGTCTCCACCCGATTGCACCCACGACTCTACCGTGCCCAAGTACTGCAACTTTGAATCGATTCAGAATTAGTTCAGAACTGATTCAGATTTGATGGGGCTCCAATCGGCTAATTACCACGTAAACACCGACAAGCGTCTTTGTCCAAGCTTCCAGCACAACATTCGACAAGTCTTTTCATCTCAACTTCCATCTCGGGTTTCACAACTCCTAACGACTTGACGACACCATATCGCGCAATGGATATCCTGGACTACATACGACAATGTGAACGCGAAGGTACACGTCTATCCCGTTTTCTCGACATATACACACGCGTACATACACACCGCTAATCTCAGTTTCGCCCAGACCGCGCACAAATGGAAGCATATCAAGCCGCGAAGGCCGCGGAAGCCGCGAATCCATCCGACAAAAAGGACCACGACGATGCTCGCCGCAATGGTAGCAGCTACAGCCCACCACTCGTTTTCCCACACTCCACGCAACTCATCACCGGATGCCACATCTGTCCTCAACAGAGCAATCTCAATCGCTGCGGCGGCTGCAGAGTAGTTTACTACTGTAGTCACCAGCACCAGGCCGCCGACCGACGAGCCCACAAGGCAGTATGCAAGAGCGTCATCAACGCAACAGCGCTACTGAAAGCCGACGAAGAAGCACTGAGATCACACAAGGGCGATGAAGACACGCCGCCCAATGCCTTTGAAACGGAAGTAGGCCACTTTTGGTGGTACCGCGGAACCAGGAACTACATGAAGGCCCGCTACACCCTTATGCGGATCCTGGCTCCGCTGGATACACGGCAGGCTGTGCAGACTGCGCTGGAACATGCCCTTGGTATCATGCATCTGAACCCAGAGGACCCCATGTGTGTGCGGAGCATCGCTGCGCCGTTGTTCCTGCGGCTGGGAAGAGACCAGGAGTGCTATGCTCTTTGCAAGTGGTGGGTCACGACGGGATGTGATGTGGATTACGAGTGGAAAGGCAACAAGGTGGTGCCTCATGAGACGTTGGCGGATGCGATGGAGGCTACGGATGTGTTTGAAGGAGTGAGGAAGTATGGACCGGGCAGTAACAGCTCTGCAATGCCGAGTTTTGCTGATCTCTCGTACGTTGTCAGCGTCACGCTGGTTAAAGTTCGTATCTTGCTGCATCTGAAGGCGCTTCAGGAGCGCAAAGGGGCTTCCTCGGAAGCGCCTGCGGACCAAGAGCCCAGGACGTTTGTGAGCAACATTGTGGCGAGCCGGCCTGAGATTCTCAACGCAGAAGACCAGACTATGCGTATCAAGGAGATGGAGCGCCAGGTCAAGCGCATGTATGCTGTGGTGCAGAGGGTGAACAAGTTCTTCTGGCCTACACTCGTGAAGCCAGGAGCCCACTTGATGGCCAACCCGTTGGAGTGTAGCATGGGCAGCGAGGCCGAGGCGCAGATGAAGTTGCAGGAGTGCCACAATTCTTGGGCCGAGACTCCAGGAGCGATTGATGTGATTAGGGTGTTGGTGAGGTGATAGTCAGGACCGTTTGGATATATATGCTGTTGTTGGTTTTGAGTTGGTGTATGACAGAATGGAGTTAGCTATGTGATAGTAGAAATGTGTATCTGGTTTTGTTTGGAGAGTTTGTATAGAAGTATGCCAACTGGTGTTCCTGCAGTAGCAGATTATCACATTGTAGGAAAAGATGCAGGCTATCATATCAGCTCGCTTGATTTCTTACTAGAGGGCTAATGCCGTTGCTATTACTTTCATGTATCTACCTTATGCAGCACGCGCGTTGTCTCCGTCCTACATAGCATGATTCTTGCTCTATAAAAATCGACAACGCCCCACTATAATCGAATTTTTTTAACATTCATCATACTGAATGAGAACCACACTATCCGTCTACATCGCTAGGAGAGACTTTGCCCTTGCTCCCCATACTTCGCCCAAACTGCTGCTACAACTTGCATCGTCTTGATACTTGCTAGAACTATGCCGTTCCTGGTACGGACAATTAAGGGGGATTTCACAGGGAGTTGCCAGTCCGACCTCGAACTAGCTTCGATATGTGTACTATCGGAGCTCTAGTGCTAATGGCTGTGGCAGAATTGCGCCACTATTTCTCCTGCCTACGGGCTTTGTATTCTCCAATTGGCTTTGAAGTAACTTTGGATCGTGATACTCTGGTGCTTAAGGTTGACTTGGAAATCAGCTCCCAAGAACAGATTTATGACACCTAGAGTGGTCGAAACCCCCCTCTTGGGGCGTAAGCAGACTATTCAACACTTTACGCCTCCACGCTGTTAGAAAAATTACAGCAATGCAGAGGTGCAAAGAGTTCATGCTCCACTTGGGTAGTATCCCAAGATGGAGATTTTCACCAGTCTATTCAAAATATGGTTAGCTTGAATACGCAATAATCTCTTAGTGGTATATGCTTGGCGGGAGTCCATATGATGACTTGAAGATGCAGCTGTACAATACAACATTTCTACATATGTACCAAGTAAACTTGCGCGTAAAGCAAGTGGATAGATAGGCCCGACTGTGGCCCGGACACTAATGTCGGGACGATGCAATAGCATGCATGGGACGGGGTAGCCTGGCTTGAATGACTCGTGCGGACCGACACCAGTATATGTAGGACCGTTCGCAGCTTGACGTGCAGTTGTGTAGTAGTGATGTCTGCTGGGGAAGATGGCAAGGCCGTATGAGACGCAGGATGAGGCAGAGATGATGTTGAGAAGACATGCAGACGGCGGGCAGACTGTGCGGGCGCCAAGCAGGGGGGGCAGCAAAGTTGCACAGCTATGACGCTCCATGGCAACGCGAAACACGTGCACCCAAGGTTCCTGGGCATTGGCTGTTGTTATGGAAAGCTCCCCGCCAGCCAGACCCAGTCTGACCCAGCTTCTCGCCCCAAAGCAGACCTTTGCCGGCTCTCGCAGCATTTTTTTCTCCTGCGCCTTAACTACCGCGTCTGCAGGCCGCGCCTCTCGGAGCTACGCGTTTCCTGCATTTCCATTCCACTCGCTTAGCCATGAAGTTCGGGACGACGCTGCGCAAGAGCGTGTATGCGCCATGGAAGGACCAGTACATTGACTACGACAAGCTCAAGAAGCTGCTCAAGGACAACGAGGACGACGACTCGTGGACCGCCGACGACGAGAGCGCCTTTGTCGACGAGCTGGCCAACGTGCAGCTGGAAAAGGTGCACAACTTCATCACCGACGTCTCGCAGAAGCTGCGCGACCGCACCTCGGCATGCGAAAAGAAGCTGGAGCCATTGGCCGTGGGCATCCAGGCCGGCGATGCGAACGAGTCCAAGGACGCCCAGGGCGAAGGCCTGCTGGCGGGCGCCTCGGGCGATGCGTCCAAGAAGCCAGAGCTCAGCCAAGAGGAGCGCGCGAAGCTGCTAAAGGAAGTGCTGCAGGAGCTCGACAGCATCACCAAGGAGACCAAGGAGCTCGAGGCCTTTAGTCGCATCAACTTCACCGCCGTCATCAAGGCGACCAAGAAGCACGACAAGCTGCGCGGCAGCTCGTACCGCCTGCGCCCCTTCATCGACGCCCGCATCGCCCGCCACCCGCTGCACACCGAGGACGCTTCGCCGCTGCTGTACAGGCTGTCGGCGCTCTACTCGTTTGTCCGCCAGAGCCTCGAGGGCAAGCCCAAGGAGGCCTTGTCCTTTGCCGACGACAGCAGCGCCGGCGAGGGCTTCACCTCTCACAAATGTAAGTGGCCGCATGCCGACCGTCACATGCAAACCACAGGCTCACAAAACAGTCTGGGTCCACATGGACAATCTCTTCGAGGTCAAGACGGTCATTCTCCGCCGCCTCCCCGTCCTCGTCTACAACCCCCAAACCTCCCGGGTCGCCGAGGGCACCCAGCGCGACCCAACAATCACGTCCATCTACTTTGACAACCCAGACTTCTCGCTCTACTCGGACAAGGTTAATGGCAAGCCGGATGCGGCCTCGCTCCGCCTTAGGTGGTACGGACAGCTCAGCGAGAAGCCCGAGATTGTGTTTGAGAAGAAGGTCATCAAGGAGGGCGATGCCGCCGAGGAGATCCGCTTCCCCATCAAGGCCAAATACGTCCAGCCCTTCCTCGAGGACAAGTACCACATGGAGAAGAGCATCGAGAAGATGGAGTACAGGCCCAACAAGGACCAGCAAAAGTTGGATCAGTTCAAGAGCACCGTGAGCGACATCCAGGCCTTTGTCAAGGAACAGAAGCTACAGCCGATGCTCCGTGCAAACTACACGCGCACTGCCTTCCAGATCCCTGGCGACGACCGCATCCGCATCTCGCTCGACACCAATCTTGCTCTCATTCGCGAGGACGCGCTCGACGAGAGCAGGCCGTGCCGTGACCCCGAAGACTGGCACAGGCGCGACATTGACGATGCACAGATGGAGTACCCGTTTAAGACCCTCAAGAAGGGCGAGATTCACAAGTTTCCCTATGCGCTGCTTGAGATCAAGGTCAAGGGCTCACAAAAGTACGAGTGGATCGACGACCTGATGCACTCGCATCTGGTCAAGGAGTCGCCTCGTTTTTCCAAGTTTGTCCAGGGTGTCGCCAAGCTGTTCGAGGACAATGTCAACACATTCCCCTTCTGGCTCAGCGAAGTGGACAACGACATCAGAAAGGAACCCGAAAAGGCGTTTGATGATGAGCAGGAAAAGAAGCGCAAAGCCGCCGAAGACGAGTTTGCCGTTGGCTCTCTGTTCGGCGCACGTGCAAGTCCTAGCTTCCGCCCGTCCATTGCTTCGCCTGTTGGCTCACCTGCGGCTACACGCTCTGTGCCCAAGAGTGCCAGCGCCGCAGCCCATTCGCAGCCTGCCGTCAAGCCTCCACTGTCAAACATTGGCTCGCACCTTTCACAGACGGAGCGCAACGGAAACAACACCGGCGCTCGCGTAGAGGAAGATTCAGACTCGGATGACGATGTGGTTCCTGCGGGAAAGACGCAGAAAAGTGGACTTGCCTCCCTCTTCCCATCCTTTTCCACATCCAAGTACGCTCGCCGGCAACAGCGCAAGATCCAGCTGCCACCAGGTATCAGAGACCCTGGCGTGTGGATCAAAGACCAAGGCCCCGTCAAGGTCGAGGCCAAGGTCTGGCTTGCGAACCAGCGTACATTTATCAAGTGGCAACACGTTAGTGTCTTGCTTGCCTCTCTCTCGCTCGGTCTGTACAACGCGGCTGGTGAGGGCAACAACATTGCACGCGCACTCGCTGTCGTGTATACGTGCATCGCCGCCTTTACCCTAGCATGGGGCTACATTATGTACATGTATAGGGCCAAGCTGATTCGGGAGAGGAGCGGAAAGGATTTTGATGCCATTACGGGACCGCTGGTTGTGTGCGTGGGTCTGGCCGTGGCCTTGTGTTTGAACTTTGGCTTCAAGGTACGTTGTTGGAAATCCACATAAACATGTGGTGATGAAGAAAGAGAGAAGAATCATTGAGCTAACACGTCATGTTTGCGCAGTATAATGCTTTGGTCAAGGAGGCCCATCGTGATCACCATCATCACACCAATGCCAGCGCCAGCTTCGTCGAGGACCAAATGGAATTGAGAATCTAAGGCTCCGCGCCGCCTTTGTCTCGCTCAACACTGGAAAGAACAAGTCTTGTGTCAGCACTTACTCATTGAATTGGGTCCACAATCACTTGTTTGTGCTATGTTATCGGTTCCTCAGCCTCATGGACACGAGCATGTCAGGAGTGTGTATGTGTGTGTAATATCACACGGGCTAATCTAAATCGTGCAACGGCGCACACACATGGACATGATGTGTTCAAGAGAGAAAAGAAAAAGACCAGGAATAGGAACAAAAAGGAATAAAATATCCCGCAGTGAGACCTTGTTTGGAACTAGTACAGCGGTTTCAACGGGGGGGGGGCAAGTATGCATGTGACGATATCAGTCACACACACACACACACTCACACATTCACATTCACACGAAGAAGAAAGAAGGAAACATGTTTTGTGCTAGCGGATAAGTGGACGGATGGGAAATCACAAAATAAAAGAGTGAAAGTGGGTTAGTGGCGTCTTTTTGTTTGATTCATTTGGTCTATTGATTTTTTTTTGTTTGGTTGTGTTTAGGTTGACTGTGGATGGTGGTAGTGGTCTTATTATTGTTGTTGTTGTGATTGTGGTTGTACAGTCACGTCTCGTACCCTTTTTGTACACGGCGAGTAAGATGAGATGAGATGAGATGAGAAAGACGACAACGAAGAAGAAGATGATTGTAGTCGGGTAATGCGGAAACGCGGTTAATTCCTGTTTCTTTGGTGTCTTTTTTTTAAAGTCTGTGCCGTGTGTACATGTGTACATGTGTACATGTGTACATGTGTACAAGTGCGTTTCGTGAGCGTTTACTGTGCAATGATTGATTCTTTTTTTCGTATTTCCTGTAACGCGTGTATCTATTTGTGTCTTTTGTGTTTGTAGTTCTCTCTCTTTCTCTTTTTTTTTCTTTCTCCCTCTCTGTGTGTCAGTACATGTTTCGTTTGGAGAGTTATTCATGGTGACAGCATTTGACTCGGGTGATTATCTAAAAAAAAAGTAAATTTCCTTGTTTTGCAACAAGCTCAAACGGGAACTTCTTCAAGTGATGTTGGTTTTCTTCTTCTCATCATTTTTCCTTGCTTGTTTGTTGGATCGGGGGGATCTCATTGCCTCTTTGGGCTTTCTTGCGACGTTGGCTGCGAGTGCTGTCACGTTGCATGTTCTGAGATTTGTGCGTATGTACAGACGAGTTCTGGGTGTGTTCCTTGGTGTAGCTCTGTTGCGGTCCTTTCATCTCAGGGGTAAAGCCAGGTGACTGGAGAAGGAAGAAGAAGAAGAAGGTCCTGGTGACACCATTGATTTTTTCTAGTTGCTGTGCCACGCATGCTGTGTCCAGACGCAGGGAAAGCCACGGAATAATGATCGGAGAGAAAAGTAGCGTCGGGGCGGGGACGGATGGCTCTGTTGCTGTGTGTGTGATGTTAGTGCCGTGGCTAGTGTTGTTGGTCTGGCCAAGCTCGCCAAGCTTCGGTGAGGCTAGTAATGCCGAATCCTATTATTTCCGTTCGGAGAGTGGTGTCTGGTGCCATTGTGGTCGAGAGAATGCAAAAGCGCCAACATAGCGACAGTGGAACGGCAGCCGGAATGAACAGAGAAATGCCTTGAACGGGCGAAACACGGACCTCATGCGAGGCGGAAAAGGAAGAGGCGGAGGAGGCTGCAAAGAGTGGCGTGAAACGTGCCGCATCCGACCTCGCACGCTTGGCAATCTACCATGAACCACAGACCGGACGCCGCCCCAACGGTTCTGGTGGTCATCACGGTGACGTGGGAAAAGGGGATGAAGCTGAGCTCGTGGGCGTGGGCGTGGGCGTGGGAGTAGGCTAGACGATATACCATGAGCTATCAATAGCAGGCGGGGCTGTTTCGAAACATTGCCTGGCACACGCACTGTGGCAGGCAATTCTACCGGCTATCACGGCTTAAGTGGAAACGGCCAGGCAGGAAAAGAAGGCCTCGCAGGGGGGGGGGTGGCCAAGTAGTGCATTACGACGCTAATCAATCGCCGTCGACAGCGCGGTGTGTACACGCACACTCGTTGACGTAGATGCAGAGAAAGGACATGCTGGTGGGCCGAGGATGATTGGCGTCGAGACGGGGGGACAGCAGGGCGGTGTTGACCAGACGATGTGACGGGCGGGTGCAGCAGCGCTGGAAGAAGTGGAGCGGGTGTGTGTGTGTGTGTGCAGTGCAAGTGTGTGCGCCGGTGGCGATCTTCCCCAGGCACAGGCCTCGCCAAGCTGCCATGTTGGAAGGAAATCAAACCAACTATTACCCACACACCCACTATTCTCCCGCCGTCCGGCCACCACCACTGCAAACCGCTGCACCACGCCCGCCACCGTGGAAACATCCCCCTCCCCCCCCCCCCCCAGCCTTGTTCATCGTCGCCATCAGACTCGTGGGCAGCACGGCTTCCTCGCTTCCCTGGGTTCCTTTTTGCAGACGACTCCGTCCGCCGATGAAAAAGAGATATGGACACGGCGCCATTCTGCTACTCTACCATGGCTACGGCGACGTCTCCCCGGCTGGACCCTGGAGGGCATACGGAGCCCGTTAACAAATTGCACGCATACAGGCTGTGGCCCCAGCGTGGCTGCGGCTCTTTGCGGTCCTCTGGGCCATGATATGATTGCCTCGCAGCCTCCAGGCCGGGTGCCCACAGTGCGGCATTCATGCAGCATGGCGGTGCGTGTGATTGGTGTCACGACTCACGTTTGCACTGGGCCTGTCGAGTGGTGCTCTGTCGCCCAAACAAGACAAGCCAGACCCAGCTGCTGGCCGGCTGGTAGTCGTACACGAGCGCGCCCTTGGTGCGTCACTACTGTATATCACCAACCTCCTAGTGGCTTGTGCCGGTGCTCTTAAGAGTGCTGCAGCCCCGGCTCGTCGTGTCTTCTCTACCGCCGGATCCCCTCAGGCCCCAATCCCATTCCCCCCGCTGTCAAATCGTGCTCGAGCAGCGGACAAGAGCACGGCCTCGAGTCCATCTGCTGTCCGTTTGCCCAAGGCACCATCTTGACCTTGCTGCCCGCACCGGGTGTGGCGCACGTGACGCGCTTGTGCCTGCCTCGCTCGCACCACTCACACTCACTGCAAACGGCCAGGCTTGCTCGACGATCCCGCTCACTACCAACACGGCCGCCCACTCGCTCGCTTCACCCCTCTCGCTCGCTTTCGCCGGCTCGCCGTGTCTATTCTTTGCGGCTGTTTTGCAGTCAGTCTACGGAAGATAGCCCGACCAAGCTATCCACCTCTACCTATGAAGGCTTCTACCCTGCTCGCCCTTGCGGGCTTCACCACACTGGCCATTGCCTCTCCTGTAGCCCCATCTCGGACTGGGCCCGCTCGTGTCGAGGCTCGCCAGGCCAATAGCACCACCTCCGCTCCCTGTGCCAAGGTCTCCGAGTACATCTATGGCGACGGAAAATCGCCGTACAAACTACAGGTTCCTGCCCAGATGGCATGGGATTGCATCAATGACGTTCCCTTCAACGCGTCCTCGGCAAAACGGCTCGTCAAGGCGATTCGACCCTACATCGACTGGCAGAGTACCCTCGACCAGCTCAAGAACCCCCCGGCCGAGTACGCTGAAAAAGTCCAGCCTGCTGTTGACATCATCGGCGGTCTCGACCAAATCGATGCAGACATTGATGCCGGCAAGTTCAAGAACGAGTACGACTTTGGCTGGACTCTCTACAGCCTGATCCAGTCCGCCCACGATGGCCACTTTGCATTCGTTACCGATTCCGTCGGCTCCATCTTCAACTGGGGCCGCCCGATTCCCCTCGTATCTGTTTCCGAGGATGGAGAACAGCTGCCTGCTGTCTTTGTCTTTGACGATGTTCTTGGCATGGAGTTCCAGAACATTTCCTATACGCCTTCTCCTGTTGTCCAGATCGATGGCAAGGACGCAACAGAATTCCTAGAGGACCTCAGTCAGCGCGGCCAGCTCCAGGACCGTGACGCACTCTACAACAATGTTTTCTACGAGCTCGCCCAAATTAGCCTTGGCACCATGGGCAGCGGCACTGGCACCTTCACTGGAGGTGGCCGTGGACGCTTGGTCTACCCTGGAGCCACCACAACCCTTACCTTTGCCAACGGGTCTAGCTACACCATGGAGAACTATGCTCGCCCAATCATCCCATTCCGTAACATCGCCACTGGCGCAGATCTGGCCGAGAAGTGGCTCACCTATGGTTCCACTGAGATGCTTGCTCAGGCCGAATCTCATGACGATGCTTCGACTTTTGCAACTACTGGTGCCGTGACCCCTGGTTTCCCCACTCCAGTCGCTGCTGGTCCCCTGAATATCATCAACGGATTCTACATTGATGACTCCGGATACGAAGATGTGGCAGTACTGCAGGTAGCCAACTTTGTAGGCTCGAGTAGCGCTGAGGCTCCGTTCCAGCAGCTGACTCGAGACTTCATCGCCAAGGCTCTTACAGATGCAAAAACAAAGTTGATCATTGACCTCCAGGCCAACGGTGGTGGTACTGTTCTGCAAGGCTATGACATGTTCAAGCAGCTATTTCCTGATGTCGAACCGCTGGGCAATAACCGCTTCCGAGCGCACGAAGCCGTCGATCTCATCGGTCAGGCCTCTAGCGCCTTTGGTTCCCGATTCCCCAGAGAATACGGTACCAACAGGACCATCAGCTTTGCACAGAGCTCCTTCTTTGACTACCACACCGATATGAAGGTAGATGGCACTCCTTTCTCATCTTGGGACGAGAAGATGGGCCCCCACGAGGTCAATGGCGGACTCTACACCACAGAGGCACGATGGAACCTTTCCGACGTTTACATTCCCTACTTGTCTGGAGGCATCAACATCACCGGCTACGGCCCTCTCGCAAGCGTCAAGGGCCCACCCAAGTTCTCTGCCGAAAACATTGTCATTGTGACAGATGGATACTGCGCGTCGACTTGCACCGTTTTCACCGAACTCATGACGCAGGTGGCAGGTGTAAAGACCATTGCCATGGGCGGCCGCAGTAACAAGAACCCTATTCAGGCCATAGGCGGTACCAAGGGTGTCAACAACTACCAGTTCGCCTTCATCCAGCAGTCCGCGCAATATGCCTTGAGGTATGACCCCTCGTTGAACAGCTCCATCCTGAGGGAGGACTACTACGACGACATTGTCTTTACGCGCAGCGCGGGCAGTGGCGTGAATTCGCGAGACGGACTTCGTGTCAACGACGATTCTGGTATTGCCCTGCAATTCATCTACGAGGAGGCCGACTGCCGCCTGTACTACACCCCGGAGATGACTGTCGACATAACTGCGTTGTGGCGGGCAGCAGCTGACGCGCGGTGGGGCAAGGGAAAGTGTGTGTCTGGGGGCAAATACGGTGACGAGAAGCGCTCTGCTGCAAGGGTGACGACCAAGTTGAGTCGGCCCAAAGGACGCGTCCAAACCGCAAGCGCAGATGCTGCTGACCGTATGCACGCATTTGAGAACAGCTACAAGCTGGAGACCAACTGCAAGCTCAATGGAGACGGCTTTATGCACCCGTAGGTCTGCATGTTCACGTTCGACGTGGATTATGCTACAAATGATTTGGGTGTACGGCGCAAGCTAGGCGTCGTTAGTTATAATGTGTAGTGTTTACGAATATCCCACAGCTTTTACATAGTTTCCTAGTAGGCACTGCGGTGCAATGGATACCCTATTTTCCATGACTTGTTTTCTCCAGCGTGTGTGCATCTGGGCTGCAACCTATCACATGTCTACTCAGGGGTTGGTAAGCGAGCATAGGTCAAGATGTTGATGCTTTCACCAAAATACACTTCCTTTGTGATTGCACAGGCCACCCTTTTAGAATTCGCTCACCGGTCTCTCGAGGTACTTGGGTGTGAATGCTCTAGTACTTGATAACGAAGTCATTCTACACTTGCCACGAGTCCAGGTGGCAGATGCGTTGTTTGCGAGAGTACACCTACACCTAGCCAAGTGGACTGTAAGAATTGGGTACGGCACTTCTTTTAGTGGCGGTCAGCAAGCCATTGTTAGTCGTTACCGGAACCGTTTCAAGATTGTCGGCCTGTGACACTGCACCGACGGGCACACAGCCACAGCCTTGTGAAGCTATCCGCGGGCCAACGCAAGATGGACGTCATTCATCTAGGCCATTGCATTCTCGACAGCCCCAGGATGCCGACAAAGGCTTCGCGAACCACGGCACGGCTTCCAATAGCGGCCAAGGCAATGCAAAATTCGCCCCTCTGGAGTCTTGGGCCCTGGCGCCGTGCCGCTGCTCTGTTGGCTGGGGCAAGCTTCACTACCCGAGATTACCCGAACTAAAAATGGCGGACCCTGATGGTGGCTGCTCGCGAAAAGGAGAGGCCGTGGAAACTTGGGCTCGAAGAGGTATCTGGACACTTGTACTGCCCCACAGTTGCATCCTGGGTGTACAAATTCACGTCTGCGGGCGGCTGTTGGAGGCGAATTCGCCAAAGCATATCCGCCTGGTGGCCCTGGCCAATGCTGCTGCTGCTGCTACGGCACGGCTTTTGGGCGTGGCACACGCATTTTGATATCCCCGACAAGAATTGAGTTCCAGCAATGAAACGAGACTACACAGGTCAGCAGGGGAGCAGCAAAGTTGGAAAAACCAGCGTACGGCAGCCCGCCAAACCCTTATCATGAGTACTTTTTCCCCAGTCCGCAAATCCGAGGTGTAGATGTGGAAGCGCTCGGGACGGCGGGCGAGGGCACTAGCACGTGACGGGGTTAGCGCCGTCTTAGCGCAGCTGGCAGAATTTGTCGCAGCTTTCGCTACAAATACACCTGTCTTCCCTCAACGCTGTGCCAGCATCTGCAACCTCACCTTTTCCAACCAATCTCCCCTCTGTACGTCGATCAAGATGTCGGGAAAACAGCAAGACAAGAGTGTCATGGGCATGCCCGTATGTATTTCCAGTTCCCCCTCCACGAGAGGCCTCACCCGCAGTTTGTCGGCAATGCCACCGCCCGCGCACTCCAACTCAATGGCACGCCAATTGCATCCATACGCACGGCCCGAGCGAGTCGACGGCACAATGAGATGAGATTGGCATCGCCAGAGATATGCATGTGCGGGGCTGGTTGTGGTGCTGACGGCTGCTTACACGGTTTCTCCTATCTGGACCAATTGCTAACGATACCAATCAGGGTTTCATGGTGGACTTCTTGAGTACGTTGCCTTGCCATCGGTAGTTGCATCGGGTTGGATATGCCACGGGCATGCCAATTCGGTGTGGATACCAAGGGCCCCAGTCTGCGCCCGCCACAGATACTAACTGCTTATCAGTGGGTGGTGTCTCCGCCGCCGTCTCGAAGACCGCCGCCGCCCCCATCGAGCGTGTCAAGCTCCTCATCCAGAACCAGGTACGCTTCTACGACGCACAATGGGCACGCGGCAATTGCTTATACCCCGCAGGATGAGATGCTCAAGTCCGGTCGTCTTGACCGCAAGTACAACGGTATCGTCGAGTGCTTCAGCCGTACCGCCAAGAACGAGGGTGTCCTGTCGCTCTGGCGTGGTAACACTGCCAACGTCATCCGTTACTTCCCCACCCAGGCGCTCAACTTCGCTTTCCGTGACACCTACAAGTCCATGTTCGCCTACAAGAAGGAGCGTGATGGTTACGCCAAGTGGATGGCCGGTAACTTGGCCTCTGGTGGTGTAAGTTTGGACGGTCAATGGCTGCATCTTCACATGCTTATAAGATTCAGGCTGCCGGTGCCACTTCCCTCCTCTTCGTCTACTCCCTCGACTACGCCCGTACCCGTCTCGCCAACGACGCCAAGTCGGCCAAGAAGGGTGGCGAACGCCAGTTCAACGGTCTCGTAGACGTCTACAAGAAGACGCTCGCCTCTGACGGTATCGCTGGTCTCTACCGTGGTTTCATGCCCTCCGTTGCTGGTATCGTTGTCTACCGTGGTCTGTACTTCGGTATGTACGACTCGATCAAGCCTGTCCTCCTCACCGGTTCCCTCGAGGGTAACTTCTTGGCCTCTTTCGCTCTTGGTTGGGCTGTCACCACTGGTGCCGGTATCGCCTCTTACCCTCTCGACACCATCCGTCGTCGTATGATGATGACCTCTGGTGAGGCCGTCAAGTACAAGGGTACCATGGATGCCGCCCGCCAGATTGTCGCCGCCGAGGGTGTCAGCTCCCTGTTCAAGGGTGCTGGTGCCAACATTCTCCGTGGTGTTGCCGGTGCCGGTGTCCTGTCCATCTACGACCAGGCCCAGCTCCTCCTCTTCGGCAAGAAGTTCAAGGGTGGATCTGGTTAAGCGCCTCTCTTCCCTCCTCGATACCCCAAACCCGCGTTTATGTGGCGGAAGCAGCTAATTGCGACGTGAGAGATGGGGATGAGGTGTACGTGTTGGAGCAGCCCAAGGCCCTGTGGGCCGAGGGTTGGTCCTGGTAACCAAAAGCACGGCCCCGGAGTGGTAATACACTCTTGTACTTTACAACATTCACACGTCATATCCGGCTTGCATTGCTTTGTCTGTTCTTGGCTGTACTTCCTCTTTTCATCGCTCGGTGCAACGGGGAAAATAGTGGTCAATAGAAAGTCATGGGTTTCTTTGTACATCACACTTTGGTTCCTGCTCTGTGGTGATCTTGGTGGGTGAAGATTCAATTAATCATAACGTGTCACGCATGACTTGTCTTCCTGCTGAAGCCTGTGTATATATGAATCGCGCCGTGCTGCTCATTTGTTCTTGTTGTTGACCGCTCGCCATACACTTTCTTCGCCCTTGCGCAACGCTTCTCCCGCCTTGGTCAACATTTGCCATGCCTGCGCCCCGACGCCCTCGCCTTGTCCACTGTCGTCGCCCGCTCCACTCGGCCGTCCCCCAATGCCTCCCCCAACAGTATACGGCGCATTATCCGGCGCCTGCACATAGCCCGGCGGATGTTCCACGCTCGTCTGCGCAGGCTGCGGCACGGCATTGCCCTCATCCTGAGTCTGGAACGGGGAAGCAGCAGGACCGTAGTTGAGAATCGTTGGACCAGGCTTAACAGCAGTAGCAGCACTCGCTGTGCTTGTCGATCGCCCCGCCAGCATCGAGTCTGGCGGCGGCGGGCGACTGAATTGCTGTGGCAGCGGCGGCGCACCGACTTGTTGCCGTGTCTCGGTCGTTAGCAACGTTGCTGTAGGTGTAGGTGTAGGACCGGGCTGTGGCGCTGCGGGCACAGCATCATCATGTTTATTCCCCGTGTCGCTGATTGTTCCCGTGGGGGCTACGGGACGCGCGCCGGGCTGTGGTGCGGGAGGCGACGAGGAAGACTGCGTCGTTGTTGCAGGCACGTAGGCGGGTATTGTGCGCGTGGGTGGTGGTGCTGTTGCTGTGCTGGAGTCGTTGGATGCCGTCGACGGCGTGGCGCCATGTGCGGTTTCCCCTGTCGTTGGCGCAATGGGCGCGTTCTTGTAAATGGGGATTGGAGGCATCTTGGAGGTTTGCGTGCTCGTCTATGGATTGAATGTGTTCAGCGGGACGGACACACGTTAGACTGAGTTTTCTAGGTCGTAGGCAGTTGTGGTGGATGGATGGATGGATGACGAGGCAAATGCGTCTTTTGTAGAGGAACAAGGTATTGGACACGTTGTTGTAGAATGGCAGTCTGATTGCTGCCTTGGTGCTTGGTTGCGCATGTTGCGGGCGCGCGCCTGCGAGAGAGCTACGTATAGGTGGGAGGGATACTACTCTGGGCGATGATGTCACTGTTGGCACGTGAAATGCCGTCTGTTTATTTGTTTATTTGTCTTGCACACAAACAAAGGCTATGGAACCCTTGTCAGAAGCGCTTGACTCCCGCTCACTTGGCCGGGCTTATTCAACGTAGGCAGACTGCCCGTTTAACTTGATGAGCATCCGGTGGCTTATCTCAAGCAACAGTCTTGGGTGGCGCGAGTTTTGGTGAAGTTGCGGCTTTACTTTGAGGTCCTATTGCGATGATAACCCTTGCAAGTGGAGACTGGAGTAATCTTACAGGCAGAGAACATGAGCGATTAGGTGCATTTGCTTACTGATTGCATCTATCCAGGAACCATCCAAAATTCTTTCTCCCCTTCCCTCGGTTTCCCCCCTAAAACAATCGGAACAGGGCCCTCGATTGAGTATTTATATCCGCTTCCGACGCGATTTCTCTAGTTCCCACAGGCCCAAATTGAGACAGACCGTCTCCAAAAAAAATTGGGGACTCGGCCTATCCTGGGTGGGCTTTTTTGTGCTCAAATGGGGCTTCTCGTAATTTGATCTTACGGCAAGTGGATCTACGCGGCCTATCTTAGGTTAGACGTCACCCAACTAATTCCCCGTGCAAAGCGCTAGGAGAAACGTCGACAGCTCGCTATGCTTGCCTGGTCTTTCGACCGCTACCAAAGTAGCAGGGATCGTCTGGTACCAGGACGGATAGCTTTGTCCTACTAACATAGGTGGGTAAGGCGCGGGAGTACATTGGTTGAATAAAGGTCCCGACCGAACACCTCGGCCTTTTGGACAATGTACCACTTGACCGAGTCTGGGGAAGACGTATACATGATTGGTAAAGGGTGTATGTTGCCGAGAGATGATACTTAAAGGTCCGACATACCTCTCTGGTATGCTCGCGGCGCCCCTATCCTACGGTTCTCTATCCCCCCAGTGCTCTTCTTTCCTTTTCTCCAATCCTCCCAGTCTAGATACTGTGAATACACACGCGCGACAATGAGGTTCTCGCTCTGTTCTCTCGGCCTCATGGCCGTTTCCGCTCTGGCAGCGCCGAAGCCATGGCTGAACCTTCGCGGGACATCTGGTGTGGCAAATGGCAGTGCATCTCTGGAAGACGTTGCAACCACTGGCTTCGCAACCACCAATGGAGGCACCTCGGGCGGCAAGGGAGGCAAGAAAATCGAGGTCTCTACTCTTGATGCCCTTAAAAAGGCTGTCACGGGCAATGACCCAGCTATTGTCCTCATCACCGGGCCCATTACTGGAAGCAAGGACAACATCAAGATTGGCAGCAACAAGTCGGTCATTGGAAAGGACTCATCCGTCGTCCTCACCGACTTTACCCTGACCGTTAAGGAATCGAAAAACGTCATCATCCGCAACGTAATCATCAAGAAGGTCGTAGGCGGCGATGCCGTTGCCATCCAAAAAGCAAAGAACGTCTGGATCGACCACGTCGACGTGTCGTCTGACCGCACGCACGGCAAGGACTACTACGACGGGCTAATCGACATCACGCACGGAGTCGACTTTGTCACCGTATCCAACAGCTACCTGCACGACCACTGGAAGTGCTCGCTCGTGGGGCACTCGAACAAGAACGCCGCCGAGGACAAGGGCCACCTGACCGTCACTTACAACAATAACTACTGGAGCCGCATCCACTCGCGCGCCCCCTCGATCCGCTTCGGAACCGGCCACATGTACAACAACTACTACGAGGACGTCGTTGATAGCATCAATACCCGCAAAGGCGCTCAGGTCCTCGTCCAGAACAACGTCTGGGTCAATGCCACAAGGGCCCTGTTCACCGTCAATGACGGCTATGCCGTCGCGTCTGGAAACGACTACGGCGGCGCAAAAGCAAATGCCCCCAAGGGCACTTTTACCAAACCCCCGTATGACGTGCCTCAGCTCCTTGCTGCGAGCGACGTCAAGGCCGCTGTTGTCGGAACTGCCGGTGCGACGCTTAAATTCTAGAAGAAGAAGAAGAAAAGTCCACAAGTACTGTAGTGCTTGGGTTTTTTTTCTTCTTTGTCTCGCATGCCAACAGAAAAAAAAATTCGGGGTTGAAACGCTGTTTTCGGCGTCCATGACAAGCGCGAGAATATGGTCGGGCTGTGGCCTCTTTTTTTTTCTTTTCCTTTCACTTCATTTGGTGAATTCATTGTTTTTTGTATATAGTTGGGGGACTGGCTTGCTGGCTTGTCCATACATACATACGACGTGGCTGTACTCATCGCCAATCCATGTTCCTGGACTGGACCAAGTTTGCTTGGATATGAGCTTAGTTTTGTTGGTGCGTATGTACGTGTGTGCGTGTATATGTGTGTGGGCTTGTTGGCTCTCGATGCATGTAATGAGGATGATGCTGTAACACGCGGGATGTCTAGCAAAGTAATGGAGATATGAGATTTAGGCTCTAGTTATGCTTTTTAGGTCGTTGTGATGGCCATGCAGATTGTTAGTTTGTCATGGGGGTAGTATTTGTTGGTGGATGTAGGTAGGAATTGGAGGGGAGGGAGAGAGAAATGTTATAGCTTTTTTTGAGAGAGAGAGAGAGAGACTTGTGAGTTACTACTAATGGAACATAACTTACTACATGTGTAACTGAGAAACCATGTGGTAGTCTCGCCAATTTTGGGTACATTAGTCTTTCCTGCTACATATGAAAAAAGGGAACTCGGTATGTGTGTTTGTGTTGAAGTACGAGATTGATAAACAAGGCAATGACATGCTTCTCGAGACATACAGTACGACAGTATAGACATGGATATACCTTGAGGATATATACCCTAAAGCTGTACGTATTGAACTGTAGCAACACGCTCATATCCCAGAGTCATGACACCAACTACTGCGTGGTAGGTACACTGCTTTTCTGCCCCCACCAAGACTCTGCTTCGTCAGCTTTCCACTTGTCGAATTCTCCTGCGGTGCGCTCAATGACTGCTTGCTCGGCAGCGGCCTGCCATGTCTTTGCGAGGTGGCCATTCTTGAGGTCTTCCTGGAACTTGGCGACGTCGGTGCGGAAACAGTCGTTTGCTAGCGTGAAGGCTGATGGGCGTGTGTCTTCAGTCTCGCCAGTGTTGATCTTGGTTAGCAAGGCTTGGTTTGCGGGGTCCGGGGGGAGCATGGAAATCAGAGTGCTTTGCTGCTCCGCGCTGAGGCTTGTCCAGGCGGGGCCTTCGAGAAGCATGTGCTGTCTGGTGTGAGTTGGAAAGCGGATTAGCGAGTGACTGACTTACGTAGATGTCTGCCTTCACCAAGCGGCTGTTGGAGTTGGTTGTGATAAAGACTGGGTCAAAAACTTTGCTGCAGCTCTTCTTGTTTGGGAGAGGCTTGGGCGGGGTCGTCTCTTGAAAGTCCTTGAGGTGGTCAGGAGCTCTGCGGTTCCTTGGCGGCTGTGACCTTGATGGTGCGGGCGTAGCGGCTTTCTGGGGTGTGGACTTCTTAGGAGCAGCCTTCTTCGGAGGTGCTGTCTTTTTTGTAGCCTTTTTGGCGTTTGCTGTTGCCTTTGCTTTGGAGGCGCGCTTTGGAGGCGGTGTCCCGAAGGCGGAAGAGGAACTATCTTCTTCACGGGACCTCTTTGAGCTTTGCGTTGTGTGATCGGCCTCCACATTTGAGGTTGGAGCGATCATTGAGTCCAACTGAGGCGCTTGCGCGTGCTGTATCTGAGTTGAAGGCTTGGCTACAGTTATGTCGGCCGAATCTTCGTCGCTTTGCATAGTGGCAGTGTTTGATTCCTGGACAGGCACAGTTGAGCTGGTAGGTGAAGTAGGCCTCGAAGAGGAGCATTGTAAAGATGAGATGGGTGGGGTGATTTTGGTCTCGGACATGTTTGCTGTATTTTCTGGGGTCTTGGGAGGAGAATGGTTGATTTGGTGTGGTTGATCAATCGCGTCCACTGCAGATAACACGGTTGTTGATTCAACGTGGTGTGAAGTAGTCTGCGCACAGGAGGGAGATCTAGAGCTATAAATTAGGACCAAGTAGATAAGTGCGCGTTACCAGTTGATCGAGTATTCTTCGACTTCCAATGTGAACTACGACCAAGGAACAATAGTATTTGCTAGGCGCAGAGCGGAAATGTTTGGGAAGGTGACATCTTGGTAGAAAATGAAGGAAGAATGCCGGGTCGAGGATGCAAGAAACGCAACATACCGCACAGGCAACGACATTGTGTCAATGAAAAATGAGCGGGTTACCAGTGGTAGGACTATACCCAGTTATAGCATATGAAAAGCACTTGGTGGTGATGGTGGTGCGGAATGGCGGATGTCAAGTTGGTGCTGTGAGCCGGTACTGGGCGCCACAAGGCTAGAGAACAAAGGGCCGGTAGAGCGGGTTAAGGTAATATTGCACGAGTAAAGATGCACATGCAGATCCGGGGTTGAAATGGCGCTTGTCTTAGTGCCCAGGGCGTAGTGTAAGGAAGCAAAGGTACAGCCAGACGGCAGGTCGATTTGTCATGTTGGTCAAGGCGTCGCCATACGGCAGGATGTGAGCGCGATATATATGGATGAGCGACGCGCCGCTGTTTGCGCCCTCTTCGCAGCGAAAGGCGGTCCTTTGGAGTGAGTGGTGCTGGCGCATCCGCGCGTGCAGTGGGTGAATGGCATGCGTGATGTGATGGGCTTCGGCATGTCCGTGCGCCTCTCCCGCAACCTTTCCGCATCGTCATGTTGGGCCATGTGGTTGCATCAGGACCGACACGTAGCCTCTTTCTTGCTCCCGTTGCCCCCCACCAAAGCCGGGCTCGAGCATTCCTGCCAGAAGACACGACTCTGCATATCGGACAAGCCTGGGTCGACACCCGCGCCGCCAACATGATTCAGCACACTATGATATCCAGGCTCGACGGTTGGTGGCTGCTTCGTGGAATTGCGAATGCACAGGTTCTAACAGACACACAGGCCTGCTGTTGACCGCTTCCGTCGACGATGAGCAGGTACCGCCCCCTCCAAACCGTGCGCGTGGCTGGTAGTCGAGGCTTACTTTTTTTCCCCAGATGGGCGCCGAGTTCAACGAGGTCAAGGGCAAGGTGAAGCTCGTCCAGCGCCGCCTGAACCGCAACGCTGAGCCACAGGCCAGCATAGAGAGCGGCAACTACACATATCAGTATGCGCGCCGACGCCGAGCCGCTCCGACTTGTGCTGACGCCTAACCAGCTACCTGATCGAAGGCGACCTCTGCTTCCTCTGCATATGCGACCGCTCCTATCCCCGCAAGCTTGCCTTTACCTACCTCGCCGACCTCTCTCGTGAATTCACCATCACGTACCAGCCCCAGCAGTATCTCTCGCCGACATGCCGCCCGTACGCCTTTGTCGAGTTCGACACCTTCATCCAGCGCACAAAGAAGACGTACCAAGATTCGAGGGCGACGCAAAACCTGGACAAGCTGAACGACGAGTTGAAGGATGTCACCAAAGTCATGACCAAGAACATTGAAGACTTGCTGTATCGCGGGGACAGCCTAGAGCGGATGGGCGACATTTCAAGTCGGTTACGCGAGGACAGCAGAAAGTACAAAAAGGCGGCTGTGCGCATCAACTGGGAACTATTGCTGAAGCAGGTCAGTCACGGCTGCAAGCCTAGTGTGTAAGAAGGTGGTTGCTAACGACCTACAGTACGGTCCTGTTGGCGGGCTTGCTTTCATCATCATCATCTTCATATGGTGGAGGTTCTTTTAGGTCATACATGCAGCGACCCGGTGCTATTAAACACATGCCCAGTTGGACAGCTTTGGGCACTCTCGGCGTTGGAGGCGTTCGACTGCACCAACTACGGGCGGCGATAGACATTTAATAATACACATTTTAGGCTTCTTGTGTATGTTGTTAAAGAGACGCTTTTGTGATATGGAATTGTTCATTTGGGATATGACAATGTTCATGTGCCAGCGCCTGAAGAAGACCAAGTCACGGCCAATCCGCCAGCTGTGATTGGCTGCAATGGCTTCTGAACCGCCCTGGTGCTTGTCTCGCTAATCATCTAGTCCCCATCAGTCCCCACACCACACATCGCATTTTCGATAGACAATCTCTTCCATCCACCCCTCGAGCAGACCAAGTTTGCATAGAACGCATACGGAAACCATCGGCCACAGATCCGATAAGATGGAACGCAACCTGGATCCATATGGATGATGACATTTGATGCATCTGCATCTGCCTACCCTGGACGTACAACACTTCAACGACGCTGAAAGCCCGGCCATGGAATCAGCAAATTGGACTCTGCCGTCATTGGCAAATCAGCCTACGATCATGTTGCCGTCAACTCACATGCCCGAGTGAGATGAACAGTGTTTGACACCCAGACCAGGACTCGAGATCGAAGCCAAACATATACACCAGGCCAAGGAGGGTTGTTGAGTCAACAGATGGATCGATGGCTGGCTGGATTCGGCGTCAAGAGAAGGGATACTGTATAGTTTGAATTGGGAAGACGAAGGGCCGATTGGGAAGTCACAACGCCGACATGGATGGTGTTGCAAGGAAGAGTGCCCGCAGATCTCTAGGCATCGAGATTTCCCAACACTGGATAGGAACCTAGACCTTGATGGATGGATTGCCCCTGAGGTCAATTTGCTCGCACAAAAAACGTCTTCACCATGTGCGACGGCCATCAATGGCCACCTATACTCGTATGCCCCTGGACCCTCCAAGGTATCCCTGACAGACTTGTACAGCCCGGATGTGGTGGATGTCCTCACAGCCTGTGCAGACTTGTACGCTTCAGCTCATGGACCTACTTACATAACTATGCGGAATCGGGGCTGGAGCATACAAGCATGCATGCATAGATGAAAATAATACCTCGATGAGCAATGCGCTGCTGGCTTGTAGGCCCGCTGATTGGGCTGTGAAGCCGCACCCCAGCAAATCTAAATTCATGTTGAGCAGGGCGCGTGCTCAAACAGCGTTACGAACATGTAGGAAAGCGGCAGGCCTAAAAACGGCGCATCTTCCAGCCAACCGCGTGGCCCCCCCACATAACAACCTATACGACGAACGCTACTATTTTTGAGCCCGACTTGTCGTGGCCAAGCAAAACGCCGCGCAGTCAGGTACATACGTAGCTCATAGCTATTGACATGCAACCCCCCGGAAAATAACAACTCCCCTAACCCCCCCCCCCCCGACCTCGACCTCGACCACGGACGATTCCCGCTCCCATCCTCCGAGACGAATCGAGTTCCCCCCCCACCCCCCGCAGTCTTACCTAAGTACGCGCACCAAGAAATGCATCATCAGCATAACGCCCCCCCCCTTTTTTTTGTGTTCCCCACAGCCTCCGGACCGACCGAACGCCAAACCCATGATCCCGCAATCCCGATGGATGCTCTTCCCCCCGCCGCTCGCCGCCCTTGTGAATGTATGTACGCAAAAAGGGCGAACGCAAGCAAGGTAGGGTAGGGCAAAGGCGTCGTACGATGATTTTCCTGCGTAAAGCAAAAGCCGCAGGCAGTCGGTCCCAGGGAGGCGGGCGTACCGGCACCGCACATGGCTCCGAAAGCATATTAATCAGCTGCCCGGCCGTGCTATGCCATGTTCCTTTAATTTCGTTGCGAAAAGTCTATGTGGTGTCAGGGAAACTGGTGGACGGAGTGATGGTCTGGCAGAGAGACGGGTAGAAAGACGGGTAGAGAGAGACTGGGAAGGGAAAAGAAAAGAAAAAAACTCTCTTTGGTGGAAATGGCTTCTGGCACACTTGATGCGGAAAGAAGGATTCAATACGGTCCCCCCCCCCTCCCCCCCCATGCGAATCCAGGGATTCTGATTGTGGATTTGAAAGAAACACAAAGCTGTGATTGCCACTAGATGGGTTCGCGAAACATGATGTTTGGGTTGGTCTCTTGGATTTGCATCCGTGGACCTAGAATTGGGATTGAAACTGGAATTGGAATTGGAATTGGAATTGGAACTGGATTCACATGCTCAAGGTCTCTATGTGTTGTTGTTTTTTTCTTACCAGGGAATCTACGTACATGTATGCCCCAGAGAGAGAGAGAGAGAGAGAGAGCAGGAATTTTATTTTCAAAGGCAAGGGAGAAGGAATTTTCTTTCTTTCTTTGATTCAAGGATTCAAGAATGCATCAGGAAAGGAAAGTAACGTAGATAAGATGAAAGGAAATCGTCATTTCTGGATGGGATTTTTTCTTTTCTTTTCTTTCTTTTCTTTATCCATCTATCCATCTATCGGATGGTGTACATATGCCTGGTAGGGTGGGTCAAGGAAAAAAAAATGTATGAATACAAAGGGTAATGGGCACGACGAATTCATAGATGATGGATAATCATGAAGAATCAAACAAACAAAAAAACTCTTTTAGACGGAAATCAACAAAACCAACAGTAGACATGAAAAATTGCACATGCCAGGCCAACGAGCATCAAAAAAGCATTTTCTCAACATGAAAAAAAAACACGTTCACATTGCATTCACAATTCACATTACATAAGCCGAACTATGTAAGGAAGGGGGGGGGGCAGGGCGGCAACAGAAAATCAAAGTTTAACAGGGAGAAAAAAAAACCACCCAAGTGTGATTACTAGATTGTTATGCGACGGACGGCAGATCCGTCAGCTTTTGTATGACGGGAAACCTCGCCCTTGCAGCATCAGACAGGGATGCGTTACCCGGACGGTCTACGACAACAGCATACACGTGGGCAAGTGTTGCAGCTTCGGCCTCTGTTTGAATGACCAATGTTAGCATGCGGTATGCGAATACGTGTATGGAGCTGAAACAAGCAACGACAACAGTGCAAGCGGAGTAACAGAGAGAAAGAGAGAGGGTCGTGTGACGCGAAAACGGTACTGCATGGACAATAAAAGGACTAGTAATACAGTAAGAGTGCATGTGGACAATACAGGAATGGAAGTGGGATAATTGTGGGCATGGGACGCATGACCAGCCATGTGTAGATAGATGTGGGGGTAGGCTGTAGTCCTGGCGTGACGATGTGGTGATCGATTGCCGGTTTCAGCAAGAGGGGTCGGGGTCGGGGTCCAATGGCCAAGGCGGTGGGAAGTGTGGTGTCTCAGGTGCAGCGGAGCAGTCAGCCTACCTTTTACGTTGTCTGTCAGAAAGACGACCTGGTCGCTATGCTTTCCCAAGTCCGAACAGATCTTGTGGTAAGAAGCCTCTTGAAGCTTGGGCCCAGCGTTGACGGTATCGTAATGGGCGGAAAACAGAGGCTTGATGTCTCTGGTGCTAGTCGGGCCGTCGCTGACGTAGGAAAAGAACTGGAGCTGGGCCTGCACGCTGCCAGACGAGAAGATGACGAGCGTCTTGCCAGCGGTTTTCCAGGCTTCCAGCGTAGGCACCACGTCTTCAAACAGTGGAGTCTTGAGGTGGCCGTCGCGAAAGCCCGTTGTCCATAGATGTCCTGTTGCGAGAGTTAGTTTGGGTGGAGTATGCCAGCGTTATCAGAAGCGAGAGCGGCGTGGAATGCGCGGATTGCGTGGATTGCGTGGATTGCGTGGATTGCGTGGATTGCGTGGATTGCGTGGATTGAGCGTGATGGAGTAGCGCAGGCCGACAATGCAGAGTGACGAGCAAAGGCACGATTTGCGGTGCGGTGGTGGGTGAGGCCGGAGTGAAAGCGGCGTCGAGCTGGCGGGCAGAGGGTTTGGGACCATGGTGGGTGGCTGCCCAGAGGATGGCGACTATCGCGATAAAGTGGCCGGTGGTGAGTGGCCGGTCGAATCACGGAGGCTTGGGGGGGGGGGAGGGGGCGGCGATGGCGCTAGTGCGTGTCGAGCAGGGCGCGATGTCGGTGGCTCGGTGGCGATGATGCAGCGAAGGGCGTGGTGGGCGGATGGGGGTGCGGGCGCGCCAAGAGGGGGGGAGGGGGGGGGGGGTGAAACAGGCTCATTTGTAACCCACCTTGTAGCTGCTTCAAATACACAGCTTTAATGTCGCGGCGCGTCAGGTCTTGGACGTGGGCGAGCAGGGCATCGGGGTTCTGCCTGCAGTCGGGGGGAAACGAAGCGATGAGGGTTTGGAAGTCGGCGTCGGCCCAGGCATGGCGTGCGAGTCTTGTGAGACTGTCAAGTGCATACGGATACTGCGGCTATTGTGAGCGAACAGCGTGAGGGCAACGGGCAAGGCACGTCGACGGGCTGCCCCACCCCGGTCTCGCGTGACAGATGACGGAGGCGGGTGGCGCGAGGGTCATGGTGGTGGTGGTGGCCGGGAGAGGGCGAGGGCGAGGGCGGGCGCACGACCACGACCACGGCGGCGTCTAGAACCGACGGCATGACGGGCACCGACACCATGTGTGACGAACGACATGGCCAGGCAAAGGCGGCGGCGATGCATCGTCGACATGGACATGTTTGGTGGTTGGTGTGGCTGGCCCGAGTGCGTGGCCGACTGCGGGGAAGGCGATGGTGATGGCGGCCTCGAGACGACCACAAGCACGGTGGTATTATTGGCACTGGCATGGAGACAGACAAAGGCTTACCATGACGTCCTTGACGAATGAGATGCTCGAGATGGTGCCCTCTGCGTGGCCGTGTCAGCGGTGCTGTGTGTAGACATGGCATTCACACGGCCACTAGGCGGTAGTGGCCGGAACACGACTCCTCCTCCTCCTCGACACCATGGCTCTGCGACCAACTTACCAATGTCGAGCACGATGACCTCGGCCTGGCTCCAGCGCGCGTGATTGAGCGATGCGGCCGACATGGCGACGATGGCGTGCTGGTATGCTGGTATGCTGCTGTTGCTGCTGTTGCTGTTATGGGTACATGTACAGCGGTGAGCAGCGGTGTGGTGCAGCGACAGAGTGTGTCTCAACCCCAGGTATGGTGTCGGCGTCGTGTGTGGCGGGCGAGGCAGCTGACTGGTGCAGATGCTGAGACAGGCAACAACAAGCACATGGCGGTCAGGTTAGAAACCTGGTGGTAGGCGTGCTCGCCGTGGCAGTGTGAAAATTTTGCCTGTACAAGCTGGAGGAGAGCCGGATGCGGACTGGCAGCCGTGATGCGGCGTGGTGGTTGGGCAGAAATTTTTTGCTGGCCAGTCTGCGCCGGGGGAGTCATCCGCCCACGTCTCGCATGCGCGCGGAATGAGCCTCATGGCCAAACGAGGCTGACGGCGACACGACGATTCGACACGACGACAGTCGTCTTGTCGTCGGCGCATTGCAGCCACATGGATAGAGTACGCAGAGGCACATGGTCCGGCCGAGGGGTGAGGCAGACGGGGCACGGGAGTGCCTGGCTAGCACGTGTGGATGCAGCCATGATGTTGATGTCATCAAGCCTCGCCTGCGTGTTGAATGCCGTGCGCTGTCTGCAGTTGCCTGTGCTGGCCCTACACCGCCACGGGAGGATCCAGGGACAGGCACAACAAGACCAAGACCAAGACCAAGACGACGACGACAACAACAACAGCAGCAGCAGCAGCAGCAGCAGCAAGACGACGATGCAGTGTGAGTGGGTACATGGACAGGCCAAAAAGTCCCCGTCGAGCGTGTGCTGCATGCACACGCCCTACTGCAAGGCTACTGCGCACCAAGTCAGCCACGAGCGTATAGTGGAACCGTAGCTGGCCCAGCAGTCTACACAGCAGCGCGCCAATACAATAGCAATACGGATAAAAACACATGGCTGCGCTATCGCACCACAACACCAGCCAGCACAATCGCCAGCGCGAGCGCGCGCGTGCGTTGCAGACTGCCTCGCTCTGCATGTGCATGTGCATCTACAAGTACATGTAAATGTATCTGCGTGTAGACAACCAACTGCCTGTGTACATGGGCAATGCGTGTGCGTCGGCCGTGGTTCGCAGCAGGCAGAAAACGGGTCGCATAAGCCTTCCCCAGATTCCTCCTGTTTGCCGCTACCCGCCCACCCTGGCGCCCACGGCCAATCGTGCTCCAGCAGCCCAGCCCGCCCAATCACCGCCCGCGCCCGCCACACCCGCTTGGCGTGGCTGCAGTCGAGGCGAACGGGCTGCGCGCCCCTCGACGGCCCAGCGCTGCATCGCAGCAGTAGTGGTAGCAATGTAAGAGCATGCCGCATGAGATAAAGTGGCAACCATGGCCAACCCAGAGATAACGGCCGCCGCGCTGGGCCAGGCCGTCGAGTGGACGAGAGCCACCAGAGGGCTGCACGCCGCACCAATTACGGGCCAGCTGGCCCAAGCAGCCCACCACCATCAGCAGAGCCCTGGAGACGCGGCGGCGCTTGTGCTTGTGCGTGCGAGGGGGGGCGTGGCCAAGTCGGCATTGGCACACGACAGCTGGTGGTCTGGAATGCGCGCCGTGTGCCTGTGGATGACTGCGTGCCTGTGTGTGAGCGTGTGAGCGTATGAGCCTGTGTGTGCGAGTGAGCGTGTTTGAGCGCGCGGTATTACTCTACTGCCACTCCAACGCTGTGGGCAATGTTTCAGGCCCATTGGCCCGTCGCATCGTCATCACCAGAGACGTGGGGCCACGAGCGCGGGCGACTGCGAGTGCGCATGCGCGTGTGTGAGCGAGCCAAGGCTCCACTGACAGGAGAGATGCCCCAGGCACGCAGCCCAGCCCAGCGGCGGTGGTGGTGGTGGTGAGGAGGATGGGGGGGAGAGAAGCAACGCTAGAGCTTGCGAACAACGACGAGAGCAAAGATAGGGCAGGTGTTATGGAGGCATCGGGAGGTGGGTGGTGAGGTGGAGCGGGTCGAGGACGGGCATCCTGGCTATTAGAGGGCAGCGCCAGGAGCAGGCGCAGCTCTTGGGGGGGCCCGCATTCAGCAAAGCGGCGGTGACACAGGCCAGGCCTGCGGATTGGGGCTAGCGCGCAGATGCTAGCTACGTGGCTTGCATCACCAGGTGCTAAAGCAGCGAGGGCGGCCGACCAACCGGCGGCGCCACTGGCCTGCCGGCTTTCCATGGGCTTCGGCGCCTTTCGAGGCTCGTCAGCGCGGCCCAGGGCTCGCGCTCGCTGCTCGTCTTGCCCTCGCCAGCCTCGCCCGCCCGCCCGCCCTCTCGTGCACTTGCACACTGCACACCTGCTTCACACAGGCACGCAGCGCTTGACGTCGATGCGCCAGTCGGTCGGTCGGTCGCGTCAGCCAGGCTCGCCCCCGCCAACAAGCCGCTGCTCCTAATAATACAAAGCCTCGAGCCCGCTCCTTCCGCAACCGCTGTGCAGCTCCTACGTCAACGTCAACAGCATCCTCCTTCCTCCTCCTCCTCCGTCGCCATCCCTTGCTTGGCCCCAGCCAACAACCACCACCACCACCACCACTACTACTACTGCCACCAACACTGCCATCCCGCCTCCTCGTCCGCCTCTTCTTCTTCCGCTTCCTCGCCAGCCCCATCGCCATACCCGCCCAACCCACCCGACACACTGCCAGGCTTTGTTTTGATGTGAGAAAGGGACATCGCTAGCCTCACCCGCTCAACGACCGCCCATCTCTCGTCGCACCTCACCCTCCGCCCAGCCCGACAGTCCGCACCCTCCAGAGCTTCTCCTGCCCGACAATTGATCCCACACTGTCGAAGCTCGTCGCCAGCTAGCATCAGCACAACCCCCTCTTCGTCCGACACTTGCTAGCACCCCTGGCGTGGGCCCGTGCCACTTGACTCACGCCGCCAACCGCGTCATCCAGACACGACCCTCCCGTCTTGCCAATCGACGACCACCCCGACCCTCCACGCGTTACGACTCTTTCTCTCTTCTCTCTTCTTCTCTCTTACGCAGCGATCCCCGTTACTTTCTGGACGTCTACGACTCCACCTCATCCCCGCCGCTCCTGATTGCTCGTTGACTCGAGCCGTCCCTACGCAATTAATACCGGCAAATGAGAACCACACTCTCTTGACCATTTCCTTGTCTCTTCCGTCGACGGACAACCACCTGTGCATATCACCCGACGACTTGCTCTTTTCCTGCTTCTTCTCCAACGGCCCTGCTGTCGCCTTACGACGTCTCTCTCTTTTCCAACAACCATTCCATATCCCTCGCCGAGGACTCCGTTACAAAAACATATTATCGCTATCTTGGACAATTTCCCAGTCACCTAAAAGTTTGATAGAGCATCGCTTTTTGGGCTGACGGCTGTTGACCCATTGTTCGATCTCCACATCGAGCCTTTACCTTCCCCCCCCGTCTTATTTTTTGTTCGTTTGGCCGAGGTTGCCCTCTGCCTGCACCGCGACAGCCACCGGGTAGACCTTTTTTTGAGTTTCCCCCTTCGGCCACGCTTCCAGTTTCCTACCCCTCCCACCCCCACCGTCCCTCATGGAGTGTATGCGCGATCATCTTCACGAAGGCGTTGTACTTAATGGGCGGTATGAAACCATCTCTCCACTCAACAATGGCTCCTTTGGCATGGTCTTCCAGGCCAAGGACTTGGTAACTGGCGACCATGTTGCTGTCAAGGTCATCACCAAGAGCTCCGCCGCCGTCAACTGCCCCTCTGCCTTTGCGGTTGACGAGCGCTCCGAAGAACTTGGTGTGCACCTGCGTCTTGGTGACCACTCCAATGTTGTGAACCTGCTGCAGTCGTTCGAGACCCAGAACCACATCTACCTGGTCCTCGAGTTCTGCTCCAATGGCGACCTCTACGAAGCCATCCGCAACGGCAAGGGTCCCCTCGAGACTGAGCACGTGCGCGACTTCATGATGCAGCTGGTCGATGCTGTCGAGTTCATCCACGCAAAGGGAATCTACCACCGCGACATCAAGCCCGAGAACATCTTCCTTACCCAGGACGGCTCCATGAAACTGGGCGACTTTGGTCTCGCTACCTCTGACCCCTGGTCCTACGAGGTTGCCGTTGGCAGCGACCGCTACATGGCTCCCGAGCAGTATGATCCCTCCAACACGGGCTACTCGACTGCAAAGGCCGACATCTGGGCCATTGGCATTGTCCTGCTCAACATTCTGTTCCAGCGCAACCCCTTTGCCGTGCCCTCGTCGTCGGACCCTCTGTACGCCGACTTTGCCCTGGACCGTCAGAGCCTCTTCGATGTCTTCCCCAACATGTCGCAGGATACCTTTGAGGTCATCAGGCAGTGCTTGGCCATCGACCCGGAGAAGCGCGACCTCGGCGCCGTCAAGGATGCGTTGGAGCGCGTCATCAGCTTCACCATTGATGACGAGAGCCTCGATGAGTTCTGCACCGAGGAGCGTGACGTCGTCGCTGTTGGCGCCAACCGCGAGCCTCTTCGAACCCCATCCATCTCAACCCCCCAGCTCGACAATGGTGGTTCGTTCCCCTGGGCCAAGGCTCTCGCCATGTCGCCACCTCAGCAGTTGCGCCAGCTCTCAGTCATCCCTGACAATGAGATCTACGAGGACGACATGTTCCCAGGGCCTCCCTACCATGTCAAGCCAGACAGTGCCTCTGCCGTCTCGTTTGTCGACTCTGGCCTGGGCTTGTCTTTCAAGTCGACTGACGGTGCCAAACCTGAGCCTGTTGACATTACCCGATCTCGGCCTATGCCCATCTCGGGCTCGCTCCCAGCCAAGCCCTACACCAGCATGTCGTCGGTGTTTGGCAAGAAGCGCGATGTCTTCTCCAAGAGCTGGAGCGACCTCTGGGACGAAGAGGATGACGATGCTCAGTTCCTTGCCGAGCTTGATAACAACTGCCATTCGTTTGGTGCTGAGAAGCCCAAAGCGAAGCCCGTCATCTCGGAGGCTGGATCCGGCGTGTCGACTCCCCGTGGCGGCTTGTCGGAGATGAAGAACCCTGCTTCGATCCACAACAGCAGGAGCTCGTCGCCCAAGAACATGCGCACTGCTGCCGACCACGTCAGCGCTGCCACTGGCTTCGTCTTCGAGGAGCACCGTTCATCAGCCGCCACGCGCAACACGCCCCCAAAGCCTTCGGTTGCCGACAAGTGGGCCGCGCTTGGTGACCGTCGCCGCAGCCCTGCCGTACAGGTGCAACAAACTCCAATCAAGCCAATCAAGTCGCCCAAACAGGCTCAACCCGTTCCCAACTCCGCCAGGAAGCGAAGTCGAACCGGGACTGGACGACGACCAATCCACTGGGGCTCCAGCCACAATGAGAACAGTCACCATGTTCCCTGGGAGCAGAAAGTGGACAATTGGTACAAGAGCAAAGATTGGCGCTCCCATGCCGATCACGCCCATGGCCACGACGACCTGGGTGATTTTGAGTGGGTGTGGTAAGGTAACCACGACCTTCCACTTGTAGTCTTGACAACTTTTCTCATCTCTTATTTTCCTATATTTCATTTCACACACACAAAGACGTTGTTCCTGGAGAAGCAAGGGTCCTACGATTCTCAACCTCCACCACCTTTTCAAACTGTAGCCTTTTAGAGATACCACTTTCCTATCTCTCTCCTCTCTAACCTTTTACCTGTACACTCTCAACTTGGTCCTGCATCTCAACCGTCGACTCCACCTCAACTTTTTCCACTCTTCAACATTGTCGCTTGGTATCTCTCCTTTGTTACTACTCTACTGGTGCGTTTGGTCGGGCTTCTGGGACTCTTGCATTTTTTTTGTTATTTTGGGTGGACGAAAGAAACTGTTTTGGTGAAGGCCTTCATCAAACTGCAAATGCTGATATATGAAAGGAAGCAAGCGGCATCAGGAAAGGAGTTTATGTGTTTTTCCTTTTTTTCTTTCTCTTTTTTTCCTGGGCATCAGAGGGATATATTTCTTCCCCCTCACAATTCGCTTCTTAGGGAAGATTAGTTAGTCAAGACTCGTATCCGACGGAGATCTGAGTAGCACTGCACCATCGTCGCAACCCACGCAAACAAACAAAGACGGCGGCGGTGCGTGCGAAGGATCCGGGATTTACCCACTCATTTTACTTCAAGTCCTCTGCTGTTCCATTGTGATGAACAACCGAGTTTAGTTCTCCGCCCTGGTCCTCTTTTCACTTCCTCCTTGTCTTTATAGCTCTTTTTTTTTACACTTAATCTTTTTAATACCTGTACATTACTATATACATACTAAAAACTCGCACCTTACATTATTCTACATATACTTTTTAATTAGACAACAACCAAAAAAAAAGAACACCACCTCCTTCTAGAACCCCCCCCCCCCCCACCTTCATAGACGTTTTTCCCTTCCATTTTGCTTATTCCACCCTTTGTGCAGCTTGCATATTTTAGTTGGATGGGAATGCATGCATGCATGATCCTATATGTATGTATGTATGTATGTATATATGTATGTATGTATGTACATACGCCTCTTTTTCCCATACCCCACACACACACGTCCATGTATACGCCCCACGTCCACGTCCATGTCCACGTCCACGTCCACGTCTACGTCTCTCCGCCCATATCCTTGTCCTTGTCCTTGTCCTTGTATCTATCCATGCCCCATGCCCCATGCTCCCCTTTGATTTAACCTGCTTTGCTTCGTTTCGTTTCGTTCCGTTTCGTATTCCACCCCGACCCCCCTTGGCTCATCACCCCCTATTTTTGGCTTTTGGCTTTTGCATAGGGCTGGACATGGACATGTATGTGTGTATGTATGCATGTGTGAAAGGCTATGCTTGTTCGTGTGTGGGGGTTTCTTTGTGTGTGTGTGTGTGTGTGTGTGTTTGCTTTATGTTGGGTTCATGCTTGTTTTTTTTTCTTTTCGTTTTTTTTTCTCCATCTGCTCTTGTTTGGGTTTGCGTTTTGGGTTTGGGATGGGGGTTGGTTTTACATGTATGTGAGTGCGGGTTTGTGTGTGTGTGTGTGTGTGTATGATCTTGTACTTGAGAGAGATGTTTTGATGAGAAAAGACAGTGGGATGAATTTCAGGATTATGCTTGGTAAAAGGCGGTTATTTTTACTATATTGATATTGGGTATCATGAATAAAGAACTAGGCAAAGACCAAGTGAAAAAAAAATAGAAACATCTTGACATCACTACAACTACCCACTCTGCGGCACACTGGGCGTTGTTGGGCTAGTGAGTCCAGCCTGGCTCTTGCGCCTATCCTTCTTCTTCTTGGAGCCAGGCGCAACACTGCTCTTTCTACTATGCCCTTCGATAGCTGCTGGTGTGGCCACCTTTGGCGTGGCTGCGGCCGATGGCACTGCGCTGGGGGTGGCGGTATCAATCTTCAAAGCAGCAGGTAGTGCAGGTAGTGCAGGTGGTGGTGCAGCTTGAGCCGCTTGTTCCTGGGCCTTGTTCCTCGCATGCACGGCAGTCTTTGTGCCCTCAAAAACAAAGGCGCCGGGCTCGCCCTTGAGCGGATTCTCGTCCATGTACTCGTCGCCATAGGCATTTGTCAGGTTCAGCGAATGCATAAGTAGCGCGTCGGAGAACTCGGTCGCAAAGGCCATTGCATCTGGTGCCTGTGCCGCTGCGCCAGCGCCTGGGGCCTGCGAACCGGGAGCATCTGGATCCGTGGGCGCTAGCGTCGGACTGCCCACCCGGCTCGCCGTGGTCGCTGCTTTTGCCGTTTCGTACGAACGAGGGAAATACGAGTAGCCGGTTGCCGGCGTCCAGTGCGTCATGCTCTTGGACAGCTCAACCATTTGCTGCATCCGCGTCGACACGGTAAGCTTCACGAGACGTGTTAGCCCTTGCTGCGCCTGTTTCGACCGTCCAGTCTTACCATCCGGCTCTGCACAATGTCCAGCAGGCTCGGCGCCATGAGCATCTTTGTCCCATGCGTATACCAATTGCCCTCGACAAAGTTCTCGATGCGCTCCTTGTCGTTCTCCGTGATCCGGACCTTGTGCTGGCGCTGCAGAAGCCACGGATGACCCTCGCCCTGCCCCTCGCCTGCGATGACATACTGCGTTCCTTCAGGCTGGTCGTCGAGTCTTTGCTGCCACAGCTTGGGATCGTTCATGATCTTCTCGGCCACGACCGGGTCGTTTTGCCGCAGGTTCAGGTACACGTCGATGTTGATACATTCCGAGTCGAACCATGGCGACGAAGTAAAGTACCAAAACAGATTGTTTCCGGCATGGAGGTCGGGCGTCGGCAGGCCGCCGATGAGCTGAGGCTGGTCGAACTCTTGCTCGTCTGGAGGCGGGAGCGGCGGCGGCATCTTGGCGACTGTACGTAGGAGCGGCGGCGGTGTTGTGAGCTTGTGGACTTGTTGTAGACTTGTTGAAACTGGCCCATGATGGTTGTTGTGCATGGGAAGAGCTAAGGAGCTCGGGCCTCTCACCTCCGTGTTGCCCGCAACTTTCAGCATCCAAGTCTCGCGTCTCCCTCAACACTTTCAACATTTCCATCACTCGACATCACCATGGATCTTGTTCAGACTGTGCGCAAAGAGGGTAGCCGGTAAGATTCCAGCGCGCCTAGCACGCCGCATCAACTAACATTACACAGCGGTGGCCGCGGCGAGTTCAAATGGGAGGACGTCAAGAACGATGCGCAACGCGAAAACTACCTGGGCCACTCGGTCATGGCGCCAGTCGGGCGCTGGCAACAAGGCCGCGACCTGGGCTGGTATGCCAAAGGCGACACCGATTCGAAAGAAGCCGAGGCAGCGCGCATCAAAGAAGAGAAGCGCAAACTGAAAGAGGCCGAGGAGGATGCCATGCTAGCTGCAATGGGCCTCCCAGTGCCGGTGCGGAACAATGCAAATCTGACGCCGCTTGGCGAAAAGGCACATGAGGCCGACGTCAAGGACAAGTTGGAAGAGAAAGCCAAGGACGGTGAGGATGAAGACCGCGCGAAGAGGAGAGAGAAGAAGGATCGCCCGAGAAGACATAGGGACGACGATGGAGAACGAAGGAGGCGACATCGAACACGAAGCCGTTCGCGCGACCGAGACCGAGACCGACGCCATAGACACCGCGACCGCTCACGCTCGCGCGATAGGCGGAGAGACGACGATCGTGATGGCCGACGGAGGCAGCGATCCAGGAGCCGCGAGCACAAGCGACGAGAAGACCGCCCGGAACGTAGGCGCGAACGCGACGACGACGAGAGGCAGTCGAGGTCACGTTCGAGGGATCGCAGACGCCACAGAGAGGCTCGGAGCAGGTCGCCACACGAGAGGAATGAGAGGCGGAAGGACTGAGGCAAAGGACTGAGACACTTCTCGCATCGGCATGTCTAACGACTAATGCGCCCAATGGTATTGGATTTTGAATAACATTTCACCAACCTTCCTTACTTTGCGCAACAAGGCTATGATCAGGTCAGTGTAGAAACAGCACATGTCTTGAGCCTGGACGTATCAAGCATTCCAGTATATGCTGTTTACGGTCATTTGTTATATATCAGCCAACCAGCTTCCTACTTCGTACTCGACGCTGTACTACTCCAGATACCCACAATACCCCACCATTTCCCGCACTCCGAGTCGCTTTCCGATCGGCAATCTCGGCCGGCTCCCCATATATCTCATCTTCAGCAGCATACAATAAGATACGTTCATGTCTGTGACATTGCCCCTTGCTGCCTTTGCATATTCATTTCCATTGTGACGGTTCAACATTTGCATCGGCCCTGCACGCAATTCCGTTGTACACCTGCTGATTCTGCCCCGCATCAATTGCGAACCTCATCGCAAACTAACCGCAACATGGCTGCCGCCCCCGCGATAGCCAATTGGCAAGAATTAGCCAAATCAAAACGCGAATCAGTCTTTGCCAAGATACCAAAAGACTGGCTTCTCCCTACATCTCAGACTTCACAATACACGGAGACCTCGGATATCTCAGTGCTCGACGTACCGCGGACATGTGGCATCTTGACCGAGAAAGAGCTGGACATTACCGAGAACTACGATGCTACCGATCTGGTCAAGATGATGGCTGAGAAGCAGCTCAAGAGTATTGAAGTGGTGACGGCGTTTTGTAAGAGGGCGGCTGTGGCGCAGCAGTGTGTGAGCTGTCTGACTGAAATCATGTTCGACGAGGCTATGGCTCGGGCAAGAGAGTGCGATGAATACCTAGAGAAGAATGGAAAAGTGCTGGGGCCGTTGCATGGGCTACCCATCAGTCTCAAGGTGCGTATGATTTGAAATCAGCAGGCGTTTTCAGTATCCATCATGACCTAGGTTCTAGGGTGCTAGAATTAACATGTGGCCTTGCTGAAATCATCATAATAGGACTCTTTCAACGTGCGAGGCGTACAAACAACACTCGGCTATGTATCATTCATCTCGCGCCCACCGTCTGCCACCAACTCGGCCTTGGTCACTGTCCTGCACTCTCTCGGTGCAGTCTTCTATTGCAAAACCAATTTGCCTCAGACCATGATGACTGCAGACAGCCACAACAACATTTTCGGACGCACCTTGAACCCCAACAAGCTATCCCACACGGCAGGCGGGTCTACCGGCGGCGAGGGCGCCCTCCTTGCCATGAAAGGCAGCATAATGGGCGCCGCAACCGATGTCGCTGGCTCCAATCGTATTCCAGTCATCTGCTGTGGCGGCGCCTCTCTCAAACCCACTGCAGGCCGCGTTCCCTTTGCAGGCGGAGTTGCTGTCGGCCGCCTTGGTACTCCCAGTGCGGTACCCGTTGTCATCGGCCCCTGTGGCCGCTCCACCCGTGACTTTGAACTTTTCATCAAGAGCGTCGTCAGCACGCAGCCCTGGCTTCTCGATGAAAACAGCTTAAATGTTCCCTGGCGCTCTGTTCAGCCCTCTACCCAGCCTTTGCGCTTCGGCTTGATCAGGGGCTTCAAAGAATGCCCCTTGCACCCACCTGTTGCACGCGCTCTGCACACAACGGCTACAAAGCTCAAGAGCCACGGCCACGAGATTGTGATCTTGGACGAAAAGATACCAGATATGTACAGCACCGCTCTCCTCGCATGGAAATACTTCCTGCTAGACCCCCGCAAGACACCATTGCAGTTTATCAACGCGAGCGGCGAACCGCCTATCCCGTCGCTATCGAATTGCAGTTTCGCCGAGTTGAAGGACTGGGAGCCGACCCTGGACGAGCTGTGGGATATGAATGTAGAAAAGGCGCGCATACTCAATCGATACCACAAGCTCATGGTTGGTGAGGGCGAGGGCGACGCAAAAGAGAAGGGCTTGGATGCGATTCTCATGCCTGGATACCAGGGTGTCGCCCCGAAACACGATACTTATGGTATCCCGTTTTACACTGTGCTGGCCAGCTTGCTCAACTACCCAAGTGGAATTTTGAAGGTCGGTAAGGCGGAGAAAGAGGCAGACAAACAATTCGTGAACGAGGGCGTCACGTACGAGCCTGCCTGTAAGTCTATCTTTCCTGAATCTGAGTCCAGAAGAGGCGAGTATGAAATGCGAAGATTGAGCTAACGTGGAGACAGATGATGCAGAGGAGAGTGAGGGATTGCCGACGCATGTGCAGATTGTGGGCAAGAGCATGATGGACGAGGAGTTGGTGGAGATAATGAAGGTTGTCGAGGGGATTTTGTAGCTCGGGTATACAGATGCTGTAACGATAACGAGACCAAATGCTTCCATTGGCAGAGTCAAATATGGCATGTTCAAGGCATTCAACAGCGTGATACGGAGAGAGCTGGGGGGTTTCTTCCAGCACCAACTAGACCACTCCGCAGGACTTGAGCTCATCCCATTAGCCCTGAAATCCCTGGTCTCTAACGACTCTCTATCTTCTTCACTAATTCCAGTTCCTTCAAGCGCCTCAGCGCGTCTAACGTACCGTACTACGGTGGGACTGCGGGCCGTAATTACGCTTACGTAACCTGCATGGACGCGCAATGACCCAGGACGCGCAATGACCTACCCCACCAAAAAACCTATTGCAAAAGATAAGGCTGTATAGCCACCTATAGTTGCTATTATTACAAGATTTTATAGTGTTGTAGTAATTATAGCATTGCGATTATAATAGGCTACTTGTATCTACTTAGTAGCTTAGTGGTGCGGCTATAGCAGGTAGTCTAAGTTAGGATAGCTAGTGCAGCCACCTTAGCTTATACATAAGATAAATTAACAATAATACGTTTCTAACGCTTTTGCTTTTAAGAGGAGCCTTGTGAGGCTTTGCGCTTACCCCTTTAGAATAATTGTATAGCTTTTTCAGCCTCCTAGGCTGCCTTTTAAGCCTCCTTTTAAGCCACCTTAGCGGCTCTCTCCTTCTCTCTCACCTCCTTGAGCCTCTCTCTCTCAACACGCTTCTCCTGGGCTATTTGAAGCTTGTACAATTGAGCTTGTCTTCTTAACTTAGATCTCTTAGCTTTCTAGAGTTATAATTGCTGTTGTTCTTATTGTCGTTCTATCTTATCCTCCTTAGCTTGGCGAACCTTCTTAGGAGACTAAAAGACAGCTCCTCTATGGTACTCCTTAGGCCTATTAAGTTATCCCTTACTAAGAGGCGTACACCACCTTCGCGTCTAATAATACGCCATCTTGCGTCATCCTTACTTAGTAGAGACGTTTTAGAACGCTGGGTTTCTAGGTGTAACGGGCTGAACGCCCTTTGGATAGCTCCTCGATGGAATCTCGGGCCAAGCTGCGCGCGCACCATCTGAACTACGTTCAGACCGAGCAGCGCTCAGACAACGCGCTCAGATACTCCGGCATAACCTTTCTCCGATAAGTAAATAAACACCACGTAAGCAGAGTAGATAGCTCCTTATCGAATACAACCTCTTGTATACCTCGCGATTGCTCCCCAGAGCGCAGCCCCTTACACTAGGTTCCTCTATAGGAACTCCTCTTATCTTATCTCTCGCTAGTAGAGTCCTATAGACTAGAAGCGTTATAAGGCTAATTTAGCAACTAAGTATAGGTTGTACTTTAAGCTGTTACATAATAAGATAAAGGAGTATAATATACAGCCCTCTTATATCTTTAATATAGATAAAAAGGGCTTCTTACTTAGAATCTTTAGAAGGTCTGAAAAGATCTTTAGTAAGAGGCAATATAAAAGAGGAGGAGTTATTTTAAGCTTACAAGATGGCTCTAGAGAGTGGATTATAGTCCTAGCCTGTATCTGCTTAGATGGTACACCTCTTTCTCTATCTTTTATCTTTTAGTCAGATGCTAGAGCTCTAAAATCAGCCTAGGTAGAGGCTATTATTCTAAACAAGCACTTAGTCTTTATTACCTCATCGCCCTCTAGATGGACTAATAATAATATAGGCCTAGCTTGGCTTAAAGAGGTCTTTAAAAGAGAGACTGCACGCTACGCTTGAACTAGGTACTAGTTACTTATTGTTAATGGCTACTTATCTTATATAACTATAGATTTTCTAGATTATTATAATAGCTATAGGATTCTAGTTGCTGTATATCCTCCTTATTCGACCTATAGGCTTTAGCCTCTTAACGTTGGGATATTTGGGCCTCTAGCGTTAGCCTACTTAAAGGAGTTGTTAAACTTCCTTTATTAGAGCTATGTAATCCTTCCTCTAGCAAAAGGAGACTTCTTTAAGCTCTTTTAGAGGGCTTGGGGTATAGCTTTTAGAAAGGAGACTATTATAAGCTCCTTTAAGGCAACTAGTATTAACCTACTAAATGCTAAGGTTATTCTCTAAAAGTTCTAACAAGAGGCCTCTAGTTTAGATGAAAGCTCTTCTTCTATCCTTAGTGGAGATAATTAGCTTAAAATTAAGTCTATTATACGCTAGGAGGTGAAGGATTTTAATAATAAGGAGGTAAAAAAGCTTCGCCGAAGCCTCTATTACCTCTTAGCTTAAAATAGTATACTTAAAAGAGAAAACTAGAGCTTAAGAGAGGCTCTAAAGGTTAAAAAGAGACACTAAAAAAAGAGCTGCACGCTTCTTAATGTACTATATAAGCTCCTTTTTGCGTTATAGGTGGATAGAGAGGTAGGCGAGCGCGCGAGGCTAAGTTTTGCTTTAGTGTCTTCAAGCGAGCGTACAATAGCTAATACTAAACTTTTTTACAACTTAGCGATAGCTAAAAGATGCGCCTGGTTCGCGCGATTTAATTTCTTTAATCGCTTCCTGAATTAGGTCTATATTAGTAGAGTTATGAGGTATTTTGTGTAGGTGTTGAGTTTAGTGGGGTGGGTCATTGCGCGTCCTAGGTCATTGCGCGTCCATGCAGGTTATAGTAACCGTAGCGTAGCCGTAACCGTAATTACGGCGTAATCTACGCGTAGTTTGCTCTCGCCACCAAACTACGGTCCGTACCGTAGACCAAAAAACCTCACCGTAATACTAGTACGGTATGATATGTTGGACGCGCTGCTGCCCATCTACAGGTTACTCTTACATCATCTATTACATGTCGTTACTGAAGAGAGACTGCAGAAGGAATTAATGAAAATGTTTACAGTACCGTTTTATCGAAGTAGCAAGCCTGATGTTATAGTTCTGCGTTCGGAACTTCTGTCAGGTAGAGTACCTAGTGACTTTCCGTGTTCACGGAAAGAAGTTTCATGTCAATGTGCGCAGGTGTATTCTATCAGTCACTGATACAATCATGTCTGACCTTCTTCGTCCAGTCCACTTCCGTATTCCTTCATCTAACAATAGTCTACTCGCGAGTTCAAAAGCCTGGTTGTCTCTGGACGCTCACTGATAGAATGAGAGATGCTGCCACCTAGCTTCTCAACTCTCTTGTTTTATAGTAAGAGCATCTGATTTACCACCAAGACTCGCGTTTGTGAAAAAGAATCCCTCCCTGCTCTGTTTCTCTGCGGCTTCGAGTAGCGCCGCCTCTTCACGCTCCAACTCAGTCCTCTTTGTTGCAAATTGTTTCCTGATCTCAGCGATTGTATTGTCTAGTATACGCTTTTTCTTCTCCAGATCCTCGACAGTAACCGATAATTGCTGCCGAGTTGTGGAAATCAACTTCAGGCTATCATTTTCCTGCAATAGTCTGGCAAGTGCCTCAGCATCCGTGATTAGCTGCAGAGCGCTCTTTGCCGGAAGGCGAAGCCGATGAACGGCAGCATGTCGAAGTTTGCTGATAGGATCCAGCAGACTCGATAATGCTTTCTTGATATCTGCCAGATTACTTTGGCTGAACGTCTCTTGATGCTCGAGGATTAATTTGAGCCATTGATTTAGCTCAATGGCTTCCGCACAATCCCATGCTTGCTTGAGCAGGACATCATCCACGTTTTTCTCCGTAAAGGCGAAACAAGCTTTCTCGAGGGCGCTTTGGACTTCGATCATGATTCGATGCTGCTGAGGAAATGGCAAAAATACGGCATCGGGCCATAGAGCAGGTTGTGGGCATTGTGCGGGAAACTGTGTTGAAGATTGTGTATCTGCAGTCTGCGTTACTAATTTGCCTCAAGGATATCAGTATGGCTCAATTCTGCGATTTTGCTTACCAGAGCGAGTATATTTGCTTTCGGCTAGAGTTTCGAGGGTCGTACTTTGCGTAACCGTTGCCTTATTAGCTCTCCTTTTGGGCCCAGATACTTTTGTTACAGTGCCTGTACTTGCAGAGTCCGTTGAGAACCGAGCGTTTGCTTTCGCTATTGACTCAAAAACATTATCCTTCAAAAGGTTTTTAGCTACTTCAGTGATGTTCTCGACATCATACCCTTGGTTGATTAGGCTTCGGATTTGGGGTTTCTGTTCATGTTCCTGAATGATCTTGCGGATCACCTTCGTCCTGCGTATGCGGGCAAAGTCGCCCACAAATATTTGTCGGAGAGATGCATAGACTGTTTTTTGGACACGATGAGCCTGGTCCATTGTCAATCATAGTCCAAGAATGAGAAGGAGGCTATAAGCAAGATATATCAATTTCTCTGGAGGCCCAACCATGGGATGGCGCGCAAAGCGGGGTGAAGCAGTGGTGGTACATCCCGCAGGCGGAGCCCTCAAACACTCCCTGTGTCCTTTCCCATTTGGATTGTGACGTCACAACAAGCTATTCAGACATGAATCTATTTCTCACAACAGATCAACGATCACCTGACTGCATATACTATTCTCCAATCCAGTCATTCATACATGCTCCCTCATATATCTATACATGTGATAGCTGATTCTTTGATATATTGAAGTACCCTACATTGCCTGTTTGCTAAAGAACCCTTATACACAATGCATGCGTCAATACTGAGTAATAGATTCAAATTTTCTTGAGAGAAAACGCTTTGATATGTCAAGGTACATGACAGCTTATCTGTTTTTTCAAAGAACGGTGCTGTCAATAAAATGACTTCATGAACGATTCAGACATGATTTGACTCAAGATAATTGGATTCCTCTATTCATCGACATGGCCTATAACGCTTGCAACTGGACTGGCAAACACATATAGTTACGCTTGGGGGCGGACTGGATAAAGGGATTACAGCATCGCTTTCGGTTTCCATCGAATGTACGGATGCTCATCCAACCCTGATGCAACCAGATGATCGATATCCCGTGTATTCACCAGGCCGGGATGTGCTTGGTTGATATCCGTCAGACCACACAAGCGCATGGATGTCTCGAGTTCGTCTTTAAGAACTGTGCCGCATTTTCAGGAAAAGGTTCTTGGAAAATAACAGGATACATGAACTTACTCTGTGTAAGATGTTCGACGCCCTCCGTACCATACGTCAACGAATACAGATAAGGGCGGCCTACTCCGACAGCAGTCGCGCCTAGAGCAATTGCCTTGAGAATATCCGAGCCGCGTTCAAAGCCACCATCTATGTAGATATGGAGTTTATCGAACACATCTGGACAGATGCGATGAAGTTCCAGTAATACAAGAATGCTCGGTTGAGCCCTGCAAGTTTATCAGTCCAGGCCCGTGAAAATTGATAGATCTGCGACTCACCCGTCCAGTGATCGGCCACCGTGATTGCTAAAGAAGACGCCTTCCGCTCCGAACTGCGCGGCCATCATCGTGTCTGCAGCGCTCTGCACACCTTTGAGAACCACTGGTAAGCCTGAAACTCGCTTGATCCACGCAATATCTTCCCAGACCAGGCTCTTCTCTACATATGCCGCCATCAACCGGCCCATACCACCGCCTTTTTTGTCATTACTTGCAACCGCACCGGAGATAGCACTCGCGACACTTTCGGCGGCGATGCGCTCATCTGCTTCGCGCTTACCAGGGACCGGAGCATCAACAGTAACGAATATGCCCTTGATACCAAGAAAAGCTGCTTTCGGCAATAACTCTTCGGTCTTCTCTCGCTCGGAGTTGACGTATAGCTGTAGCCAGAACGTCTGACCTTCTTTCCCTGCCTTGACAATGGAAGCAAGAGGATAGCTCGCGTTGCTACTGATGCATTGCACGATATCTTCATTTGCGGCACCCTTGGCCAAGGCAAGCTCACCGTCTGGATGGGCCAGTCTCGCCATAGCCGCGGGTGATATGAAGAATGGTGCTGACGACTCGCATCCCAAGACCTTGCGCTTGATGGAAACAGTTTTGACGTCGCGAAGGATACGCGGCCGGAACATGATCCGCCTTGTCACCGCTTTGTTCATCCCATGTGTGACGAGATCTGTGGCAGCGCTCGAGTAAAATGCCCATGCTTTGGGCGTCAATGTATGGCGGGCGACTTCTTGTAAATCGGCGGCAGAAATGATCGAGTGAAGATGCGGTTTCTCGTAGACAAATGGTATGTGTGAAGGTACGTTGATAGATTCGGGTCGAGTAAGAACTGTGGGCTCAGGCTTCGATTCGGCGTCTGCGGCTTCTTCGATGGTGCCCTGGGGCGGATTGTCGCTCGATGGGAGGATGTCTCCGATGAATTTATCTTGCGGCAGTGTTTCCTCGAGCATGCCTGGGGCGTGGATTTCGTTGTAGATTTCAGTCGCATCTTGGCCTGCATACTTGAGAATAGCTAGGAGCCGTTAGGAATACCTTGGGCAACATGTCCTAGGAATAAGACCAGCAGCTTGCCATCTGCACCCCCTGGGTGTGAAGTAAGGAAATCCGTCACATTCCAGACGTGATTTTCAATGACGACCCAGCAGCTTTCGCGACTGTTGTGCGCCCTCACGTCCTCAAGAGACAGATATGAATTTGCCATGCTTTTAGAATATTTCCAAGATCAAATAACTATTACAGAAAACTTAGGACAAGTACATCTAGTACAACGAGATATTTCAAGGGGAACTTTGCATACTTCGTCCCTATTGAAAACGAGGGCTTCGCTCTTTCAGCTTATCCGCGCCACTCTGTCCCTTTTTTGGAGTGCTTTGGCATTGAGCTCCGCATCCGGGGAGAACATGGTTCCCCACCCAGGTTCGAAGGGTGCGTACTTCGGTGTTCTCAGCGGCAGGCAACGTCACTGCGGTGTGACCAGTTGCATCACGGACTTCTCGCCGAATCACTAGCTGTACGCCTTGACGACAGTGACACCTCTTGGCGCCGGCCGCACACTCGGCTGACGACGCATGATATGCTTGCATCTAGCGATAGAATGGAATAACTCATGTCAGGGGTGTGCCATGCTGTTGGTTTGGTAGTCAACATGAGATGTTGTCTGAAGAACGCGCACACCAGTACAGCCCGTAAGTAAGCTAAATCCAAGTGACCGTATCATTTTTAAGCACAACGATACTTTTGTCAACGTAAAATTAGAAAAAAAAGCACAGTGTCAGGAGTTCATGTTGTCAGAACGTCCGTTAACCAAGCTTCTATTTTCCCAGTCAAGTAAGCCACAGCTTTCAATGTATTTAACTCTAGCAAAAACCTGTGTGATGATAGTTGATGCTGATCTTATCACAAAGTTCCGTATTGTATTCCATGTACTAATATGTCGTTTTCTAAACATCTACCCAATCCGCGTCAAAACGAAAAAACTTGATTCGCTGTCGCCAGAAAGTAAATGCGACGTTCACGATATCTTTCTCACCCCTCTCTACCCATATGCTAGGATAGCTGAGCTCCCTATTCTCCTTTGTTCGCGAATTATTCGTCATACAGAAACCATCGCCTTCTTGTAAAGTCTTACTCTTCCACGTCTTACCTCCATCACTGCTTACTCCCACTGTCATCATCTTGCGAGGCACTCCCCATACAGCATCTTTGGTTGAACCACGCTGGTTATTGCGTTTGTCATCTTCAGGAGTGATGTCGTCGTAAAGGCCCTCGCGCTTCGCTTGGCCTTCCTTAAACTGAGAGTCGTTGTAAACGATTATGAGACGTCCATCAGACAGGACTTCGAAACAGATACCAGAGTTTGGATTGGGAAGAGATGTGGGCTTGGGTTCCGTCCAATCAATGCAGTTGGTAGATGACGACGTGTAGATGTTATCTGCCCAACGCGAGCGATAGAAAGCCACGTACGAGCCATCAAGAAGCCGCTTGATGTTCATATGTACAGCCCCAATGGAGTTGGGAACTTCCTTCTCTTGCCAAGTTTTCCCGCCATCTCTCGTGTATTTGATAACGGAGATATCGTCCGAGCCGACCCAACGGAAGCCAGGGGAATTGCGACAGTACCATGCTGGAAGCACCCAAGTACCATCTTCAAGAACAGTGACTGGTTGTCTGATAAAGAGCCCTTCATCATCGAAAAGGTTTTGCGCCGGGCTCCATGTTTGACCCTCGTCCGACGACACACGGTATCGTACAATGGCTTTGTCTTGATTTCCTGCTGGCTGCGCAGTATATATTGCCCAAAGAGTTGTTGTTCCGGGAACGAGAAACAACACTGGATTTTGTTCGCTGCGCTCCGGATCGTCCGAGATCTTTTGTGGGTTCGACCATATTCGCGACCCCTTCTTCAACCGCGAAAGATGGATGCAAATATCAGAGAGCCCTTCCTGAGAGCCTCCGAACCACGCGCATAGTAGGTCGCCATTTGGTAGTTGTAATAGATTGGAGGCATGAACTTGTACTGTGGATGCAGGGATGTAATTTGAGGCGAAGAAAGGCTTGTTCGATTGGACCTCCAGCTCGGTGCTAAAGTCTGACATTTTGTTGGAATATCGTTGAACTGTGGAAAGCAAGCCGAGTGTTTACGTCCAAACAGAAGAGCAAACTTGATATAAGCTCCCTAAGCAGGCTTCTTTGCCCTTAGGCGCCAGCACACGTGCGTTAGATCACGTCGGTATTACCCTTGAAGGCTAGGCGGACCCCAGAAAAAGGCCCGAAAATCCTTGCCTAGTCTCCCTGGTTGCAAGATCACCCCGGATTTCTCCCCGAGAAATTCAAAGGAGGTTGCACAAACGATTGCGGGGAAATATGATAACGCGGGGCGAAGCCAATCAATAGGCTAGTCACTCTAGCTAGACATGATGGGGTGTTCTTGCCCCTTGTATATGATATAAGAGTCAGTCTATGGGCGATGCACTTCTACTCCCCACGGGTATCCACCACTCGCACCTCTAACACCTCTCACCACCAAACTTCTCGTTCAATTCTGTATGCAGTATGGGAGGTGGTACCAGTATTTGGGTCTCGCCCGAGGCTCGGAGTGATCCAAGCCAAATCTACAATGGCCGTTTGGCATTTCTAGCGGCTACTATCGCCATGGCTGGCTGTTCCTATGGTTTTGATCAAGGAAACATTGGAGGAGTCCTGACTTTGCCGACCTTCAAGCATGCGTTCGGACTGGACAATCTTACCAAAGATGCTGCGGATGCACGCAAAGGCAACATTGCGTCTTTGAGTGAGTTCTTCAAAGCCCAACATGTCACCAACTCTCAATGCTGACTTTCAACAGTAGCTGCTGGTGGTGCTGCAGGTGCTCTACTATCTGCCCCATTTGCCGACTTCTTAGGTCGCAAGTGGTCTATGGTGCTCTACGGCTTATTGTATCTGTTAGGCTGTGCCTTTCAAGAGGTTCCCCATCTCGGTCTCTTCTACGCAGGCAGGTTTCTTGCCGGTGTGGCAATCGGGAGCATGTCTGCTGGCGCCCCTCAGTTCTTGGCTGAGAACTCGCCCAAAGCGATTCGTGCTTCAATGACCTGTCTCTACAACCTGATGATTGTCACTGCTCTGTCACTGGCATTCTGGACGAACTATGGAGTCAGCAAATGGAAAAATGTCAACATCACAGACAACACACAATGGATGTTAGCATTGGGTATTCAGCTTATACCGGGAGGATTCGTACGTATTTCTCTAGTCTCGACCGGTCATGTCGTTACTAACTCATGACAGATGGTGCTAATGCTACCCTTTGTGAACGAGACGCCTCGTGCCTTGATTGCACGTGGAAAGCGTGAGCAGGGTCTTATCAATCTCGTCAAGCTTCGCAAGCTCCCCGAATCCCACCCCTATGTTCAGCAAGAATACATGGAAATATGCGCACAAGTGGATCAGGAGCAAGAGGTCGCGGCCGGACGCAACTATTGGCTTGTGATCAAGGATGTTGCGCTTGTAGTATCTAACCGGCGACGCTTTTTTCTCGCCATCATGCTTTTCCTTTTCCATAAGCTGACCGGTACCGATTCGCTCAACTACTTTGCTCCGGAAATATTCACTATGATCGGCGTGAAGGGTGGCTCTCAAGCCTTGTTCACCACGAGAATTTATGGTGTTGTCAAGCTTGTCACTGTGGTCATCTACGTCGTCTGGATTGTTGACCGCGTTGGACGAAGACTGCCCCTCATCATCGGCGCATGCCTGCAGGCTACTGCCATGTTGTACATTGCACTTTACGTCCGATTTGCAAAACCAGAGGTGGGCGGTGGCACCGAGGTGGGCGGTGTCTTTGGCATCATCTGGATCTACATCTACGCGTTTGGATGGTCACTTGGCCACAGTGTGGCGTGCTATGTGGTCGCTGCAGAGATCTTCCCTTCTCGCATTCGATCTTTCTGCATGAGCTGGTGCTTCTTCGTAAACTGGATTGTCGATTTCGGTATTACCAAGGCCACACCATCGATGATGACACATCTAGGATGGGGAACATTCCTTCTATACGCAGTCCTAACCTACATCGGCGCTATTTTCATCTTTTTCCGTATGCCGGAGATGAAGGGTCGGTCTATTGAGTCTATGGACGACTTGTTCCAATTTCCGATCTGGTCTATGTGGAGGAGGGCATATCCAAAGGAAGAAGACAAGGTCCGTCAAGACGTTGGAAATATTGTTCAAGGCGAGAAGAAGGACCATACTGTGCAGATCGAGAAGGTTTAAATCTTTAGTAAACGTGAAATTAATAGCTGCGGTGATTGTAGTACAGACAATACAAAGTCATGAATGTAAAACACATTTCCTGCTAATATTTTGCTTAAGGCCCAGTCTCCGTCTACTCCAACAATATGCCATAGAACTGAGAGAGTGGTATCATGCGACAGGGCGCATACAAGTCCGAGGAAACAATGCCAAGCAAGATAATGCAGGGAATAGTAGCAATTCCAGGTCCGGCATTCTCGCCGTAGGGGGACCCGTTGGCACTTAGACACGACCATTCATGTCTGAGCATAGAAAAGAAGCCTCTGGCGCTCTAAATCAAGCGAAGGAACAATCTTCGAGTTCTTAAATCACATACAGCACGATGACTACCTACACAAAGACATTTAAACTGAACACAGGTTCTGATATCCCCGGTGTGGTATGAAGTTGTACACTATGTCTAGCTTAACTATGTACTGATTGGTATAGGGATTTGGGACATGGCAAGCAGCTCCTGGTGAGGCTGGCAATGCAGTCAAAATTGCTATAAAAGCAGGGTACAGACATCTAGACTGCGCTCCCCTATGTAAGTAAGAAAACAAGCCGATGTTGTAGCATTGTCCAACTCTCAACAGATTGGAACGAAGCGGAGATTGGCCAGGCGCTCTCCGAAGTACTAAAAGAAACATCAATACCCCGATCCGCAATTTTCGTAAGCACAAAATTATGGTCCTCGCAACACGCAAACGTTGAACCTGCTCTTCGAAAATCTTTGAAAGACCTCCAACTCGATTATGTTGATCTCTACCTCATGCACTGGCCAGTTTCACTTCCGCCAAACGACCCTTCACAACCTAACTTCGGCAAAGAAGACCGTACAGTCCATGCCTCAGACTGGGACTTTACAAAAACGTGGGCTGAGATGGAAAAGCTACTATCCACTGGCCTTGTTAAAGCCATCGGCGTGGCAAACTTTTCCACCGTCAACCTCGAGAAACTGCTCAAAACAGCAAAAGTTGTGCCTGCGGTTAACCAAACAGAGCTGCATCCCCTGCTGCCTCAAAACAAGCTTCACAATTTCTGCACGAAGCACGGCATACACCAAACCGCATTTGGGCCGCTTGGTGGTAAGGGCTCCACACTACACACGCACAAGGACGTGATGGAGATTGCAGAACAACGAAAGGCAACTCCCGCTCAGGTGCTTCTTTCTTGGGGGTTGAGCCGCGGGTGGAGTGTTATCCCCAAAAGCGTCAACGCTGAAAGAATCAAAGGGAATCTAAAAGTTTTCGAGCTGAGTGCGGACGAGGTTGGCAGGTTAGACGAGCTGGCGAAGACAGAGGGAAGGAGATTCAACAGGCCTAATTGGGGCACAACGGTCTTTCACGATGACGATGATAGCGTTGCATAGGTGATTAAACGTTTAAGTAAATTATATCAAGTGCTCTCTGCACCAAAGAAGTTGTATCAGTAGCTGCTAGACGTGTAATAACATTTCCTAAATCATTATTTACGACCAGGCAGCACAGTAACGAAGCATTCCATTGGACATGGCTGGTAAGAGACTATTTGATCATGGCCCACGTTGACGGCCTCGGCAATTTGTTCCGGGGAACCCCCGCTGCTCAGAGGAATGTCATCGGCCCGATACCCAAAGGTGGGAAAATGGACCATCTCGAATTACTTACTGCGCCAGTCCATCCATCACCAAGCAAACAAACAAGCATGCCACCAAAAAGATCATGGTCTCAGTCGAATGACGGACAGTCTCCTTCACGACCCAGACCTACTGATTCGTCTCTCGAAACCCATGCACCAGCCATCTCTCGCAAAGTAAAGGCGTGCGCTGCTTGTCGAAAACAGAAGGTTGGGCGCTACCTCGTGGCATCGTATCCAGTCCGCAGAGAAGTCCGAATGGTATCAGCTGACCAGCCAACTCCCAACATTCTAGATCAAGTGCATAATCGACGACCGTGGGCCGCCCTGCAAGCGATGTACGGAGCGGAATTTGGGATGCGTGCTAAACAAAAGCCTGCAGACGCTGATTGAGGAGCGCGGCCAGTACGTACCGTAGCTGCGCGCGACATGACATGAAAGCCTGTCTGCAGCTGAGACTGATGGTTGAGTGTAGATGGAGGCATACGCTGACCGCCGACCTTGAGCACGTACATGTGGCATTGCAGCAAGTTTTGTCGCGATTGTCTCTTCCTCCTCTCCCACCCCTACAGTCACGAGACGCTGCTCAACAGGATGACTCGCCCCGCGACATGACTGAGCGTGACGATCCTGGGCCTTCATGCGACAATTCGCCTCGGCTGTCCCCAGGAGACGATGCACTTCACGTTCCTATACAATCGCTATATCAGATCACCCGGCTGAGGGCTTTACGCTCCGATCATACGCCTGACGCGTCTGGCCCGTCCCTCACGCACCCGCTCAACCAGCCCATCAACGACTTCATCTCACAGGGTGTCGTGAGCGTCGAGGATGCCGAACGTCTTGTACAAGTGTATCTGCAACGTATTGACACGTTCATGTATCTGCTTGGTGGTGGAAAGTATCAAGATCTAGACAGCATGCGACGCGGCTCTCCGATCCTGACTGCTGCCATATGCACTGTTGCCGCGCTTCACGATCCTGCCGATAACCACTTGTACGGACCTTGCAATAGGGAATTCCGTCGTCTAGTGGCAGCATCCATGTTTGAGCGCCGCATCAATCGAGACTGTATGCGTGCCATGTGCGTTGGTGCGTACTGGCTTCATGACATCTCTTGGACCCTTTCCGGATGTGCTATCCGTCGAGCCACCGAAATCAACTTGAATCGGAACTACCAGCTTGTTATCCACGAGGGTAACGAGGACGCCATGGACTGCATGCGGATATGGTATATACTCTACATTTGTGACCACCACCTGTCCGTGCTGTATGGCCGTCAGAGCATTATCCGTGAAGACACGTCAATACTGGAATGGGAGGAGCTCTTGAAATCGCCTGTGGTCACGGAGTCTGATAGACGCATGATTAGCCAGATGGCTTTGTTGATCATTATGAGCAACATTCGAGACCTTTTCGGACCAGACACTGGGGAGCCAGTCCCTAGGGCATTTGTGTCTCAGTTGGCGAGTTTCAGTAGACGCATCGACCAGTGGATGGGTTTTTGGACGACGGAATTGTCGAGTAGGTCCCAGTTACACTGTCTCATTGTATCGTGCTAACACATATAGAACTTCATGAGCGCATTGGGGAATTTCCGACCAAAGGCGTCATACTACACCACCATTTCGCAAAACTGCATCTGCATTCTCATGTATTTCGCGGTCTGAAGGGCGCCGCTGTCCCAACACACTTTCGGGAAAGTGCAACGGCTGCCGTTTCTGCGTCCACGGCTATCATTGAGATGTTGCTCGGTGACCGGGACGTAAGGGAGAGTCTCGTTGGGATTCCCCATTACATACACTCCATGATTGCTTTCGCTTGTGTATTCCTACTCAAAGTGGCCGCACAGCATTCAGGCCAATACATCGATGACGGCTTTGTTCTCGACCTGATTACCAGAGTAGTCCAGCAGCTACGATCGACATCTACCGGCCAATACCATCTGGTACACTTGATGGCCGATGGTCTTGAAAAGCTGGCAGTATCCAAGATCCAGAGCCCTTCTGTATTACATATGCACAACCCCTCCATCAGCGGTGACCTGCATGCTGGTCTACCACATCCCATGGGCAATACGACAACACCGCTCAATGGTAATGACACTGGTAACGTGTATGCAGGTGACATGATGAGCACCGGTTTCGAAGCAGACTTCAATCTAGGAACCTCACAATTTCTCCTATCCGACTTTGGGAACTTTGACTTTAATTTCGGTGGAATGGGATAGATGCTTGGCCACTACTTTCCAGCTTTCAAGCTCTTCGCAAAACTCTCCACCTCCTCCGTCAAACTTATGTCGCGGCTCATTCCTAGCCGCTCTGCCAGAGAAATGTCGAATCTTGCCGGCCAGCTTGCAACGATGGCTTCGACCCTGGGATCTTGCTTTTCCTCCACCAGTGCCAACGCCTCCTGCCCACCCACCTCGACGAGTCCATCGAGGATCTGGCCCACCTTGACTGTCTGTCCGGGCAGGTTGACCGTCCTTCCACCGTTTGCGTTAAAATTCTCCGCAGGCACATCCTTGATAGCAACGAGATTGCGCACGACGGTCTTGGGCGAACACACCCACATTTCGAGGTCCTTACTCACAGGCAGCACCGAAGCCTCTCCTTTCAACGGTTCCCGAACAATACCAGATGCGAAACTCGATGCAGCCGCGGACGGAGCACCGGGCCTGACGATGACAGTTGGGAGCCGGCATATTCGCCCGTCAATCAAGCCACGGCGTGAGTAATCGTTGATCAACGTCTCTACAATCAGCTTCTCGGCACCGTACGAGGACTGCGGGATTGGAATCGTCTTTTCTGAGATGACAGGATTGGAGGGGTCGGGAGGTCCGTAGATGGCGAGGGAGGACGGAAAAACAACAACGACGCCTGGTTGGTTTCGCCGGAGGTAGTCGAGGACCAGGCGGTGCGAGTCGATGTTGACAGCGAGGCCAAGGTCAATGTTTGCTTCGGCGCCTCCAGACATGATTCCGTGTAGTAAATAGCATGCAGACCACGTTTGAGAGCCGAGTAGAGAGTCTACAGCCGAGGATTGGGTGAGGTCGGCTTTGCACGAGACAACGCGGGATGGGTCTGAGCATGGCGGCTCAAAAACATCGGCTAGGACAAGATGGATTGTTGGAGAAGATGCAAGGAGCGATGTGGCAAGCTCCTGACCTATGAAGCCTCCAGCGCCAGTTACGAGAATATACTGCTTGTTTTCCATGCTGGAGGCCTTGGCTGATTGGGTACTTTGAAATAGGAGTTGCCTTAGAAGAATAGGTAGTGGAGTTGGAGTAAACCAGAACAACTATCAAATAAAGTTTGTAACACTCAAAACCTTCATTTACATGAATACTTTGCATCCAAATATTGCTGCTAAGGCGGGTGTACTTGAGCCGGCGAGAAGGCCGAAAAGAAGCAGCAGCTAACTTAGCCCAGCAGCACCAACTTCGAGTTTTCTGGAAACCGCTAGGAAAGCACGCTATCTAGGAGAACCGACCACGAGGAATCGACTAACAGCACTTTTAACACCTGCAGCTAAGGCGCTAGCGCGTAGTAGAGAGAAGAAGGAGGCCTTCCTTTGTTTTCTTACGCCTATAAGAATTTTTTCACAGAGCTTAGGCTCTAATGCCAAGACTAGAGGGGCTAATAGGAACGCAGGAGCTTATTAAAGCTTAAATTTAGCAAGAAATATAGACATATCAAAATAATAAAAATAACAAAAAAAGACTAGCCTTAAAGGACCTTAGAGGCACAAGCAAACGACTAATAGATAATAATCTAGAAATTGAGATGGCTAAGGAGGCCTCTACGCCTTGCCCTAACAGGCAACTAGAAGAACCGCCTAGGCCTACCTATACTAGGACAAGGAGCAATTTTTTTCTATTTTTTAGAGCAGTGCTAAGATACCCTATAGTAAGGAAAACACTAAAGGCAACCTCTATTAAGGAGGCCTTAGAGATTACTAGAAACCTAGTAATCTAAGCAGCTAACCTAGCTAAAAATAACCCTACTAGGCAAACTAGTTTACTAGACTTTATAGAAGTCTTTAGAGACTTTATAGAGAATAGTAGAGTAAATAAGAAAAACTCTATAATTCTAAGAGACTAAATCTCCTCTCTATCTAACGTCTCTAAAGAACTAAGAGAGAAAGTTAGACGCCTTAAAAAACTAAATACCCCGCCCACTTAACCTTAAGCTTAGCCCCCTAGCTCCTACGCAATAGTAGCAGCTAGTAATTAAGAACAACCTTAGACATATATCTAAAAAAAACAAAACTAAAAATATATAGAAAAAAACACCTAGAAAGATAACTAAAAAAGGACTACTAGCCTATTAGATTACTAAATTGTTTTAGTTAGCAATATACCTACTATATTCAACGCTCTAAAAATTAGAAACGCCTTTAACAAAGCCTTTACAACAAAGGGAGGAGTATAATCTCTAGTAGTAGCCTTAGTAACACCTTTAGCAAAAGGTAATAAAATAGTTACTACCACCCTAGCTTTTTTAGCAAAATACCTTCTAGAAAACTAAGAGATCTAGAAGGATATTAAAGAGTTCAAAGCAGCCTAACCAATCACCTCTTAGTTTAAAGTAGTTATGTATAAACTACTAACAAACCATAGCCTAGAGGCCCTAAAGGAGGAAATTGAAATCTTTAATAAAGGCCTAAAGGTAGTAGGCAACCCCTTCTAGCTGACACTAGAATCTAGAAGAGGAAACTAAAACTTTAGATCCGCCTGCGTAGCTTTTGCTATAGAACAAGAAGCCTAAAGAGCTATTAGAGGAAAGCTCTATATTCTAGGGCAGAGCCTTAGAGCAGAGAAACTAAGAGTTATTAATAACTCTAAATAGTGCTCTAAATGCCAAGGTTTTAGGCACCTAGAGGCTAAATGCTCTAAAGTAGCCTACTAAATCTATAGCAAAGCCCACTACACTAGCCTCTATAAGTGTAATTCTTGTTTAAGCAAAGGCAAGCCTTACGTTTATACTATCTTTAAGTGTGTAAATTGCAGCAAGCCCTACGTAGCTAATAGCTAAAACTATAAAATCCTATAAGCTAGGACATCTAGGACTACTACCTCTTCTAACTAGAATGTTAAAAGTCCTATAAATAAATGTTAATAGAAATAGCCCTACTACAAAGAGCGCTCTAAATCTAGCTATTTAAGTAAACGCCAAGATTATCGCTATACAGAAACCCTAGCTACTAAAGGGACATACCTACGAGAATACTAGATCAATCGCCCACTAAGACTTTATTTAAATACTCCCTACTTATAAGGGGTTAAGGCTAAAAACGCTCTTCTATATTAGAAAAGACCTAGATGTAGAGGTTAACCTATATATTAGCAACAACAACGATTTATAAGCTATTATAATACTCTCCTCTTTAACTAAGATCTATATATATATAACATTTATAACAAAAAAAGCCTAAAAGAAGGGCTTAACAGGACAACAATCTAAAGGCGCCTACTTAAAGAGACTCTAGAACCCTCCTTAATTATACTAGGGGACTTTAACACCTACCACCCTAGATAGAGCCTATAGGATAAAAACCTAAACTAAGAAGCAGAGGATCTAGTAGAGTAAGTAGACAACTAAAACTTTTCTCTACTAAATACTCTAGGGACTGGCACCTTTTTTTAAGTAAATATGTAGCAAGAAAGCGTACTAGATCTTACGTTTGCAACTAATAATATAGCTACTAAAATCTAGGACTAGCAAACTATACTCGGAGTTAGATTAGACCACCACGCAATCCTTTTTAGTATTAAAAGCCTAGGCTAGCTACCTAGCTAGCTAAAGAGATTTAATATTAAAAAGACTAACTAGGAAATCTTTAATAGTACACTTAATAAAGAAGTTAACAACCAACAGCTAGAGGCACAACTACTAGACCTACCTTACACCTCTAGCTATTTATTAGGAAAGATTCTATTAGGTTAGAATAACTCCCTAGTAAAGAAACTAGAGAAACTAAAAGAAGATATTACAATAGTAGTACAAACAGCTCTAAAAGAATCTACCCTACTGTTACAAGTAACTAGAAGGATTCTCTCCTTGACGGGGGACGACGAGGTTGAAGGCCAACCACGTCCACGTCAGAAGGTAATGATCATCGCGGGGCTTGAGGTCACGTGATGTGTGCTCCCGCCAAGAGCCCTGCTCCCGGAGCACGGGTGGCCTTGGGAGAATTGTGCTCCCACTGCTCCAGTGGAAGAGGGAGAATAGGGAGCACCAGGACAGGACACGATGGGTATAAGAATAGGTTGGATTTCATTATTACACTCGTTGTGGTCAACTCATTATACTGTACTTTCTTACAAGCTTTGTCACTTAACAAGATTGTTACTTTGTTATTCTATCCTAGATAGAATTGATTGTCTTTACTACCGGTTAACATCCATAACTCTTTTCCACACGAATTACTCGGCAATCACACGGCTTACCGCTGATCTGCTACCTCGCCCTAACCCGGATCGAGACTTAGAGAAGTATAGCCCAACCCCGTGTAACACCTACTAGTTAGCTAGAAACTAAAGCTAAAACCTTAGTGGACTAGTGAGCTAGATAACCTAAAGTTGGATTAAAACAGAGCTTTTCAAGCCCTAAAAAGAGAAGCTAGTAGAGAGAATAACAGCTAAATTAACTAGTAGAAAAAAGAGTATCTTATTGCAAAATATAGATATCTAAAAGCTATTAAAAAAGCTAAGCTCAACTACTAGGAAACCTTCCTACAAAAGGAGACGCTAAAAGAGATATTTAAAGCTATAGCCTACACAAAAGACAACCTATCTATAAGGATACCTGCTATTAAAGGCAAGGAGACCTTTAGAGAAAAATGCTAAGCCTTTAGAGAAGATCTCTTCCCCCCACTACTATCTACTCTAGCCCCACTACTAAATATCTACAAAGAAGATAGTAGATAAGAGTAGCTAGCTTTAACAAAAGAAGAGCTTAAATTCGCCTGCGTAAGTGTAAAAGCTACCTCGCTAGGACTAGATTTAATAAGCTAGAATATAGTCTAAAAAGTCTATTAGGTATAGCTAGAATTACTCTTTAAGATATATTTAGCTCTATTTAATTTTAGCTACTAACTAAAGTGCTAGAGAAAAGCTAAAGGAGTTATTCTAAAGAAACCTAGAAAGCTAGACTACTCTATCCTAAAGGCATATAGAGTTATCTTACTCTTAAGCTGCCTAAGAAAAGTACTAGAAAGACTATTTGCAAGACAATTAGAAGCACTAGCAGAAACAATAGACTTACTCCACCCTACCTAGTTAGGCGGGAGATTAAAGAAATTAGCAATTAACGCTACTCTCCTATTCTATAATAATATATAGCAGCAGAAAAAGAAGCATAGGACTACTACAACTATATTTCTAGACATAAAAGGAGCCTTTGATCACGTGGCTAAAAACAAGCTACTAGAAAATATAAAGGATTAAGGACTTCCCTACTGCTTGCTATCCTAGACTAAATCCTTCCTAGAAAATAGACTACTAGAGCTATCCTTTAATGGCCAAGTAGAAGATCTACAGAAGGTAAACACTGGTACGCCCTAAGGCAGCCCCGCTTCTTTAATCCTATTTTTAATCTATATAAAACTACTATTTTAGTTAATTACAACAAATAGAAATATCTACTCCTCTTCTTATATAGACAACCTATAGATATTAGTATCTACAACATCTATTGAGAAAAACATTGAATTACTAGAAAAGAGACCTGAAAACTCTTTAACCTAGCAGAGGAGCTAGCAATCAAATTTAATAGCTTAAAGACTAAACTAGTAAATTAGACGAGATTAAAAAAGAATCAAGATTCTCTCACACTACCCACCTAGGAGACCTTTTAACTAAAACAGCAAATTAGATAGCTAGGCATCTACTTTAATTAAGCCCTTAAGTTCAAAGATTACTACTTTATTAGAAATTAACAGGCAAACTAAGCCTTTACTTAGCTAAGTAGACTAGCAAATAGCAATAAAGGCCTATCACCTAGAGCCTTTAGACAATTATACCTTGCCTGCATTACTAGCGTAGCAGACTATAGTTATTAAATCTTCTAGAAACAACAACAACTAGCTCTTAAATAAAGGCAAATACTACAAAATAGAGCGTGTAGGAAGATTCTAGGCACATTTAAGACCTCCCCAACTATACCTAGTAAGGTAGAGGCCTGCCTCTACCCACTTAGAGTAAGGTTAAACAACGCTCTCTAATAATACGCCTTTAGAGCTCAAAAACTAGCCCTAAACCACCTAATTAATATTGCTATAACTAGCAATAAAGGGGAACAACTAGATCAGATCACTAGATCTATCTCCACAGTCCTTGCTAGAAACACTAAGGAGATACAACATTACGCCTTTACACCTTAGAACTTAAATATCCTATATAAGGTCTATATATCTAAAGAGCCTAAAGATATAGAAGCAAAGAACTATAAGGAACAACTAGTAGATAATAGCCTCTTATCTATCTATTCTAATGCCTTAGCTATAAAGCAAGGCAAAGGTGTAGGAGTAGAGGTTGCATTCTATCTAGGAACAACACAAATAGCCTAAAAACAATATACTATAGGAAATAACTAACTAGTTTACAATAGTAAACTAGAAGGTATTACTCTAAGGCTAGAAAAAGCAATAGAGCTAGTAGAGAACTATTGAGATATAAAAGTCTATATAGATAATTAAGCTACTCTACTTAGGTTAAAGACTACTTCTAATAATCTAGGCTAAGAATAGTAAATTAGATATATAAAGGCAACAAAGAAACTAGAGGAGATAGGTATACGCCCTAGCCTTTACTAGGTACTAGGCCACCAAGATATCCCTAGGAACGAAAAAGCAGACGCCCTAGCTAAAGAAGCTACTAAGCTAGACCCTCTTTCTTCTAGTAAAACTAGCCTAGCTATTACTAGCTCGCGAATTAAGTAGCTAGAAGAGAGAGAATGGCTAAGCTAACTTAAACAGTATAGGAAAAAAGCCACTAGCAAAAATCCACATACGTACGCAGCAAAATATAAGTAGAAGATAAGAAAGCAAATCGCTATTCCTAGCAATACTAGAAGAGAGATTTCTAGCGCTTTCTACTAACTTAAACTAGGGCACTATTACCTAAGGGACTACCTATATAAGAGAGGGAAAGTGGATTCTAATAGTTGCCCCTGCAACTATAGGTCTATACAAGACCTACCTTATATTCTATTTAGATATAATCTATATAGAGAGGAAAGGAAAGGACTAAGAGAAGCCTGTAAAGGCAATCTATTACTACCTATCCTCTTTTAAACAAAAGAGGGTATAGAAGCAACTATTACCTTTATTTAAGAAACAAAGGCTAGAACACAAGCCTAGTACAAGGGAAACACAGAAAACGAGGAGTAATACCTATAACAGGTAGCTATACACCTCCCCCACCCTATCCCACCCCTACCTACTAACTAATAGGCTACGAGCCTCACCTTTATCTAGTTAAAACCCCTCCTAAATATCGTAGCTAGAAACAACCTACTTAGATACTTGTAGGCCTAAAAACCCTACACGTCTTATATAGCCCTTTGGGCTGAAAAAGGACGTTAAACTAGAATAATAATAATAATAATAATAACTTAGCCCAGCAGGCTTTCCATCGGAATCCAGTTCCGATCTTAGAATAGAACGAAACTGTTCAACATGGTAACGCTCCGCACATGTGGGAAGAGAGTAACTGAACCATTTTCAACTCGAGTTTTTATTTATCCAGATTCCCCCCATACATTCACAATAGAAAACACAACAAGCCATGGCGGTACCTTCACCCACCACCCCTAAAATGAAGTATGCCCGCCTGGGTACTTCGGGGCTCAAAACCTCGCGCATCATTCTCGGCTGTATGGCCTTTGGTTCTCCAGCCTGGGAAGGCTCCCCTTGGACTCTATCCGAAGACGCCAGCATGAAAGTCATCAAGCGAGCCTGGGACCTTGGAATCAACACGTGGGACACAGCCAACACGTATTCAAACGGAGAAAGCGAGCGGATTCTCGGGCGCGCAATGAAGAGACTGGAGATTCCACGCTCCAAAGTAGTCATCATGACCAAACTCTACTACCCCGTCATGGACGACGAGTCACGGCCACAGCCGCCAGATAGCTATTCACCGCAGCTCGTGAACCAGATGGGTTTGAGCCGGAAACACATTTTCGACGCCGTCGACGCATCGCTGGAGCGGCTGGGCACGTCGTACATTGACGTGCTCCAAATCCACCGTCTCGATCGCGATACCCCGCCTGAGGAAATCATGCGCGCGCTCCACGACCTTGTGTGCATGGGCAAAGTGCGGTATCTGGGCGGCAGCAGCATGTACACGTGGGAATTCGCGCGGCTGCAGTACACAGCCAAGCTGAACCACTGGACGCCATTTACATCGATGCAGCCGTTTTACAATCTGCTGTACCGCGAGGAGGAGCGCGAGATGCTTCCGTTCTGCAGATCCGAAGGCATAGGGATTATTCCCTGGAGTCCGTTGGCGAGGGGTCTTCTGGGGAAACCCGTGGGCGAGACGAGCAGCAGGAACGAAGCTGACGCGAAAACGAAGAAGTGGTTTGGCGATGCAGAGCCTGAGATTATTCGGCGGGTCGAGGAGCTGAGTAAGAAGAAAGGCTGTAGCATGGCGAGCGTCGCAACCGCTTGGGTGCTCAAGAAGGGGTGCTCGCCTATTGTGGGGCTTACCAGCGTGGAACGGGTGGATCAGATCATGGAAGGTTTGGCAGTGGACTTGTCAGATGATGAGTGTAGATACTTGGAGGAGCTGTATAAGCCGAGATCAGTACAGGCAATGTAAATGAGTTGAGTCTGATATCGTAATGCATTCCAACCTTTGTCGTGAAGTGCAGACATCCAGTGTGGACGAGCTTTGGTGAAACGATTCTTGTATCCGTACTAGCACCATGGCGATGTCGGATAAAGCACCCCAAGACCAACATTGCTCGGATAGAAGACCGAGGAACGGCCGGGAGTAGTCTTGCAACGGTCTTGGAATTATCATAGCAGGAAATCATCGGAAGCAGTTATCCAGTCTGCGCGACCCCTCCAAAACTCCATGACATAGCCGCCTTACGTACTTACCTACCTGTGACAACCCCACCAAATTACCTTCCACCATGTCAACTTCCACACCCACCCAATTACCGCTTGCGAGCACATTGGCCTCTCTACCCAAGCTAAACATTGTCTCACACGACCTGCGCTCGCAAACACGACAGGAAATCACATCCAACCCCAACATTCCCATCCTGGTTGCTCTCGACGACGACCCCACAGGCACGCAAACATGCCACGATATTTCCGTCCTGACTACCTGGAGCATTGATGTCCTGGCACAAGAGTTTGCCCTGACGGCGCCGGGAAGCGGCTTCTTCATTCTGACCAATTCACGCGCATTGCATCCGCCGGCTGCAAGAAGCCTGATGATTGAGATATGTACGAATCTGCAGGCTGCAGCTGCCAAGGCCGGTAAGAAATTCGAAGTCGTCTTGCGTGGGGATTCGACGCTCAGAGGGCATTTTCCGCTGGAGCCTGAAGCGGTCGAGGAGGCGTTGGGGCGGAGCGATGCGTGGATTCTCGCTCCGTTTTTTCTGCAGGGCGGGAGATACACTATCGACGACGTACATTACGTTGCAGAGGGCGATGTGCTGGTGCCGGCTGGAGAAACGCCGTTTGCCAAGGACGCTACGTTTGGGTATAAGAGCAGTAATTTGAGAGAGTGGGTGATTGAGAAATCGGCGGGAGCGATTGGTCCTGAGAGGATAAAGAGTCTGGCGTTGAAGGACATTCGCGAGAGCGGAGAGACAAAGGTGGAAGAGGTGCTGTGCAACGCCGACCAAGGCTCCGTCTTCATCGTAAACTCTGCAGCGGAGGAAGACATGGACATTGTCGTCCGGGGCATCCTGAGAGCTTCCACCAAAGGCAAGAAGTTCCTCTTCCGCTCTGGGGCCGCGTTTGTCTCTGCACGGCTGGGTATCTCGCCTATCCCGCCCATTTCAGCAGAGCAGCTGCAACTGGATCGCTCGCGGGGCGGTTTGATCATCGCGGGCTCCTACGTCCCCAAGACAACAGCCCAGCTGAAAGTCCTCCGCGAAAAGGCAGGTGATCGTCTGACTACCGTCGAACTCGACGTGAACAAGCTTCTAGCTTCAACACACACTGCGGAAAGCGAGCTTGAGCGCGCCCTCACTACTGCCGAGAAGGAGTTGCAGAAGCCACAAGATGTCTTGATCATGACGTCTGGCGAGCTGATCTTGGGTGCCGACGAGCGCTCCTCGCTGGACATTGGATCCACTGTTGCAGCAGCACTCGTTTCCTTTCTCCAGCGCCTGCAGACGAAACCACGCTATGTCATTGCCAAAGGCGGAATCACGAGTAGCGACATGGTTACCAAGGGACTGAACATGAAGAGGGCAACGATTGTGGGGCAAGCAGCGGCAGGCGTCCCACTCTGGAGATGCGACGAGGAGTCGTGCAAGCATCCCGGCTTACCGTATGTGGTTTTCCCCGGGAACGTGGGCAGCGACCAGACACTGTGGGACGTGGTCCACAGGTGGTCTTTATAGTTTCATACATGCTTCTTTCTAACATCATTGTGCCATCAAAATGTTCGTCCCATTTCTCAGCCTCATTTCTTCATACCCCCCGTTCACATTGGAATATCGGGCGAACAAAACACCTCTTTGGTTGCTTTCGTCGCGCGAAATAGAGCGACTCGTGCGCAAAAAGAAACAGCATGGAAATACCTCGCTAGCCGAGTCAAGTCTAGGTGGTGGTGGTGGTGGTGGGGGGAAAGCAAGCATTGCATAGCCAACATCTTATTTAGCGCCCGGTCTTCTCTCCGAACGTCTTTTACTTTGTGGGGGGAACGCGGGGGAGGGAGAGAGGCTGGAGAACGTTCCGAGCGGGGGACTCTTTCGGAACGAAACCAATACTTACTTTCTTTTCTTGTTGAAATCAAAGTAACTACAGTAGCCTCTTCTTGTTTCACTGACTATACTCTCTCCCTCCTTCCCTCTCACTCTCACTCTCACACAAACCTCGCATTCCTAGACATATTCCTTGCTTTATCCCAAATACATGCTCAGTAAAACCCACCACCCACCACAATGCCCATCTCCAAGTCCACGGTAGGCGACAAGAAAGTGATGCTTCCGCCAGGCATCTACACGCCCGTCATCTCGCTCTACAAGCCTACCAAAACCCAGGAACTCGATTTGGATGCCATGTACAAACACTGCCAGTACCTCGTGCGAGCCGGCCAACATGGTCTGGTCTACCAAGGCACAAACGGCGAAGCAGTCCCTCTTTCACGCTCGGAAAAAATGGCTATCCTGCATACCGCCCGCCGTGCAGTCACCGATCTCGGGCGTCCGGATTATCCCTTGGTCGCAGGTATAAGCGGGCAGAGCACAAACGAAACTATCGAGTTGGCGCAAGACGCCCGCGAAGCCGGCGCCTCGTTTGGACTGCTGCTGCCGCCGAGTTTCTGGGCTAAATCCATGACCGAAGAGGCACTGCTGGGCTTCTACAGAGACGTCGCCGACGCAAGCCCGCTGCCCATTGTCATCTACAACTTCCCGACCGTGACATCGGGCGTCGACCTGGATTCCGATATTCTCGCTGCGCTGGCACAGCATCCCAACATTGTCGCCGTGAAACTGACATGCGGAAATGTCGGAAAGGCAGTCCGCCTGACGTCTCGCTTCTCGCCCGCACAGTTCTCCGTGTACGGCGGGTCCTCTGATTTCCTGTTTCCCACGCTCGAGGCTGGCGGCGTGGGCTGTGTGACGGGCATGGGCAATGTGTTTCCGAAAGCTACAGCGAGGGTGTACGATTTGTGGATGCAGGGAAACAAGGATGAGGCCAGGGCGTTGCAGGATGTGGTGGCCAATGCAGAGTGGGCGTGCAAGAAGAGCCTCGCGCTGACAAAGTATGCGGCTGGCCATTTTGTAGGCTCCAAGTTGGGAATCAAGAGTGAGGCTTTCTGGCCCAGACGCCCGTATTTGCCGCCGGGAGAGAAGATGAGGGAGTGGACGATTGGTGTCATGGGCGTCTTGGAGGCGGAGGAGAATGCCATTGCTGAGACATGATCAGATTTATACAAAAAGAAATACAGTAACATTACTTACAAGAAGCCGTCCATGTCTGTACTTGACAACCCTCTTATAGTAGTGTTGGTCCAAATACACTCGGACAACTGAACCAGGATGTAGGTGCTGCAAAAACCAAAAACTACATATATTGCTTGATAAGTAACCCATCAGCTGCTTGCAGACAAAAAAGGAGCCGCTTTATTCCCCAGCACCCACGCCCTGGGTAGAAAATTTGTCGACCAGGATACAGAACAGAGCTCATATAGCTAAACAAAACAAAACAAAAACAAGATGATATCAAAGTCGTTGCATCTAGGAAGAACACAGAAAAGAAAAAACGCATCCATCCCCAAATCCGCAGTATGTAAATGTAGGAGTAACGGGGGTATATAATCCGACATGTTGTACAATTGCTGCATGGAGAAGAACCAGAAGAAAGAAAAATAAACGCCAATGTCCGTGCTTATGCCCATGCCCATGCCTATGTCCATACCCCTGAGTGCGTGCTTCCCAGATTTGCTTTTTACCCTTTTGCTCTACGCACTTCTCACAGACCTGGATTATCCTTAAGTACTCCATCCCCTCGACAAATTAATACGCACCCGACTCAACAGGAAAGGAAGACTTACCGGTTACCACGGCGGCCTGGCAGTGGAGGCGGCACGAGAGGATTGCCGTAGGCGTCGGTGCCGAGTGCGGCGCGGCAGTCGGGACAATACCATTTTGCGCGTCGAGAGGGTATATCATCTTCGGTCATGTTCATGCAAGGAAGATGAAACCATTCCCTGTCACACTGCACGTGATTAGCCAGAGTCGTGTGGAATTGGAGAGACAGGCTCACATTGTTGTCGCATGATATCATGGCTCCGTAGCTGACGTCGTCGCATATGCAGTACTTTGGCTCGTTCGGATCGATGTCGTCAGCTACTTCGACCTCTTCTTCGGTTCGCCTTTTCTTCTTGTTCTTGCTACCTTGGGCGCGCTTTACGTTGGTGACGGTTTTCTGGCCATCTTCAGCAGAAGTGACTTCCCCTTTTGGGGGCGGCTTTCTTCGCAAGCTTGTGCGGGTGGGTGTGGGTAGCGATGGGGTTACTGTGAGGGAAGATGCAGGTTGGCTAAAGACACTATGACGACGGGTATCTCGAGTGATCCTACCTTGTTCGTTTGGCTTCGGCTCCTCGCTCTGGGCTTTGGGAGCTGGCACGTGCCCACGTGCAGAACGAGGACGCAGGACGGGAGGTAAAGAAGATTCTGGAGCGAGCTCCGGTACCGGTGTCGGCGTCTTTGAAGACTTGAAACGCTGAGGAGGAGCCTCAGGCGAAGCGGGTGCTTTTAAAGCAACCGACTCGCGACGAGACCTAGTTGAAGCTGCGGTTGTGGCTGGGACGGAGAGAGACTCATGATCTGGACCCTGGGTGGATAGTGGTGCTGGCGAGGGTGATGGCAATGGCTCGGGCACACGATGCGACGGCTCAGAGAGTACTGGTGATGTCCCCAAGGGCGTCAGTTCTGGGCTGGGCTCTCTTGACCCAGTCTTCTCGGCCTTTGGGGTACTAGGTCTGGCCGATGCATGCGGCGCCTGTACAACAACGGTGTCGGTTGAAGACTTGACAGGTTCTGGATTCGGTACAGGGGTATGTGCCATTGGCGAGTGCATCGTAGGCGTGGAAAAATCTCGCGGTGTGGAAACGGTGGAGCCAGGAGTCGGTATCGGAGAGGAAGTAGCATTGGGCGCCGGTGCAATGAGCTGTAGCCGTGCGCGCTTTGCTTCTGGTGGTTTCGTTGCGCTGTCTTGAGTGGCCACGGAGGCTTCTCGAGTGGCTTGCGTGGGGCTATCCGTGGCAGGCGGGAGTGATGTGTCGCGTTTCCGTTTACTCGAAGATCTAGTTGACGCCTTTCTCTGCCCTGCAGGTGATGCGACGGTAGAGTTGAAGTTGAGTTCCTTGAGTCCGTCAGCAGCCTCTTTGATCTTTTCAGAGGCCCCAATGAGTTCTTGGGCATCCTGCATGGCCTTTTGGCGTTGTGAACTGCGGTCGAACCTCTTACCCTCTTCCTGTGCGACGGGCTTGAGGCGGATGCTGACAGGACCAGTCTCGTCCCTGGCTTCTTCCTCTACCGGCTCAGTCGACGCAGGTGGATTGGCTTGCTGTGGACCCTGTCCAGCCAGCGGCCCTAGCCCGGATGCCGTCATGATCTGTTGCAAAGTCTCCGGCTCTTCGTCCATAAAAGGCTCGCCCGTCGCCTCACATCGAGCCTTCTCCCGCTCGTAGTCGGCCTCGGTACGATGCTTCTTCTCGAGTTCACGGATCATCATGGTCTGGCTGGGTGTCCACACGGCGTTCTTCTTCATTTGCTTGCGCAGGACAGCCATTTCGTATTCGGTCAGCTTCTTCCAGGGCGCCCACTTGCTGCCAGGTTTCGCGTCGGCCGGCGGAGGGGCAAGCTGGGCAAGGGCGTTACTGGTAGAAATGCCTGCTATGGAGCTGTGTACGTTTGTGCCGAGCACGCCGGCAGCACGCGCTCGGCCGCCACCCGGCCTCGAGTGTCTGTCCCTGTCCTGCTTGCGTTTTCTGGGAGAAGCCACGTGGATGGCCGAACCATCGTCCGAGTCGTCGTCCGAGTCTGATGCGTCACGTCGGCGGCCGCGGCCTCGGGGAATATTGGATTTGCGGTGGCGGTCTCGGCGCGAGGCATTGGCGCCGTGGCGGGCGCTGTCAAAGGTCAGGCGCAGATGGGCGGGGCGTTCATAGTTGCGATATACCGGGCGATGGGCACTGGGAGAGACGGGCGGGGGCGTGGGGTCGCGCGAGGGCGGCTGTGGTTGGGCCTGGAGCTTCCTTTTGATGACGGACGAACGTTGGCAGTGGCGGACGGTGACCTCGTACAGGCGCGAGGCCTCGGTGTAGGCAAACTCGCGCTGGTTGATGGCCTTTTGCAGGTGCTGGGCGATCTGCTTGCGCAGCACGACAGGGTCGGGGCGCTCGTGGTCGGGGAGGGAGGGCAGCTTGCCATACTGGACCGTCAGCTCGTGGACGTGCTGGACGGCGTCGGCGTAGGTCGAGTCGAGGTCGGCGATGAGCGTCAGCGAGCGCACGAGATCCGAGGGGAAGAATTCGGTATAGTCGAGGAAGTCGTTCACCGTCGTCTGGGCGTCTGGGTTCGGGGCGGGTTGGGCCATGTCAGGCGCATCGTCGGCTTCAGACATGGCGCATCGCGGGGAGGCAGAGTGGACGGAGGCTTGCGACGCACGCGTCAGACTCTCCAGCCACGCGTCAACTAAGTCGTTGGTGAGAACCAGGGCGATTGTGAGGCAGCGAGATGCGACATGCGCGGATAGCGATGGGCTGCTTGGTGGTGAGCTGGTCGCAACGTTGGATGCCCTGAAGCGGTGGCTAGGCCGCTTTGGTGCGAACCACGCCGATCGCCCAGGCACTCATCGGACCCGCTTTCCCCCGCAGCCTCACCCGCTGCCAGCACGACACGCCGCCGCCTTGATATGCATCGCGCCGTCAGCAGGTGCTTTGTAAGAACTATAGCAGTGACAGCCTCCATCCGACATGTATAGCATGTTCGCCCTGTCTGTATCAACAATAACTATTGCTGTTTGTCGGCGTACATGATTGCCCAAAAGCAACTCCATGTCTGTCCTTCACTAGCCAGCCATGCCCAGCCCGCGCGATCCCCTCCACCGTCCCCTGTCACGTGCCCATATTCCCATCTGCCATTGCTGCGGTAGCTCCTGCCCACTGCTGTTTGCTCTTGCCCCATCCGGCTGTCCACGCACAGCCGCAGACACCTCACCCCGCCGCTTTCGCCAAATCTTCCTCTCTACCCACACAATCCACCATGGCTTCTTCAGCACGCCTAGAGCGGGTCCGGAAGCTGATTCAACCGGACGTCGATGCTCTTCCTGACCGCCCCGTGTCCCCAGAGATGATCAGCGATGACGATGTCTCTGGCGGTGTATCTCTCGAAAACATCCCGCCGGACACCTCCAATGAAACAGACGCATTCACCAAGAAAGCATCGCCGGCTGCCGACGTTCTCACTACAGAGAACGCAGACAGCCAGTTCATTTGGATGGAAAACACCCCAAGCTCAATCAACCCGAGTCTTGATTCGCTGCGAATCTCCTCCCCGCCACCCCCTCCTAAAGCTGAGGAGCTTCCCGTCAACGATCTCCACCGTGGCGACCTGGCGTCTGCGCGTCATCACTTTACGCCAATTCAAGCCTTGGCCAAGTATCCTTACAAGTACTGTAACAAGAGCCATATGCAAGACATTGCCTCTGCCTTCTTCGACCAAGGCAAGTTTTGGCAGCGCGTCTGGGACCTGTAAGTCTCTCCCACCATGCTGTGCAACAACACCCCGGCCGTCCAAGCACCTGTGCTACATACTAGTCCTGGCGAATGAAGCCAGACATGCTGAGTCACATTGAGGCCTGGAAAACTTTAATCATGCATGGGAAGAAGACTCATTGACTGACCTTGGCAGTTACTATGTCTGGGATATCGACGCTTCTAAGCCCATAGTCCTCATCAGAGAGAGCCAAGCACAGGCTTTGCTCACTGAGATTAACAATCACCTCAACCTCAGCCTCAGCATCACCAATCAACAGCGCGAGGAAGGCCTTGCTACACGCTTCCCTGACCATCCTCGATGCTTACCAAGATATCTTGGACGCTCACAGTCGCGCGAAGATGTTAATAACATGGCCGCAAACGCCCCAGACAGATTGTATCGTGCCGTTGGAGAACCTTCACACCCACCACTCCAACCACACACCTTGGAGACGTTTAAACAGCTGATGGAGACTCTAACAGAGGCTCAGAGTGCCAAAAGAAAGACAAACAGTGCAAAGAAACAGCAAGACCGTTTGGCCAAAAACAAGTCAATGGCGGACCAGTTCAAGCGCGCGCAGAGATATCTTGGGCTCCGTGAATCCATTCAAACAGAAGTGCCACCACAGCTTTCATCTTCTCCAGCCGTTAATCCGTCTATGCCTGCGCCGTTTGCATTCGACCAATCTGTGGTCTTTGTATGTGTTGACGTGGAGTCGTACGAAAAGGCCCACCACAAGATCACTGAGATAGGAGTTGCCACGCTAGACACACGAGATTTGCAAGGAATCCCGCCAGGCGAGAATGGAAAAGCCTGGAGAGAAATGGTCCGAGCTCGCCACTTTCGCATCAAAGAGTACAAACATCTCGTCAACTCGGTCCATGTGATAGGATGCCCAGATGGGTTCATGTTCGGCGAGTCAACGGTTGTTTCGCTCCATGAAGTAGCAAAGCATGTCGCGGCCTGTTTTCATGCGCCTTTCGGGGCTCAAGACATGCCCACGGACCAGGCCAACGAGAAACGTAACATCGTATTCCTTGGCCACGATACACTGAGTGACGTTCGCTACTTGCAGCAGCTCGGATACGACCCGATCAAAGAGGAAAACGTGCTCGAGGTCATGGACACTGCAGTCATGTATCGTGTCTGGCGCCGTGACCAGCAGCCCACCAAGCTAAGTAGGATCCTCAATGACTTTGACATTGTTGGGTGGAAGCTTCACAACGCCGGCAACGACGCAGTGTACACTGTACAGGCTATGTTGGGAATCTGCGTCCGTGAGGCCATGATTCGTGCGTCTTCGGGATTCAGCCAGATTGGTCAAAATGACGGAGCCAGGCTTGCTGGGGCTTGAGAAGAAGCCAAGGAGGGGGCTCGAGATGATGGGGCAGAGTGGAGCGAGCATGAAGCCGACTGTGGCAGCGGCAGACCAGTGCCGCTTGCTACTGGCCCCACATCAAAACTAGTGCAGGCGCAGACTGTACTGCAGTATGGCGGGTCATATGAGGTTAATGCGCATGCAGATAGCAGCGGCCGAGACCGAATCGGTCCGGGTGTTCCGTCAAGCGGGTATGGATGTCGTGCGTCCGACCAAGACGTGGACGGTGGCTCGTGGCGCGCTCAGATTCCAGGTCGAGAACGGACCCTTGAAGAGACTGGTGCACACGAGCGAGAACAGGACCGCGACTCTTCCTGCCTGCCTGCGGATGGCACTGGCTCTGCGAACATTCCCAAGGTACGTGTCCACAGCGGCTACACCGCTCGCCAGTTCCACTTTGCTCGTATGGATGGTTGCTAACGTGATCTCGCAGGTGCAACACTATTGGTGAGCGGCCGGACTGGTGGAAATTTGTCGGCGACCAAATAGAGAATGATAGACAGGAGCACATGCGCGACATGCAGTGTTTTCTCCCGATTGTCATGTGCGGCTAGGCATGCAAGTAATTGAGATCCGCTATCCGGTTCAGATCGTGGGGATCTACTGTGTGGATGCCTTGGCAGCATGTAGTGGCATTACCAGCTCGACGAGCAACTGATAACACAGCCTGTTAGTTGGCACGCTCAACTTGCTCCAGGCATCTCTAGTGTTTGGATGCGACAGGGGTGCCAGTCGACTACATGTTCCCCTGGGATTATGCTCTCGGGCGCGGTCCATGAGGGTTCCCCGTTGACTGTCACCGCCTTCTGCCCGAGCAGTTCGGCTATTATTACCAGGGCCATCCATGGCCGGGGGGTCAGTGTGGGATCAACGATTTCTCCACCAGTTCGTTAATAACCAAGCTCATCCGCCGTCACAATGGCGGAAAAGCTTCTTTGCTCCGCCTCTCTCTGGTTCCAAGCCAGGTTTCCTTTTCTCCACGTCTTTCCGCGTGGTGCCGCGCCGTTTCGTGTGTGATTCACGCCACCACACCTGGTATGACGACATCTTGGACTCAGCAAGCAGCCTTCCCCCCAAAGAAAGCACTTTTCTAGAGCACCAGCCAGGAGCTGCGACCTCACAATGCACTCGGCCACTCCGCGGAACCGCTCGTTGGAATCCTCGCGCGGTCTTTCTTCAAGACAGCATGGGGCCGCTGACGAGAGGCATCTCGCCCACGAAGACACGAATGCCTCGCGACCGTCGGTGTCTGGCAAGAAGGGCGCCTGGTGGAAGACGAGCCTGTTCAGCGGCATGATCAACGATGTGCGGAGACGAGCACCTTTCTACTGGAGCGATTGGACCGACGCGTGGGACTATCGCGTTGTGCCTGCAACGGTGTACATGTACTTTGCCAACATCCTGCCTGCGCTGGCCTTTTCGCTCGACATGTTTGAAAAGACGAACCGGAGCTTTGGTGTGAACGAAGTGCTACTCGCCTCTGTCCTGGCCTCTGTCGTCTTCTCCATCGGCGCAGCACAGCCGCTCGTCATTGTCGGGGTCACTGGACCCATCACCGTGTTCAACTACACCGTCTACGATATCATTGTGCCGCGAGGGACAAACTACTTTGCCTTTATGTGCCTGATTGGGCTGTGGTCGCTCGTCTTCCACTGGGTCCTGGCCATTACCAATTCGTGCAATGGGCTGAGATATGTCACGCGCTTTTCCTGCGACATCTTTGGCTTCTACGTCGCCTTCATCTACCTGCAGAAAGGCATCCAGGTGCTGACGCGGCAGTGGGAAGTCAATGATGCTTCGGCGTATCTCTCCGTCATGGTTGCCCTTTTGGTCACAGCAGTAGCATACATCTGTGGTCTCATTGGGCAATCGTCGCTCCTGCAGCGACACGTTAGAAAGTTCATCGAGGACTACGGCACACCGCTGACTGTGGTCTTCTTCACGGGCTTTGTCCATATTGGCAAGATGGCAGGCATCGAGCTGCTCAAGCTACCCACGTCCAAGGCGTTCTTCCCCACGGCGGACCGCGGATGGTTTGTCCACTTTTGGGATATCAGCGTGGGCGATGTCTTTCTCGCGATACCCTTTGCGATCCTACTAACCATCCTGTTCTGGTTCGACCACAACGTGTCCAGTCTCATTGCGCAGGGTACCGAATTCCCGCTCCGAAAGCCCGCCGGCTTTCACTGGGACTTGTTTCTTCTTGGACTCACAACGGGTGTTGCTGGACTGCTCGGCATCCCGTTTCCAAATGGACTCATTCCTCAGGCACCCTTCCACACAACGTCGCTTTGCGTCACCCGCACGATTTCCGATGGCGACGACGAGGCGAACAAAGGTCATAGGCGCCGCGTAGTAGATCATGTGGTAGAGCAGCGCGTGTCGAACCTCGCTCAAGGTCTCTTGACGCTTGGCACCATGAGCGGCCCCCTACTCATCGTGCTCCATCTCATCCCGCAAGCGGTCCTCGCCGGACTCTTCTTCGTCATGGGGATCCAAGCACTTGAAGCAAACGGCATCACGCTCAAGCTGCTCTTTCTCGCACGCGACCGGCACCTTACACCCAAGTCGGAGCCTTTGATGCGCATCGAGCGGCGATGGGTGATTTGGGTTTTTGTTGGCCTCGAGCTCATTGGCTTTGGGGCCACGTTCGCCATCACACAGACAATTGCGGCGATTGGTTTCCCCGTCTTCATTTTGCTGTACATTCCCATGCGCACGTGGCTCATGCCGCTGTTCCTGACGACACAGGAGCTGGGCATCCTGGACGCGCCGACTGCAAGCCCATTTACCATGGAGAGCGTAGGCGGGAACCATGGGGAGGTTGTTGAGCCGCTTTGAGCGAGCACCGACAGTGGGGATTTGCGAGACAGCAGTCAGGCAGAGAAGGGAGAGAGCAGGCTGAGTGTCGGCGACGAGGCCAGGAGGAATGCACAAGGAGAGGGAGGGAGTACAAGACGACGAAGTAGTTTTCGCGCTGCGGATGGGTCTGAACAAGATAATATAGAGAAGATGTAATGGCTGGGGATTGTTACGATGGCGGATTAATGGACTGGGAGGTCAAAAAGAATAGATTTGGGGAGTCTGAATGTGGGCAGGCATGTGTTACATTTCTGTTTGGTAGACTGCATGGGGGTGTAGATGATGGAAGAGGGCCTGGTTGTGGTGGATAATAAAGACGCGTGTGGCTTGGGCGTTTGATTGTGCCGTGTGTGATGTATGTGTGGTAGGGCAGGGTATGCTGGCATGTGCAAGTGCCTCTGGTTTCCCAAGGATGGCCCTTGGTGTTGATGACGTGACTGGAGCCCTGGCTGGCCGGCTGCTTTGTAACCACATGGCTGGGGAGTCTATTCGCAACAGGTGTCGACGGCTATGACGCATGCGTGTCGGGAGTGGGCCAAGCGATGGGCAACGGCCAATATGAAGGACACACGGTGGCGCCCAAGGCAGGTGTACTTGTAAGTATACTGGAGGTCTAAGTGTGGGGGTGCTTGCGGGGGAGCGGCCGGCGGACCGCGTACGGGGGAAAAGCGGGGGGTTTGCTGGGCCAAGTGCTTTCTAATCACAATCAGACTGCAACAGGTTGCCGGCGATTGCGTCACACAGCGTTTCAATATTGCTTGTTCCGAGTACTAATGGCCAGCATGGCGCACTTTGGGTGCGACAACATGTACGATGCGATTGCGGCATCCTCGCGCGCGCGGAAACAGCTTCTTCGCGCATCTGGGCCAAAGGCTCGCATCGAGAGGGCCACGCAAGGGCGTTGGCAAGGCTGTCCAGGCCGGGGCATGCGGAACAGAGAGAGTCAGTTCAAGCAGGGGGCTTTGGTGAGCAAGGCTAAGCTGACAGCTGCTACATGTGTGAGGCGGCGTTCGCTGGTAAGTAGTAGGCAAGGCTTCTCCGTCAGCTGACACGCAGGCGCCCTACTCGTCAATACTTGCACAGCCACGGCGCGCCTTCTTCAGCATCGTGATGGCGCATTGCCCATCAGCCTGCCCATCAGCCTGCCCATCAGCCTGCCCATCAGCCCGCTCATCAAACCACGATGCCAAGGCAGCTTCAGTCGGGATGATTGGCCTGCCCGTCTGCTGCTCGGCTGATGACGGGTCGCCGGGACGCGCCCTCAACCCTGATCCCACGTTTGCGCATCCGCGCAATGGGGTCTGGACGCGTATCACTGTCGTCGGCGCATTTCCAATCCTCTCCATGGTGTTTTTAACCAAGCCACCAGCTCTCCTGCCTGCTGTCTCCTCCGTCCCCCCGCCAGAGCACATCTCCCTCGACCCTCCCGCCGCCGCCGTTGCGCAATGGAAGCCATGCCCTCATGCAAGCACTCGTACTTTGGCCTGCCCCTGCTGAGCACGGCCAAGCATGCTCAGAGAAGAGACTCTCTTTCATCCTCGAGAACCCGCGATTCGGGCTACAACAGCGACCCCGACACGCTGTCGCCCCTGGATGCCGTGGGCGTGGATCACGGTATGTCTTCTTCTCCCAGCCTTCTGCAGCCCACATGGCTAACGGCGCAGTAGAATTTCTTCTTGCGCCTGTTCCATGCGTGCCGAGCATTCTTACCAACACCAAGGCTGCCCCGTTCAGACTTCACGGCCATCCCTATAGGTCAGGGGGGCTCGGCCGGCACAGCATCACAAGTGACCCTGCCGGAGCCGATGCGCATCGGGCAATCCCGCATCCCGAATTAGAAACCATCACTCATCACACGTCGGTGAAAATTCTGGGAGCCCAGCAGGCCGCTCAGGGTGATGATGATGTTGATGATATAGAGCGGTGGGTAAACGATAATCTTCCGCTGCGCACTCAACCAGAGCAACGGTCGCTGTCCATCATCTCGCTGTCGACCACGAGCAGCTGCGATATGTATACCAATACCGACATTAGCGATGATGAGCATGACTATCAACGGGCGTCTTTTGTCGCTCAGCCACCCAAATCGACGCTCAAAGTCATCGAGCTGATACTCAGGAGAATTGAAATCAGTCTTCAGCATGCCGCGTACAAGCAATGCGCAGGGAATAATACCTCGAGCGCTCCAACTGCACCGTACATCTCACTGGATCAAAGCAGCCGCACTACATCGCTAAGCACGGGGTCGAAACGAAAGTCGCGCCAGGAAGGGACTCCGCCGCCAGATGACGACGATGAAGGCAGTCCAAATAAGCGGCGTCGCGGATCAATGGCAACCTCTGATGAATCCGAGACTGGCGTGCGGTTTGCGTGTCCCTTCTACAAACACGACCCGAACCGATACCGCAACAGGCGTACGTGTGCTGGGCCTGGCTGGCCAACTGTTCACCGCATGAAGGAGCACTTGTATCGCTCACACGCCCAGCCAATCTTCTGCCCCATCTGCTATGCGACGTTCAAGTCGGACAAGGACCAATCGAACCATGTGCGCTTGCAGCAGTGCAAGAGGTCGTCGCCACAGCAGATTGAAGGCATTGACAGAGAGACGGTGTGGACGCTGAGAAAGCGCACTACTGCGTTGAGGCTGGAGGAGGACAAGTGGAGGGACGTCTATCAGACCCTGTTCCCATATGTTTCGCCTGAGGACATCCCAAGCCCATGTAAGCCACCTTCCCCCTTGAGCTTCTATATAGCTTGCTAACAAGTAACAGTCTATGATTGCGACTCTCCCAGTGAAGCTTCACGGCGATTCCGCCGAGATCTGCTTCGTCGCGTGCAGGAAGAGCTGTACTCTGAAGCCGCACAGATGCCCAGTCCCGTCGAGCAGCAACTCCTGCAGCGTGTCGCTGAGATTGTGCGGCGGTGCGAGCACGACCTGCTTCACCAAGCCCATCCATCCTCTGCTCCTAGCTTTACCACAGACCGACGTGCTAGCGCTAGCTCAATAGGCAGCTCGTATCAAGCCACACCCGCACCCATGCTTAGTCCAGCACCCGTGCAGAGACCCTCGGCGTCTGCTCTGGCTTTCCACAACCAGCAAATGCAGGGCCCCGTGTCTCTGCCGGATACCATGCAATATATACCGGAACCCACGGTGGAGTTCTCGAGTGTAGTCTGGGAGGATCAGCCCTGCAACCCGTTTAGTTTAGGCATTGACTGGGATGAGGTGTTTCTGTCGGGCCCGAGTATGCAGTATAGGAATAGCGGCGAGCCTGTTGCAGCGCTCTCGAGACCCATGTGGGCTTAGGTAGACGAATGAAGATGTGTGTTGTAATTCATGTACTGCACGTGCTAAAAGGCTAGGCAGGCACATGTCTGGCATGATGTGACAGAAGGGTGTGCAGTTTCTTTGGAAATCGATAGCTGCTAGCGATATTGAGTTTGATATGCTTTGCCATGGTGTTGGCGCGAGTCATGGCGCAAAGTCAAAGTATGACAGCCTTAGCGCGGGCCGAGTCATGCACAATGTCTTTTAGCGCCACAAAATTGAACAATCTTCAGTTACCAACACCATGCCACCAGCAGGGCGAATATCGACGGTCGAGTTCCGCTCGCTCCTACCCCCAATCCGCGTCCCGTACCGCGCTCTCCAGACGCTACATCGTCCACAATGCGCAGCCCTCAATGCCCGCCCGGCGCCGCATTGTCTGACGCAGCGCCGTGCGCTCAATCTCTACAAGACGGCTAAATCGAGGGTGGTTCTTGGACAGCACAAATCCTTGATCTTTTCTCCCTATGACCTGAAGCCCCCGGAGGCGTCGGAATACCGCATCAATCTCTACAGTGCCGACAAGCACCACAGGCAACACAAACTGGTGGCCAAGGACGTGTCCATGAAAGAGGTATATGACACGAAAATCAAGCCAGGCCACATGATTTACAACATGGCGCCGCTGGTAAAGGACATGGCCAAGAGGTACATGGACTCAAACACCGAGGAGCTCGATGCGACATATCGAAACTATGCCTTCATGGAGGCGCACGAACACCGAATCTCGGTCAAAAACAGCCAGAAAGGCGGGCAGCTTGGAGGACTGAAGAACGTCATCTTCAACGAGTCGAGTCCTGTGTCATACTACAGGCTCTGCATGGATCGCGCATATCAGTTCATTGAACACGGCAAGCCTGTCGAATTTCGCATCCGGCTGCAGTCGCACCTGAAGAAAAAGGACAGGGTCACGACAGGCGACCTCACCATCTGGCCGTGGCTACACGCGCGTTTCCCGCATCTGCGACCGGACTTTATTCTCAAGTCGATGCCCGAGGGATCAAAGTACCTCATCCACCCCGTGACGGACGGGCGGGTCATGCAGTGGGTCGTGGCCCAGAAGGACGCGCAGAAGAACCTCGACACCAAGTTTATGCAGATGCAGCAAAAGGTCAAGCAGGCAATCAAGGAGGGCAAGGCAAGCATGCTGCCACAGCTCATGCGCGCCCAACTGGTCGAGGAGGGACACGATGCCTACTCGGTCAACACGGGCATGACCAAGGAGCTGGCGGAGCAGAAGTTTGGCAAGGGCGGCACGTTCAAGTATGGGTCCGAGGAAAAGAAGAGCATCAAGCGCGAGGGCGACACCGATGGCTTCTTCAGCACTGACAGCGAGGATCGGTGGAGCCTCACCCGACAGCCGGAGCCGGTGAAGTATCGTAGCCATCGATGGATGGGACGAGGCCAGAGGAAGCACTGAGGGGCGTGTACGCCGAGTGTGCCTTGCAGTATGTAGTAGTAGTATGTAGTAGTATGTACTCCATGTATGTGTATGCGAGACGCGGGGTTGTTCCAGAAAAGGTGATTGTTTCAGCAGGGCACGCCTAGAAGGGTTTTTTTTTAGCTTTGGCCACGGACGGCTGGGGGGGTTTGCTGACGAGGGAGGAAGTGCATTTGGCTGCATTGGGCCGTGACGGCATGTCTGGGTCTGGGTCGGCCATGGAAACGGCCGCGCGCATCGTTACCCACATGCACACGCCCAAGACGCAAGCAGCACCCTAGGCCAGCCATTGCTACCACGATTCCTCCCTTCTCCTTCTCCCTCCCCGTGGCGCTCCGCCGTGAAGACGTGCCTGCACCCACTCGGCCCGCCGCGAAGAATGCTGCGCCCCTGAAGGCCTCTCTCTCTCTCTCCCTCGTGCACGTCGCCCCCATTCAATTAGTCTAATATTCTAATCGCCGCCCGCTCCCCCGCCGCTATTCGTCATCACCGCCGCCGCCGCATCCCGTAGTCCAGTCGCTACTGTACACGCACACGTCGCCTCCACCATCATCATCACGACAACCTCCACCACACCCGCAGAAAACCCCCCCCCCGTCGGAGCCCCCCATGAACGCCGCGCGCCAGGCGTGTCGCCCCAAGCACCAGGTCCTGGTCCTCAAGTGCTACCCCAAGGTCCAGAAGAACAATGCAGACGCAAAGGCCAATTCGAGCGAGCTGAGCTACCTGCTCTACTATGCCAGCACGCGCCGGAGTAAGCTGCAGAAGGTGGTTGATTTCCTCGACAAGCGCTCCGTCAAGGACGTGTGGAAGGTCCGGACGGGCAATGTGCAGTAATGTAGTCGTGGTCGGCGGCGAGGGCGGCAGGATCCTGGTGTGCGCAGAGAGCGTCGAAGACGGGCACCGACTCCTCGACCATGGTGACATTGTTGGAGTTGAGAATGGTGCGCAGAATGTGCAGCACGGAGCCGGCGTAGAGCGGGAGGTCGCGCGGGCACTTTTCAATCAGCGTCTTGACAATCTGCAGCGTCACCCAAGTACGACGAGGTCGTGCAGCTGTACGCCCAGTTTGCGTCCAAGGACGCCGTCAAGACGGGCAAGGGCGCCGTGAGCTGGCCCGTCGCCATCAGGTACCGCAAGATAGGCCTGCAGGCGCTCAAGGCCGTAGCGTCATCCGAGTCGCTGGGCTCCGAGACGGGCCGCCAACTCGCCGTCATAATACCCGTCATCCTCGCCAACATATACTCGGAGAGCGGGGCATACCTCAAGCAATTAGAGGCTCGGGAAGACGTCCAGGGCGAGCATGAAAAGGAGTCTGCGGTGCGGCGGCGACATAGCGTATCCACGGCGCGGACCGACGACGAAGACGGCGACCCTGTGGCGGCCTCGGGAACAACGGAAGACGCGGATAAGCTGGCGGAAGAGGAGGTGGGCGTGCTGGCGCTCCAGGCGCTGCGGAGCATCTTCCAGGGCGTGACTAGAGGCCAGCTGCGACTCGCAACGTCTGCCGTTCTCAAATTTATCGGGGAAAATGTCAAGAGCAAGTTGGAGACGCCGCCGAGCGAAAGCAGCCATTGGGCGACGACGCTCATGGCCATGGTTTGTTCGTGGGTGCCGGTGCAAGATCGGTACAATGTCCTGGTAGGCGCGGTGGAAGCCTTGGTTCGCAGCCCAATCGTGGAGGATGACCTCGAGCGGCAACTCGTGCTCGCGACTGTGATTGACTACCTGCTTGCCTCACCCATCAACTTTATCGGGCTCAGCGTCATGGATGTGTTGGTCGGGTTCATCTCGCACACGCTATTACTACTGCAACTCGGTGGGCCAGGGTCGAACATCCAGCCGCATCACCAGCAGACGGCCTCTGTCGTGGGAGAAAAAGAGCAGAGCAAGCAGTCGCCGACAACCAATGCCGACGGCGTAGTCATGGAGGTCGTGCAGAAGCCTTCAGAGGCAAGGCGGCAACTCCTAGACACTGTGCAGAAATGCATGTCAAATCTAGCAACGCACGTATACTACACGGACCAAATCTCAGACATGATCGAGGCGATCCTGAGCCGCCTCAAGCCCTCGCGTCTCTCGACCATTGCTACTACCGCCGAAGCCATCCAGAATCCCGAGGGTGCCGTCGAGGCGGTTGCAGACTCGATCAGCATGCAGGAGAAGACGCATATCGATCGATTCTTCTCGTTTGAGACTGCACGCATCACTGCTCTTGACTCGGTCAAGGCAATTTTGAAGACGGCAAACACGCGGAGACCAGACGGATCTACCGCGTCAGTGTCACGAAGCAAAGTTGGCGTAAGCGTCTGGGAAGGCTCGCAGTGGCTGCTGTGCGACCCCAGTGGCCGGGTCAGGAAAGCCTATGTCGACGCATTGGTCACTTGGCTGAACACGGAGAAGGACAAGGAAGACTTGAGGATTGTAAACAATTACCGGCGGAAAGAGAAGGATACCGAGAAGAATGCACTGTCGAGGCGCGCGATGTCGAGCGCCTCTATGAGAGACAGGACGCCAAAGCGCGGCAAAGACACATTCTTGCCTCTGCTTCATCTGGCTGTGTACGAAAACGCGCACCAGTTTATTGACTCGGAGGCCGACTACTTGCTTCTGCACCTCCTGCTTGCCACCTTGGTCGACCGGTTAGGTGTTAACGCTGCACGGAGTGGGTTGCCGATGATCTTCCGGCTGCAAGAGGATATTGCGAACACAGAAGATCCTGGCGCCAAGTTGCGCATCGGAAGCTTGGTGCATGGCTATCTCTGGGCACTCAGCGCGGCTCTGGAGTTTGAGGTCACCTCGGTTGGTCGCGCGCTGCACAATGAGATTTCGCGTAGGAACCAAAAGGGTCTGTGGATGAAGAGCATCAACGTCCCTCCGATGCCGATTGATCGCATCGAGATACCACATCCAACGCCGGTTGCGGTGCCCCCGGAAATTGTGCACAACGAGGCACTCAAGCCTTTTGACAATCGGGAGGCACTTGTGGAGAAGATCTCGGAAGGTTATTCGTCTTCGTTGCTTTCCCCACCGTCTTCGCCTGCGGGGTCGCCTGGCCGGCCAAGATCAATCAAGTCGTCGATTCCTGCCATTCACCAGCCTACGCAACCAGTGGCTCCACATGATGCGCCTGAGCTGCCTTTCAACGTGCGAGAAGATCTCATGGCGCAATGGTCTCGCGATGACTGCCTTGCGACTCACACCAAAGACTCTTCGTCGGCGTCCATGACGGGTTCCAAGTCTGGGACCCACTACACCAGGAATAACTTTCTTGGTGTCAACATTCCCCATGGCAACCTGGACAGCAATGGCAGCTCGCCTGCTCCCAGTCCACGGCGGGCACAAAGCAGGCCTCCATCTACCGCTTACGGGCTGGCAAATCGCCTTTCGTCGCCCAATCGAAGCCGCAGTCCTGGCGGCACACCCAACAGCTCGTCGTCTCTGCGCTCAACCGTCAGAGTCGACGACCTCCGACGCGCTCTCTCCACATCTGGCGGCGGAGCCCCAAGAACCAGCTACTCTGTCCGCGCCCCATCGCACCGCCACCGCAAATCCCTCTCGGACCACGCATCCACAACATCGGAATCCCTCATCAGCGTACACTCCCTCTCCGACACATCCTTTATCACCACGAACAACCCCACCTCCGACTCTCAGCACCTCCCCAACCCAGACTCGCCCACAACCCCCGCAGCAACCATGACACCCCGCCCCCAAACCGCCACATCAACTCATTCCACCGCCCCCGTCTACACAGCCGAGAACCCGCCTCCCGTGCCCCCCATCCCAGAGGATCTCAAGTCCAACGGCCAGACCCACACAAAGGACTTTGCATCCCGCCCGCGCACAGCGACCAACGGCGACGTCTCCCCAGCAGCTAAAGCGCGCAGCGTCAAAAGCGGCCGTAGTCGAAGCAGAGATCGCAGGAGAAGCAGTATGGCTAGATCAGTCGCTCCTTCTACCATCACCACTGCCGCTGCCACCACTACTACTGGTGTCGGTGGCAAACCGGATTTCTCAGGCTTCTTGGATAGCATTGGGGTGCAGGGTGAGGATGACGACGATACAAGGGACGAGGTTAGTGTGGGTAAGGCGCCGTATTGATTGCTTGACGCGTGTGAGGTATACGTACGTATGTGGTGTGCGTGGGAGTTGTTTTCTCTCTCTCTCTCTCTCTCTCTCTCTCTCTCTCTCTCTCTCTCTTTCTCTCTCTTTCTTCTTCCTTTTTCTCGCGTTTGAGGTGAGCGAAAATACGGATGTCCGGGGGTTGCCGAGTCTAGGTATCGGTCGAGGCGGCGCGTTGTACGTTGTACGTTGTACGTTGTAGAGGTATAAAGCGGGGGAGGTTGGGTTTGGGTTCGGGGGTTCCAGGGGGACGAGTGTCGTGTAAAGGACTTATACATCTTCCTCTTTTTTTTTCCTTTTTCTCTCTTTTTTTTCTCTTTTCTTCTTTTTTCTCTCTCTCTCTACCTCTCTACCTCTACCCGACTCTTGTCTGTGCGTTTTCCTTTTTCCCCTTTTCTTTCCTTTTATACCGGTTTTTCTCCTTGGCTTTCCTTTTTTTTTCCCATTTCTTGATTTTTTTTGGGCGTTCAGGGGGTTTTTTTCCGTCTGTGTCTGTGTCTGTGTCTGTGTCTATTGGTCTTGTTTACTCGGACGTGGGCGTGGCGCAAAATTATTCATCTCCTCTCTCATCTCGTCTAGTCTTGTCTTGTCTCGTCTCGTCTCGTCTTGTCTTGTCTTGTTTCGTCTCGTTTGTCATTCATCACATATCACATATCCTCTCGTTTTGGCTTTTAGCATTACCATCATATTTTTTTTCTTACATCTATAGACTTCTTTCTTTCTCTCTTTTTCTTTCTTTGTTTCTTTCGTTTTTCTTTCTTTCTTCTTTTCTTTTGCTTTTCTATCCTTTTACTATTCTCCCAGTTTCTGAGTTTCAGTCCAAAGATATATGTAAGAGAGAAAAAAGAAAAAAAAATATCAAACTGTAAAGTTTCTTTGCAAAAATGGATTATATATAGTAGATTGATTTCGCAAGTTTAGTCTGAGGTTGTATACTGAGTATGTGAGTGAGTAAAGTAAGTAAGTAAGTGAGTCGGTAGGAGTGAGTGACTGAGTGACTGAGTCGCTGCTGACTATCTATTGCACCGTATTCTATTCTCTCCATCTTTGTCTTCTCTCATGTTTTTTATCCTGGATTTTTTTTCTCAGTTTGTCTCTTTTATCCTGTTTCGCGGTTTTGCGGGTTCACGGATTTTTGCGGAGTGTCAGTCGGGCTGGGCTGGGCTGGGCTGGGCTGGGCTGGGCTGGAGTGGGTTGGGAGTAGGCTGCGAGTGGGTTGGGAGTAGGCTGCGAGTACAGTGCATGGTATATATATATATATATATAGACATTTCCTGTGCATGTATGTATTTCCTTAGTAGTAATATCATAGTTCAAATACATTTCATATCACGCTGTGTGCAATGCAATAAGGTTCTGGCACAGTATGAAAAAAAAGTGAAGCGATATAAGGACTTTTACTACTACTGCTGCTGCTACTATTACTAGTCCTATGTAGGATCTTCATTTGGCAATGTGACGGGGAATTAGTCAAGGGTGTAAGGAAAAGAAACGGCTTGTTGTTGTGCTAAAGGCTAGGTAGGTAGGTATGGGGACTCGAAGAAGAAAGGTGGTTTTGTGAGACCGTGGTATAAAGAAGGGACTTGGAAATCTGAAGAGAAAACCCATTGAGTACCTAGTCGCATGTAGCATCTGTTGGAATACAGCAAATATCATATTTCCCTCCCTCACTTTCTCTCTCTCACTCTCTGCTTGCCCAACTTGTTTCCCTTGGACACTGTATGCCGAAACAAGACGAACATGCAATCGCTCGCATTCCGACATGTCGTCTCACTCATTCCACCACACACCCTACTCCTTCATCTTCTTCTTGAACAACGGCATCTGATATGCCGCAAGCCCGTCCTCACTATCAAACCCCAGAGCCGGCGACGGAAAATCATTCTCTAGCAGCCGTGCACCCCTCTCGCGTGGCAGCACCACACCCTCTCTCAACGCAGTCACACGGAGTCTACCGTATACACACGCATCGTGCAGAGGCTTTGGTCCTAGTTTATCCAGCAATGCGCTGTGTATTTCCTTGAGGTACAGGACTTCTTCTCGCTGTCTGCAGAAGCGAAAGCCGTAGTCGCGGCGGAGACAGGCGGGGGGCTCCGTGTTGTGGGTGTCATGGATGAACTGGATTAGGCGCCAGACGGTGGGGCGCTTGGGAGGCGGCGTATTTAGGAAGACTTCGAGGTAGGGAGCCAGAGTGCGGAAGTGGGAGTATGCGTTTTTGTCGAAGAGAGCGACGAGGCTGTTTGCGTGGAGGGCGCGCTGCAGGTCGTGGGTCATGCTGATGGGTGCTTCGGTGATAAGCGCCTTGTAGAGACCGGCTAGGCGCCGCTCTGTCTCTTCGTTTCCTGTGCATGCGAAGCCAAAGACGTACCATGCGTTGGTGTGGACGGGGAGCAGTTTGTCTTGCATGACTGTTTCGACGAGTTGGGCCACGTCTGGGTCCAAGGGCTGGACAGAGTCCGTGGTTGGGCTGTGGCTTCGTGAGGTAGCTGGAGTGGGGTACGAAGTACTGTCAGTACTTGTTTGGTATGAATCCTGTGCATGATTGGATTTCTCAGGTTTCTGAGTCTGAACAAGTACTTGCTGACTGGCAGGTATAAGAGCAAAAGGGAGTCTCCTTGCCGACGACTGCAGTTCGATATGGAAGTTGATGGGCTCAGATATGCCAGCACACCTGGCAGCTAAAAGCAGAGTGCTGTACGCTCGCTCGGGGAAACCTAATTTGTAAATGAGCCCAGACAGCTCAGTTGCAAACGAGGTCTCTCCAATGAGCGAAGTCAAGCCCTCCAAGACCTGCGCGCCTATCTCTGAAGCTATACGTATCAATCGGCTCACGGCTTCCATTGAGTTGTTGTAGGACCGAATTTCTTGAGATAGTGCAAGGATGCGGTCGCCGACGAGGTAGCCTTTACTATCAGTGTCTCCACTAATGCCCATGCTGAAATGGCTTTTGATAAACTCGTCGAAGAGAGTTCGGTTATCGTCAAAGCTGCGGCGGAGATCAAGGATAACGGTATGGATGTCCTTGCAGGAAAAGTTCATGATGTTTTTCCATAGATCGTTCTTTGAGCGCTCGAATTCTGAACCTGTATTTGTTAGTGATGAACTGGTATCGACCGGATCATATCTGGAGTACCGTTCTGGAATGATGCTAATGCAGGCTGTACGCATTGCGCAAACCTCTCTAGTCCTTTATCATTCGTAGGGCAGGGTTGAGAGAAAAAGACAAGGATGCAGTGCCTGGCAGCGTCTTTCTCTGTGGTTATTGACGCAGATAGGTAGCCCGTAACGTCCTTGGCTGCTTTGCAACTCTCTTTCAGGTAGCCTCGCTCCATAGCTTGTTACCTAGTTGTCTAGCCGGGTCGTGCCAAGCAAATCAACTAGACTGTAACTCTGCAACTTATTTATCCAAAAGATGCACGGAGGCAACCAGCGTGGGATAGATTGGATGGGCTGAACTGGGTGGGCTGGAATGGAGGGGACTCGAGTGGAGTGGAGGAAAAATGGAGTAAACAAGAGTCTCGAGCTCATATATCCAGCCACGGCGGGCAGCTCCTTCACCTGGCGAGCGAAATGACGTAACACGCTAGTGTAAAAGGCAGCGCCAGGTGAGAGACGCAAACGACACAGGATGTGAGGTGATTCGATTCCAGAACAGGGCTAGGTTGAGTTTTGTCGGTGAGATGTTTGTGTTGTTGTAGCGATGATAGGCAATGTTGTAATACATGAGGGGAATAATAGGCCTCGACCAGCAACTGGCCGAGGCATATGCAGCAGCAGTGCTGAGTTCTTAGGTAGAAGTTTAATTATATCTCTTTGTACTTGCCACGGCTATCATTCTTACATAGCATACGGTCCGAAGCCAATTCCGCGCGCACTACTAAACCACAGCATGAACCAAATAGACGTAGAGGTGCACGAAACATGAATCAAGTGAAACCAGTAGACAAGACAACGACAAGCTGTTATGATTACAAGTTCTTGATTGTTCCATCTACATATCGACATAGAAAAATAGACGCAAGACGCGGTACTGTTTGTTGCAAACATAGAAAAAACATTTGTACTGTTCCGCGTCACACTGCTCACCATTGTCTATCATGTATTTCGTTTCTTTCTGGCCTAACCACCAAATCCAAATACCTCTGCCGTACTCAACATGCTCATCCTTGTTCCCCAAAGCGCGATCGCAATGCTGACAATGTCGACGACCAACAAAACAACAGCGCCAACCATGAACCTGGGGTTGAAGATACGGTACAGCATCAAGTGTCTCCTTAGGTGGCCTGCCCACATGGTTGTTGCCAGATTGATGGTGGCATAGAAGAGAATATGCGTAGCCACAGCCTTTGCCACGACACTCAGTAGACCCTTCTTCTGTGGCTTGACCTTCCACAAGACGAGGGCGGGAACAGCAACAGCACACAAAATCTGCGCACCAAATGTATTCAAAATGACAATCACAGGCGTCCAGGGGTAGCGGACCTTGGCGAGAGGAATAAAGGCCGACTCCCATTGGATACTTGAAAGCGTAGCCTGGTGACCAGTCTTGAAGAAGTGGAATGAGCCAAGGAGACCTAGAACAACAGGGCCAATCGGTGACTGGCGGAGGTTGTTCGTGTCCATGATTTCGAAAACGGAAAAGAGCTGCCAGACCAATATACCAATGGCGCCAGCTCCCATTGGCTTCTGAAGAAGAGCAATGGCGAGGTACCAGATGGTGATGAGAAGGGCGTAGCGTGAGCCGTGGACGTTTGCGAATCCAAGAACGGTAACGGCTTCTTTGGGTGCGCCGTTGGCATCCTTGGCGTCCTTGTCGATGATGACATTGAGGAGAGGCTTGGACCAGTTATAGATTGAGTATCCAAACGCCATGCTGATTGCCAGCACAATCTGTGCAAGGAAACGTTTTGTAATGCGAATGACGTTGGCCCAACCAGGCACCCAGTCGCCATCATCAGCCGCATCAAGGGCCCAGTAAGCCGCGGAAAGCATCAGCCCAAAGCGCAATGCGAGGCCTATCCAAAGTGTAGCATTATGCTGGTAGCTCTTAGTGCCCTCGTAGTAGCTCTTGATAAAGGTGGGAATGAGAATGGCGACAGCAAAAGGAATGAAGAGCTGCCAGGGTGCCGATGTGGTAGACAATGCCGAGGCATAGTACGTGGACTTGCAATAGGGCATTTGCTCTTCCCTGCAAAGCCTCGAGAAGCTAGCCACTCTCAACAAGGCAGTAAAGAGAATTGAATGGTAGGCACCCAAGGTTCGGTCTGCAATGCGCCTTTGTCTGAGCGAGGAGATGAGCGCAAGGACTCCAAACGTAGTCAGAAAGTGGAGCAGGATTTCATCTTCCCAGATGGTAAAGGAGTTGGCTGCGAAGCCAGCAGAGAGTGCAAGGGTGAAAATCACGCTTGTCCAGCCCCAGATGTTATTTGGCATAAGAGACATCATACGGTAGCTCAGGGCATAAAACGTCGAAGCGCTGCCAACGATGCCTGAGAGAGCGGAAGAGAGGATGACCACGTGTGCCCTGGACTCCTGCGGCATGAAGACAGTAAGGCCGACGCCGAAGATACCTCCAAGTGCCAGGCCAATGGCACCTCGTGTAAAGAAGACTGGTGTGACCTCGGTGCGATCTCCATGAAGGATCCTAGCGTAAAGTGCGACAACAATCAAACTAAACGCCAGGATTACAACACCACTCAGCATTCTCGGGATATCAAATCGAGCCCAAAGCGCACGACAAATGCTGAGGGTGTCACGCTGATAAGCCGCAAAGGCGTGGTAGGTTTGACGCATCTCTGGACTGTTTGCCTTTGCCTTTCCGAGTGAGCTCCACGCGTCATTTGCGGCTTTCCAGAGCGAGAGCGAAGTGGCTCTAGCGCTGTCGGGAATGCCGCGAACCTTTGCATACTCGTGCTGGTATGTATGGATCTGGGCTGCAGTCATGCGGTTGACCGCCGCGAGGTTTCCGAAATTGTCACCTTTCTTTCCAATGAAAGCTTCCTCGATGGGCTTTCCGAGGTTGTTGAATGGTATCGGTATGCCGAGCAAGAGTGAGAGGGTTGGAACGAGGTCAATTTGGCCGACTGGCCGGATGTGAGCGTTGCGCGGAGGGGTTGTATAGGAAGGGTCGCTACGCCCAAAGACACTCTTTTTCGAGTACATCCATAGAGCAGCCTGAATCTCATCGTCGGACTCGCCACCGTGATCTCCCTTTGCGTCCATGCCGTGGTCACCCATGACTACCAGAAGCGTATCGTCGTCAATTTCCTGGATCATGCGGCGAAAGACGTCGTCCATTTCATTCAACTTGGCCGTCATGGCCGGGTGGTCGGGGCCGTACCGGTGTCCGGCATGGTCCACGCCCAAATAGTGGCCAAAGATGACATCCCACTTGGTCGCATTCTCAGCCTTTAGCAATGGGAAGATGTGTTCTGTGACTCCGTTGTCTACCGTATGCAAGTCCCAGACATTGAAGGAATCGTATGGACGGGTAAGATTGGGCTCAAAGTAGTCGGTGAAGAGTGCGTGCCAGGTGTCATCTCCGAGATGGACGATCCTCTTGCTTGCATTCTTCAGCTGGCTCACAATGTTGTCTTCATGGATGGCTTGGCCAGCAAAGTTGCTCCCCACATCGATAAAGGTTGGCAGCGTGCCAGTTGTCAGCCCCTTTAATCTCTGCATTGTGGCGGTCGGGGGATCTGCGATAAAGGGAAGAAGAAAGGCATTTTCGGGCTGCTTCTTCGCTGTCTCATAGAGGACCGGAAACGCGTTGTGGAAATGGCGTGGAGCGACTGGAGGCACTTCAGACGGGTTCGCAGTCGCGGCAGCAGCCAGGTCGGTAGGCTCAAACTGAGCCTCAAACGGCACGGTAAAGTCGTATCTGAGTGCATCGACAATGATGACAACCGCCTTGTCGAACGTCTTTGGATGCCAACATCCCTTATCTGGGTTGCCCGTTGTATACGAGTCTGCTGCGTCAATGGGAGGCAGCGCGCATTCCGACTTATGGTCTAGGACCAGTCGCGTGAGGAGGAAACCGCTGGTAAACAGATAGATACCAAGAACATGAAGCACACTGCGGCGCGTCAGACGTGTCGGTAAAGGCTAGGGCGGAGCTGAAGCGAGTCGGACTTACAGGATGAAGGAAAAGAAAGCAACAACAATAGCATGTGTGGCTTTGAAATGCACCTGGCTTTGCTGCTTGACCTTGTCCGGGTCATGGACGGCAGTTCGCGGGGCCTGTGCTGCTTGCTGCTGCTGCTGCTGCTGCTGCGGCTGTTGTGCTGCTTGCTGCTGAGCTTTTGGAGCGCCTTTCTGGCCGGTGATGTCGGACAGCGGAGTGAAGATCTCACGGCTTGCCATGGCGATTGCAGAGGAAAAGCCGATTGGCCGATGTGAGATGCCAATCGGGGGGCGCAATGGAGTTCGGGATGGCTCAATGGGCCTCAGGGAGCGACAGAATCCATGAGAAGAAAGTTGTTGCGGCGTGTACGGGATGAAGATCTGGCGCAGGCATACCGTAAGTAGTGGATCATGGTAATGCCGAGCCCGCGCCGATGGGGCTGCCACCAACCATTGCGCCAGGAGCGCGACTCTAGGGCTGGTTCGGGCGGGTTAGGGCTTTGTTTGAGTTCGACTTGCTTTTGGGCCATTTTTGTTGAAGCGATTCAAGTGCACACGTCGCCAAGCATGACGACAGTCGGGGCGGACGTCACGGCGCCACGCGCGCTGTTGAGCGCGTGCATGGTTTGTTGGGGCTTGCAGGCATCACGGCACAGGCGCACACATGGGCCGTATCGATAAAGCAGTGTGTATTCGGCTCTCATGCTGTTCTGTACAGTCGCTCGAGAGGAGGAGTAGATAGCATACATTAATGAATAGAGTTATGTAAGAGGTACAGAAACCTCACGGAAGAGATGGCCATTCATGAAGGGGGGGGTATACAGCAACATGGCCAGTCAACTCGGAAAATATACACTTGGGGAGCCACCGCGCCTGCTGCTGCTAGTGCTGCTCGACGGCTCCAAGGGTGTTCCGAGAAGCTGAAGCTCAGCGCGGTATAGCCGTCGTCAGAAATAAGTCAGTCGTAGCCAAGTGGCTCGAGAGCCCGGGCTGCCAGACCTCTAGGAAGCTGCGGGGCTGGCCGGGACTTGTCGTTGGCATTGGATTGGGGGCGAGTTTACGAGTAGTACTTGTCGTCCTTTTCCTTGAGGCCGCCCATGCGGTTCAGGTCGAGCGAGTCGAAGCGGTCCGACGCGTCTTGCTGGTAGGGCGGCAGGTCTTCTTGCAGAGGCTCGAGGCCAACGCTATGGTCTCCGACACGGACGACGACAACGCGGCCAGACTGCTGCTTGCCGGACTCGTCCACCTCGTCGGGGAATGTGATGCGGATTTCGGGGACTGGGCTGGTAGGGCTGTCCATTAGGGTCTGTTTTTCCGAGTAAGTAATGACCGACTCGCGGCCTTTGTATGGCATGGCGGTGATGGTCAGGCGATTGTGATTTGATTGGCGCTTCTCGTAGACCGGGAGTTCGGGGTCGGTTTCGGCATGTTTCCTGGCCTGGCGGATGCTCCGCAGAAACAGCAGACTCGCAATGGATGCGAGTGCGAGCAAGGCCAGCATAATGAGGGTCACGAGGAGTGCGAGCTGTGTGGAGCTGAGGCTGTCGTCCTGGTCGCGCTTGAGAAGGTTGATGTTCATCATTGTGATTGATTGGTTGGTTGGTGGTTGGTTGAATGATTGGCTGGAATAGAGTAGTGGGTGTGTGGTCGTTAAGGCGTATCGATGGCGTGCAGACAAGTCTGGGTCTGGGTGTGGTGATTAAGGTGTATAATCGCTGTAGGCGGGTTAGCAGCCATGGCTGGGGCGGGGAGGGTGCGCAGCGTGTTGGGGCGCTCAGCAGCCATGGGGTTGACGATGGGGGTTGCAGTGGGCGAAGCTTGGCGGAAGGTGACGGAATACGAGCGAGTAATCGGGAGTTGGGGAGGGGAGTAGGGTTTCGGGTACACGCACCTGGTAGAGCCCCGTTGTTTCGCACGAGGGCGAGGATAGGAAACGAGAGACACAGGGCTAGGAAAGAGCGTAAGGCGGATACCGCTGAAGGAGTGAAGCGATGAATCCGGCGTCGGGGGATGAGGGAAGGAAGGAAGGAAGAAGAAACGAGAGAAGACAAAGGGTGGAACAGGCAAGCAGGCTCGTTGAAGAGGAGAGCGAGCGAGGAGGTCGCCGGCTCAAGAAGGGAGCCAACGTTATTTTGACGGCGGCGCAGGGAAAAAGGCGCCTCGCAGTGCCCCAATGCAGGTACACAGAACGCTCGCCCGCCGGCAGCCAATGACGCGGCGGCACCAGCCCAAAGCGGCCAGGGAGCCGCGCGCGCTAGGCCCAAGGCGGCCCCTCGCAATAAAGACGACTTGCACTGCGCTGCACGCTCGTCCTGTCGTTGTTATTTTGGGGCAGACGGGCTTTGCGAGCGACGCGCTGGGTGGCTGCCGTGGTGCGGCGCTGCGGTGCTGCGGTGCTGCGATGCTGCGATGCTGCTGTGCCACTGCGTTGCTGCTTTGGTGGTGGTGGTGGTGCTTCTTCTGCTGCTGCTGCTTCTGCGGAAACACGCCGGGGCCCCGCGGCGCGCTGCGATGGCCTCGCTCGCCTGGCAGCGCGGCAAAACGAGGGTGGGCGGCGTCGTCTCCCAAAACAGCATAACAACAAGCATTCACAATAACAACAACAGCGCGACAAGACCAGGCCAGCAGCAGCATCCACCGCAATAACAACAAACGCGCGCCCCCCAGGTGTGGGTGTGGCCTCTCTGGGCGGGCGGTGGGAGCAAGGGGCGGTAATGACCACTGCCGGGGGGTGTGTGTGCAAAGGCCCGGCAAGCGGTCGAGACTCTGCACAGTGGATCGCGAGTGGAGAAAGCGAGAGGGCGCGCGGGCCAGCACAGAGCACCCACACCCACACCCACACCCACACGCACGTCGCCCTGCTCGCCTACTGTATGCCTGCATGCCTGCATGCGTGTTGGGGAGAGGAGCTGGGAGTGGGAGAGTCCCCCAGACTAACTACGCATAGGTGCAGCCCCATGTACACTCACACTCACACTCGCACTCACTCGCCCCCGTCGCCCGCCGCCCGCCGCCGCCGCCCGCCCAAAGCCAAGCACCACCCACGGCAATCCACTAATACCTATGACATGTGCGCCCGTTGGCAATGACAACGTTGCCATTGCCGCTGCGACCGAGACGGGCGGCGTTTGAGCCCGCCGTCGACGCCAACGGCGGGCTTGGGTGCCTGAGACGAACATCTTGCGCGCGCCGGTGGAGCCATCGAGCTGCATCCCGGCCCATAGCACCCTCCGCAGCAACGCGCGTATGGAACGACAGATTAACAAACGTCACGGGCAATGGATGCGGTGCAGGGAGCGCCATGTGGTGATGGAACAACAGCCTCGTCACCCCTTGGTTCGTCGAGGCCAAGTCAGGACCCGCCCGGCGCGCGACGACTGATACGGATGAACTGCACCCGCCCCGCCATTAAACAAGTCGTTGGCCGCTTCGTTTGAGCCTCTTCGGGACGCTTGATGCCTTGCTGCTCCCTGACGCCAAGTGCCCGCCTGCCCGCCTGCGACACACCTTCGGCCTCGTGCCCAAGCGTCGCATCTTTTTACACTTTGAAAAGCACTCTCACGCCTCGCATCATGAGGCCACGACGAGACGGCGCGACGTTGCCCGTCGAATACATGTTGGCTCCGCCCGCGGCCAGTCTGAAGGGAGGGAGGGGAAAAAACGAGGCACCCTGGTCCTAGCACGCCAGGCATAACGGTCTCGCCTCTGGACGACATAGGCTGGTTTGTTATTGTTGTCGGTGCCACACACACACACACACACACTTATCTCTCTCTCTTGCACGGCAGTGTGTGGTGTGGTGTGTGGCCGTGTCGTGTAGGAGAGAGCGAGAGAGAGGGGAAAAAGCAAGCTGCATGGATGGGCCCGCGGGGTGGTTGCTCGACGACTGGTTGCGCCGCCCACCACTCGCCAGCACCCTTCTGCCTCTCCCCAAGGTGCCAGCGCAGCACGCACACAAAGGCGAACACAGAGGCGGACAGAGAAAAATGGCTCAGTGGACGCCTCGGATGCAGCGTGCGGGTTTGCGCTGCAAGCCCGCAGCTAGTAGGAGGCGTTATAATTGCAGGGACGTCGTCAGCGGAGAGAGAGCAATCCATGGATGACCCAAGTCACGAGGGTAGAAAGACTTTTCCCAAGTCGTCGACGGTATGGCGAGTGCGACGTTGGGCTGGGGCGGGCTGCATGCGGGCTCGCAGCATGTGTGTGTGTGTGTGTGTGCGTGCGTGTGTACTGTAGGCTGTAGGCTGTAGGCTGTAGGCTGGTCGTGGCGACGAGGGCAACGGTGGAGGAGACGGCAAACACGTCGCGCGCCTCAGGCCGCGCAGAGGCATTTGACAGGCCCCGAGGACGAGGGGCGAAGGCGAGGGCAGAGGGCAGAGGGCGGACGTGCGGGCGGCGGGGTGGTGGTGAAACACGTCGCCCTGTACATAATGCTCGACACCTCCTGTCCATGCGAGGGGAGTGTCTCAGGCTGGCATACCGACAGCCCGCAACACAAAAAGATCGGCCGGATTGCGCTGCCGCATCGTCCCTGACTCGGCCTTGGCGCACACGAGCGCATTGCACGCCCGCCTGTGACAAAGACGACCAAGGCATTGGCTGCCCACGGCCTCTAAAGCTGTTACGGCCGGCCTCGACAGCAGCAGCAGCAGCAGCAGCGTCGTCTTTCCACGTAGCACCGCCGCCCGCATCATCATCATCATCACCAGCATCGTCGTCATCATCACTCGCCTGGCCGCCGTGGCAGCAGCAGCAGCAGCACGTCTCGTCTCGGCAGCCCTTCTCGGTGCAACCTTGACGACTCTTAGCGTACCCCAGCTGGAAGCGGACGCCAAACTTAGCTGCCGATCCCATTCCTCGCCCAGGGCCCAGCAGTCGCATCTCCAGCAAAAAGACGTCTCTACGCTCCACACACAGCCCGCGCAACCCTCTCGCTCCTCTGCGTCCACCACCACCACCACCTCCTCCTCTCCTCTCCTCCGCCACGCACCGCGTCTGTGCCATCACCACCACCTCCTCCACCTCCACCTCCAGCCCGCCCCTCTGGCCGCAATCGCCCTCCCCCGGCTGGCTATAAGAAGACGCCCTCTGCACCGCACCCTCGTCCTGCATCCCCGCTACTCTGCTTGTCGACCCTGATGCGTTCCCCGCCTGGCGCGCAACCCCATTGCTTAGACCTTCGCATGCACATTGGTTAGAACGACCGCGACGACGACGACATTACACCCACACCGCCCACGCCCGCACTTTTGCACATATCCAACCATAGTTCCCCCGCCCCCAGGTCCCAAGGCAGCACACGCCCGCTTCCCACAGCCCGCACAAACACCCTCATAGCCACCTACTCCCCCCCCCTCCCCCCACCACCACTCTCCATTCCCGCTGCCACGTCCTTGTACACACCTCCTTGACATACTGCCTGCCGTCGTTTCCCTCTGCGACAGCATAATACAAGCGTTGGTCCGCCTCAGACTCCCAGCGACTACCCTGCCTGTGCTGACGCTTGAGACTTAGTTTGGCCCTCACGCACGCACCCGCAAAGCGCCCTGCGTTCCCTCACTCCCGCCCAACAGCACTATAAGAAAAAACCCCCGCCGCCCCTCCTCCGACACCCAGAACCTCGCCTCCGCCCGCCTGTGTATATGAACCCCACATCCAGCGATTCCAGTCGTGATATGGCAGCCATGACGGGCAATGTCGGTACCACCTTCCCCGCCAGTGCCCGCCTCCCTGCTAACGTGAAGCACCCAGACCCGATCGCGCGACTTCACCAATGCCATGTCGCTCAACACGGCCGACTCGGAGCGCTCCTCACACTCGTCCCCCTGGAGCAACAGCATCTGGAACGCCCCCATTGGCGCATTTGCTTTCGGCTCCACGCCCAGAGACAGCTCGCGCCCCCGAGGTAGGCCACCACCACCAGTGCTGCTGCTGCTGCTGCTGCTGTGCACCTTGCTTTGCCTCAAACTGACACGTGTGCAGACAACACGACGCTCGCCGGCACCACCGAGGGCAAGACAGGCTCCAGCTCCCTCGTGGCCAACTCCGAGTCCGAATGGAGATCCAGCGCCCGACCAGCCTGGACGGAGAACCCGTCCGGAAGCATCTCACAAGCCAGGAGCTCTGCTGTCTCGCCAGCCGGCAAGCGATCAATCGCACAGGCCCAGCCCAGCCAGCCCTATGCCGACGGTAGCCCGTCGTCGCTGTTTGCTTCATCCAGAGGCTCGCTATCCAAGTCGATGAAGCCGTTTGGAGAAGCTGCCAACGCAAACTTCGCCTCGCGCCAGATTGATGGCCTCAACGCTGGCTTCTCAAACTTTGGGTTTGGCCAGTCAGACGTCAACGCCCATCGTCCCGACACCGGAGTCACCTCCTGGCCGGATACCGCATCGGTGCACTCGCCTAGCGACGATCGCCGCAGCATCGCCAACTCCGACCATGTCACGTCTTCGAGTGGAGCCCCCTCCCGAAGTGGAAGCCTACCACCGTCGCGACATGGCGCTGAGCCTGCCCAGTTCAGCCAGAGCATGGATGCCTTCTCACGCCTCTCGCAGGCTACCCGTCAAGGCACAACCTTTCCTCTCGGCAACGGTCGCGTCTACCCGGAGCGAAGCGGTTCCATTCAGAGCGACTCATTCCACACGCTAGGTAGGCTCGGCTATGAACAAGAACAGGACGTGCGCATGTCATCACACAGGGCCTCGTTCAGCACTAACGCTGCTTCGGCATTCGCATCCGGTGACGAGTTCAACGAGGCACTCAACGGCCACGGTTATTTTCCAGCATCGAGCAAAATGGACGAGACTAGCTACAGAAATGCAGGCTCTTACACCCCCGACACCTTTGCCAATGGTCAGCTCAGCAGCCAACAGGCCCAACTGCGGTCCCACCAGTTCGACAACAGTCGCAGTGCTCCCAACGGCGGCAGCGTCCGTCAAAGCCCCCTGTACTCGCACATCAACACACCACTCGTGTACGACCGTCTGAATCCTTACAGCAGCGAGCAAAACCTGGCTCATCCCAACAATGTCGCCCAGCTACAGAGCAAGCTAGCCGGATTCCAGATATCTCAGCAGGCCAAGCGCAGCTACATCTCCCCCAGCCAACTGCACCAGCAACAGTTTCAGCACATGTTCCCCGCCGCACAACTGCAGAACCCTTTCCCATACCAGTTTGCCCTGCCCAACGGTCTGCCTCTGTCTGCCATTCCGCAGCACATGAACATGGCTCCCATCATGCCTCTCCAGCAGCAACCACCCAGAGGACCCCGCGAACAGCACGTGGGCGATGTCCTGGGCGCCATGAGCCCTGAGCTGGCCAACTTCAAGAGGGAGCAAAAGCAGAGCAAGCGATGGGAATTGACTGACATCAAGGGCCACGTCGTTGAGTTTGCTGGAGACCAGCATGGCTCGCGCTTTATCCAGCAGAAGCTCGAAACCGCCAACAGCGAAGTCAAGGAGAGCGTGTTTCGCGAGCTCGAGGAGAATGCGCTGCAGCTGATGCAGGACGTCTTTGGCAATTACGTCATCCAAAAGTTCTTCGAGCATGGCGACCAGACGCAGAAGAAGATCCTTGTCGGAAAGATGAAGGGTCATGTTCTAGAACTCGCTAACCAGATGTACGCCTGTCGCGTGGTGCAAAAGGTACGTTGTCTTTGTCTCAGCTGTTGAAACGCCACTAATTCAGACAGGCGTTGGAGCACGCGCTCACGGAACAGCAAGCGTCCATGGTCAAGGAGCTCGAAAAAGACGTTCTCAAGACTGTCAAGGACCAGAACGGCAACCATGTCATCCAAAAGGTCATCGACCGCGTTCCGATGCATCACATCCAGAATATCGTCGAGGCATTCAGGGGTAATGTCGGCGTCCTGTCGGTAAACTCTTACGGTTGCCGTGTCATCCAGCGACTCCTGGAGAAGGTGCAGGAGCCCCAGCGCAGGTTCATACTAACGGAGCTTCATGCCGAAGGGGCCAAGCTCATTACTGACCAGTACGGAAACTACGTTACCCAACACGTGATTGAACACGGCTTGCCTGAGGATAGAGCCAAGATTGTGTCATTGATCAAGGCACAGTTCCTCGTCTTCTCCAAGCACAAGTTTGCCAGCAACGTCGTGGAGCGATGCCTGATTTGCAGCAACGATGCGCAGCGCCGCGAGCTTGTGTCGGTGGTACTCTCCAAGAACGAGCGTGGCGAGACAAACGTCATGAACCTGCTAAGAGATGGCTACGGCAACTATGTCATCCAAAAACTTTTGGACACCCTGAGCCGGGACGACTACGAGATGTTTGTTCAGTCGCTCAAGCCAGAGCTTGAGAAGGCCAAGAAGGTCATTCCTGGCAAACAATGCGTATCGGTAAGTCGGGCTTGGCAGCATGTGACTTGAGACAAGGTGTGACTAACGCCTCCTAGGTTGAGAAGAAGATGTTTCGCTACGACCGTGTAGACTCGCCCACGATGCCCACACCCGCTCTCAGTACCTCTACAGAATCCCCATTGAGCAGCTCGCACCCAAGCACCACTGCGTCGACTGTCGACGAGCCTGCGTCAAATGGGTCGGCTGGCAGCAAGACCAGCACCGTCAATGGTGCTGGGGGCGTCAGCATTGAGAATGCTAGCTCCTAGAGCACATGTCCCGCGAGGGGCACTCGGTGTCAAAGCCCTTGTAAACAGTATTAGCAGGACCCGTGAGATTTCTTTCTGTTCCTTCTTTGCTTTTTCACCATGGGTCGGCATATCTGCATTCTATTGTTCATATACCATACTTGCTTCGTCATTTTCCCCTTGTTACATATCCTATTTTTTATACCAGTTTAGGTTGTCGGCAGTCTCAGTCGACGGGGTACATGCATCATGTCTTTTCTCTTCCATACATATTATATCATACAAGAGCAGCTTCCGGGGCTTTTGACGGGTGCGCGCTATCCCTTCCGACGCCCCGAATCAAACTGGCTGTCTTTCGTCTCGCAACTTGTTTTTGCTTTAGACATAATGTTGACCGATGATGAGCTGGACGTCAACATCACACTTAGTACGGATTTGGGATTTTCTTGTTTCTCTCTCTCTTTATCTCTCTTTATCTCTCTTTATCTCCCTCTTTTCTTTCCTTCTTCTTCTTCTTCTTCTTCTTTCCCTAGAATCAAGCTACCTTTGGTCAGGATACCATGATAGGGGAAAAACGCAGATACTTGATGTATGTAAACATGCGACGTTACGGCGCTTAGGGCGAACTAAGGAAAAAAAATGGCACAACAACGGCAACAACAACAACAGCAACAAAAAAACAAAAAGTTTGAAACGACCCCCGTTCATCTTCTTCTTCGTCTTGTTCTTGTTTCTTTCTTATCTAGATTAGTATCAACTTGGCTTAGTTATAAGTAGTGTGTGTGTGTGTATGCAAATATTTTTTTTGATTATTTCTGATCTTTGTGAACCTCAAAAAACTTGAAGTAAAAAAAAGAGAGAAGAAAAAAAAAACTTGTTTTTCTTTTCCTTCTTCTCCTCCTCTTTCCATCTTTCCATCTTTCCATCTTTCTTCTTCTTCTTCTTCTTCTTCTTTTTCAAGCACTTGAATTCTCTTCTCTGCTTTTTCCTCCTTTATTTTCTTCTATGGCTCGACAAAGCTGCAAGTCATGCGTTTTGAAACACGCGCGCGCACACACACACACACACGGGGGGACATGGACATGCGCATGCGCATTTGTTAGCTGGTGTATGTATGTATGTATGTATGTATGTATGTATGTAGTATCTATGTTTAGCTTACTTACTAATACAGTGTTTTCTGATGTGGCTTCGCATGCGTATACGTGGTGATGCTTGGAATGTGGCTATGTAGGTGGCTTGGTAGGTGTGTATGTGTGTATATGTGTATGTATGTATGTATGTATGTATGTATGTATGTATGTATGTATGTATGTATGTATGTGGAAGAAGAAGGATATGTACATACATGGACAAGTATTCATAGCAAGGGGAATCTTCTCTTCCATGTCTGCACCCCTCTTTCTCTACTTGATTTTCATCACTCTTTCCGATTCTCATTCTGATTCTCATTCTGATTCTTGGGGATTCATCTAGACACACACACACATATATATACTTTCTGTCCGTGCCCCTTGTTCTGTGTATCACTTCCTTCCTTTGTCCATTCTCCTTCTCCTTCTCCTTCTCCTTCTCCTTCTCCTTCTCCTTCTCCTTCTCCTTCTCCTTCTCCTTCTCCTTCTCCTTCTCCTTCTCCTTCTCCTTCTCCTTCTCCCTCCCTCTCTATCTTCTTCCACCTGTTCTGTCTCTTCTCTCCTCTCCTCTTCATCTTCTTTTCTTTTCTTTTCTTTTCTCTTATAGTCTCTATTTCCTACCCCCTAACCCCCTACTTAGCTCCCGTCCAAAAAGCACTATTTACTCGCTCCTCCCCCTCCTTCCCTTTTTTTCGTCTCCCTTTACTTGTTCAGCTCTAGCTACTCACTTTAATTACTAACATCCCTGCTTTCCCCCCGCCGTTTACCCCCCCCCCCTCCCCCTCTTTCCGCCTCCTAGCTCTCTAAGTATACTTTTTTTTTGCCCGTTTTCTAACTTTAGTTTCCGCGTACTTACTGATTTACTTGTTTATTTATTTATTCAGCTACACCTACCTACCTACCTACCTACCCACCTACCTACATGATGTACTCGCCTACTACTTGAGGGAAAAAAAATTTTTCAAAAAA